ACCAAGCAGCTCGGCACAACCCAACCGGCTCGTTCCCGTGGCCGCGCTCTGTCCCCCGCCCTGGGCCGGGCGGCACGAACGGCCAGCACAGAGCCAACCGCAGGAGCTGAGATTGGCACACAGCAAACTCTCAGAAAACAGTGCAAGAAAGCTTAGCCGGGAGGTCTGTGCATTCTCCCTTCTTCCAACATTTCTGTCTTGGGCGCCTCCTCTCAGCCTGGCTCTGTGCCGGGACTTGGAGACAAGACCGTGCTCACACTCAGGGAGGCTGGCCGGGAAGGTGACGCAGAAACAAGTGGAGTTCAGGCCCCTGGGGCGGGTGGGAAGGGCTTTCCGGAGGGGGAGAGGTGTGAGCTAACCTTTGCAAGGTGAGTCAAGGCCACCAGGCAGGAGGAGGGAGGCAGGACAGAGAGGGCGTCTGGTGTCAATGGTGTGCTTGCAAGATGAGACATGGCACGAAGCGATGGGCAATTAACCGCAGCTGAAGCCCTGGGCCCGACTCCAAACACGTCATTCCCAGGCCGCACCAGCCGGCAGGAACCCGGACGGAAAGGGCCGCACGTGCCACGCTCAGGCCTCTGGTCTTAGCCCACCGGCCGCTGACCAGGAAGCCGCCGCCTTTAAGCAGGGAAGTGATCCAACCCGGTGCTGAGCGAGAAGGTGAGCCCTGGCAGGGAAGGGCCCTCAGGACGCAGGGACAGAAGTGACCTCATGGCTGAGGAGGCTTCCCAGAGCGGGCGGCCAGCGGGCCATGAGTGCGGGTGGGGCCTGCAGCGGCGGAGGAGAGCCAGGGGCTGGGAGGGGCCGGGAGGGGCCGGGAGGGGCCGGCGGGCCGGCGGGCCTGGGCGCAGCTGCCTGTGTGCTGCTCCAGAGGCCAGAGGCGGGGGCGGGGGGGGGGTGCGGTGCGGGAGACAGACCGGCTGCAGGCAGGCTTCGCCCAGGCATCGTCCCCAGCCGGCCGCCGTGAGCAGGGCAGCTCCGGGTCAGCCTGCAGGCCCGGAGCTGGGTGTCCTCCTGAAAACCACAGGCTGGAGGCGACCGTAGTCAGTAACCTTCACCGTGTGACTCGGGTTCGGGCACAGTAAAGCCAGGAGAAGGGACTGGCTCAAAATCACCGCAGAGGGCAACGCTGGGAGGAAGAGACGGCTCTTCTGGGATCTGCCGATCTCTGCGCTGCATCCTAACAATATGTCCCCTGTGGTCTGCGGCCCGCTCCTCCCATGCCGCACGGGGTGACAGGGTGGGGCCACCTCTGCCCTACTGTCTCCTGGAGACACCAAGATGCGGAGCCTCCGCCTCTGCTGTCCTTCTCCTGATGCGCTGGGGCCACCTCAAGGGGACACCCTTTTCTCAAAGTGCTTTCCCAGGGACAGGGCGGCCAGCCTGTCAGAGCTGCCGGCACGTCCTCGTGAGCCCCTCTGTAGGCCTGTCCAGGCCCAGGCCAAGGCTGTCCCTGAGGATGACAGGTGCCTCTCCGTGTCTCTCTGTGCAGCCTTTGTCACCGAGGACACGTTTGCGGATTTGAGAGAGAGAGGAAGTGGCGGGGAGGGACTCTGACAAGGGTGTCTTTGTCTTGTTCCTGACCTTAGAGGACAAGCTTCCCATCTTTTGGCACCAAGAATGACACTAACTGTTGAGTTCTCAATCCATTATCATTTGGAGAAAGATTCCTTCTATTTCTACTTGACTAAGTATGTTTCATCATGAAAGCGTGGTGGGTTTTGTCAAGTACTTTTTCTGCCTTGAGATATTCATGTGCTCTTTTCCCTTCCTCTTATTCTTGTGATGGATTCCACTGTTGTGATCGTTGTGTGTTAAAGCAGCGAGAAGAACGCTTGGTTCGCAGGTGGCTCCCAGCGTTCTGAGCCACACCAGCCAGCGCTGGGCTCCGCAGCTTCACCCGGTCATTCCAGCGCCTGTGAGTCTGACTGTGGTGACCGCGTTAGGCTTCAGGCTTTGTTTCTTCTTGCCTTTAGCAGGTTGTTGGTTTTTTTTTTTTTAACAAAACATAATTATTTCAATGCCCAACTTCTGTCCAACCAAAAAATAAACCACCATACAAAAATAAGGAAAAAACATGGTATGTCATTTATGATGCACGACACATGGTTAACATCTTCGGTCCTCAATGAGCTCTTGGAAACCAGGGACACAGACACAAACAAGCCAAGGGAACCGGAGAGAAAGCAAAGGAAATAATACAAGCGACAGGTCGGCATGAAGGACACACGAGGGCCGAGCTGGACAAGGACAGCAGAACAATGTCCCCGTGACATCACGCTGGCAACGACCAGAAACACGGACGTCTAATGTCCTTCTGTTTTGAACAGCGTTGTCCAGTCTCACCTGCCAAACACACAGGAGGAGACAGGCCGACGAGTATCTACAATGAGGGGCAAAGTGACAGGTTTTGTAATTCTTTGGTTGAAACCAGACATGTTACCCAGGGTAATAGCCTCTGAAGTGAACAAGCGTCTGGTGCAAGAATTTAGGTTAAACTGGCTAAGAGCTGGGCTGTTTAACACCGGCTGTGGGTAGAAGCGCCAGAGGCTTCCCTGCCCTTGAGTGGGTTCCTTTTTCCCTTTCTTGTGGCTTTTGTCTTCGGGTCTCAGAGAGAATCTTTGTCTCTTTTGGTTGTGATCCAGCCTTGTTTTTACTGGAGGCTTGTGATGTGGGGACAGGTGAAGGCGCGGGCAGGGAGGGCCGGCCACTCCGTTGTCCTCGGCGGCCGACGTGCGCCTCAGTCTGCCCTGAGCCTGTGCCTTGGGGGCGGGGACAAGCCCTCAGGAGCCCGCGGGGTGTCGAACCCGGGTCCAAGGCCCCCTGCGGCCCAGGATGGCCCTCAAATTTACGATCGTAAATTTACATAAAACTTTATGAGGTTTTAAAATTTTTCGTTAGTGTTTGTGTGTTGAATGTGGGGCCCAAGACAACTCGCCTTCTTCCAGGGCGGCCCAGAGACGCCCCGGGGCCGGCGCGGTGGGGGACGCCCCTGCTCCTGCCGCTTCCAGCCCGTTCCCTGGGAGTGCCCCCCGCTGCCCACCCCCTGCGTGCTGACCCACCGATGTCCTCACGTGGGACAGGAGGGTTCAAAATGACTGTGGAGCGCGGGTGCCCATCAGTGGGAAAGGCCTCAGGACAGCCCTGCGGGACACCCCCTCGGCCCCTCCCATCAGGGCGCAGGCTCTGAGGGTGTCCCCGGGCTCACCTCGCGCGCCCCCTGCCAGGCCGGGGCGCGGGTCGTTTCTGTCCTCGCCCTGGACACGTGGCTTGGCTCCTGGAGGGGAAGCCTGTAACAGCACAAGCCCCACCCCCCGCCGTTTCCTGTCCAGCCCCCCGATTCTTACTCGGCCTGCACGGATGTTAAAGTGGGGGAGGGAAGGAGAGAAACGTCGGTGTGGGAAACACACGCACCCCGACCCGGGGCCGACCCTTCAGCCCTTCGGGGGTTCGCAGGAAGACATTCCAGGCGGCCGGGCGCGGCCTCTGGCCCCCGCGGCCCCTGCTCCCGGCCGCAGCTGTCGCGCTTCTCCGGGCGCGCCTGTCGCCCCAGGTTCCAGGGAAGCGCGTGCCCCGCAGCCTCAGACGGGCCGAGAAGAGCTGTTGATGTTCCGTTTTGTCCGGACTGTTCTTGTGGTAAGGACGGGAATGACCACATCTGAGGTCTCCCGTGCAACAAAAATAAATGAAAATAAAAATAAATACGAAATAAAAACCCACCTTTCCCCTCCCCCGCACGGAGGTGTGTGATCTGTCAGCCTGGACCCCAGGCCCCGAGAGTCAGAACTCTTCCGCCCGTGGGCCCGACCCGGCCCCACCCGGGTCCGCCCACAGCCCCGCCCCGCCCCGCCCGCGGCCCCGCCCCGCCCCGTCCGAGGCCCCGCCCCCGCCCGCGGCCCCGCCCCCCCCACTGCAGAGCCCAGGGCCCCACTGTTCACCGCCTACCCCGCTTCCCCAGCCGGACACTGGAGGCCTGGCTCCTGCCGGCGCCCCCCTGTCCCCAGCACAGCAGCGAACGCCTGGAAGGCCCAGCGCCCAGCCCCCAGCTGGCCCTGGTGTGACCCCGGGGTGAGTAGCCCAGGCTGCGGGGGGCAGCTGTGTGCCAGGGGTAACTTGTGGGATGGCCTTTACAGGCCACGAAACCTCCTGTGACCCCTAGGGCCATGTGGGAACGAGAGGGTCAGAGGTGACCAGAGTTACGGAAACGCCGGGGCCAGGCCCCTTCCCCTCCTGCCCGAGCAGGTCCTCAAGGCCGCGGAGCCCACCGCTGCCTGGACCCCTCTCGCGGAGGCGGGGAGGACGGGCAGCCTACGAAGTGGGTGTGAAGAGAGACGGACGAGGAGCTCGGCCCAGGGGATGCAGCGGAGGGTCGCAGTTCCGGCCTCATCCTCCCAGCAGGTGCCGGCCGGCTACTGCTAGGACCTCCCCGCCATCGCAGAGAACAAGAGCCTCCGGTGCTGTCTAAGGGGCTCCCGCGCCTGGGACCTCTGGGCCACTTCCCGGTGGACACGGCCGCTGCCGCCTGGTCCCCAGAGCGGGTCACCGCAGAGCAAGGCCCGGGCCACCTCGGCTGCCGCCCGTCCTGGTGCTCTGCCTGGCCCGGCTCTCCCGGCCCTCGCCGGTTGGGGACCCCGCGCCCCGACACGCTCCCAGAGAGTTGCCCCAAGGTGGACCCTGGACCCGCGACTCTGCGGACGCCAAGGCTCGCGGTCAAAAAGGAGTCACAAAACCACGCACCGCCTGTTGCCATTTCATTCTTTCCACCAGTGTTTACTGAACGCCTGCTTTGCTGGGCGCAGTGCAGAGGGACAGGGCCGCGCCTGGGCGAGGCGCGGCCCCTGCCCTCCGGGGTTTGAGCCTGCTCACGGGCAGACAGAGGGGCGCCCACGCCTGTTCTGCGGGAGGAGGGGGCAGGGGAGGCTCTGAGACAGGTGGTCGCAGCAGCCGGCGCTCCCACAGTCAGCTGTGAGGGGCCCGAGGGCCGGGGCCAGGTGGCTTCTGGGCAGGCTGGCCCTGGCTGTCGTCCTCGTGGTCCGGGTCTGGGTGGGCCTGCAGGGAGCCTTGATGGAAGCCTTTGCGGTGACCGGTGCCACCTGCGTCCCGCACACAGCCAGCCCCGCCAAGGACTTTCTACCGAGGGCTGCAGGCGTTTCCTCACCTGAAACAAAGCCTCGGGCGGGCCTTGGGTCTGCGGCGCCCCGCTGTGTCCCGGACCGGACCCACACCCCGGCCTGCGCTGGCCACCCTGGATAGAAACCCGCTCCCGGGCTGCCTGCGGCGGCGACCTACCCTTCACGTCCCACCGCGTGTGTTGGCCAAGGGGGGCTCCGTGCCTCGCATCCCAAACACAGGCCAGGACTGAGGCCTGCCCTCCCAGGGGCCCCGGACCCCCTTCCCTCCCCTGTTCTGAGGGCCCGGTGCCCTGTGTGTGTCGGGGCTTTTGGGGACGGGGGACGAGGGCAATGCCTGTTGTTCCCAAACAGCATTCTGTGTCGTGGCTCCCCTTGGAGCGCCGGCTGGGCGAAGACATTGTTTTCAGGGGTAGCCTTTGACAGACGCTTCGGCAACACCTGCTGGCCAGGACGGGAGGCCGGGCGGCGCAGAGACGGTGGGCCTGGCTCTGTCAAGGCTCTCACTGAGACGGAGCTGGTTCTGCTTCGTGTCCCCATGAAGAAGCCCCTTGAGGCTCCCAGGCCACTGCGGCTGCGGGGTCCGGGCGGAGAGCGGGCCGGCGGGCACTCCCAGGCTCACCCGCGGCCGCCCCTCACCTGGCGTCCACCCTGAGCATCCGCCACCCCGAGCCTCGGACCCCACACTCACCCACTGATGATTCCCGCCCCCCATCCAGCTCCTCGGCAGCTGCCCTCCCCGTTCCCGGCACGCAGAGTTTCCTTCCCGTCAGCTCCAAGCCCAGGCTCCTCTCCGGCCTGCGGTGGCGGCACCGCCAGGCGCAGCTGCTTCTCAGGCAGCCTGGCTCCGGGCTCCTCCATGCCTTGTGGGGACACCAGCGGGCACTTGGGAGGGCCCTTGGCCTTGGGCTGCTGAGCCTGCTCTGCCTGAGCCCAGGGGTTCCGGCGCAGTTTCCTCCGAGACAAAACACCGTGCCCCACTCTCCTGGGCTCTGCCCTGCCACCGTGTCCCCCAACACAGTTGTCACGTTGGGGACAAAAGATGAGATTTTGGTCTTAGGTTCTCCTGATGGTGGCCTTGAAGATGCAGCTCCTGGTGACCACAAGGCCAGCCTGAGAGCCCCTGCCTCGGGCTGGCTGCAGGGACGCCCCAGGGGGACAGGAAGCTGCTGCCGCTTTGCGGGGGGCTCTCTCCTCCTGCTTTGGAGGGGGTCCTGGCCGGCGGCCCCAGGGGCCCAGGCAGGGCGGCGGCTGAGGGCATTCCGAGTCCCCTGGCCCCCGGGGCCGTCCAGGGCAGCTACAGGTGCTGGCCCTGCGCGGAGGCCCGGGACTGGGCAGGCCGCTCTCCCGGCCGCGGCAGGTCCAGGACGAGGCCGGGGCGCTTGGGAGCCTGCGGGCCATGGGGCGGGCTGGCCACGGAGGGGCTGTCGGGCCACTGCGGCTGCACTGCGTGTGTGTCCCCGTCCTGAGGCCGCCCGCACGGTGGTCCACAGCAGCTGCTAGTGTCCGGCCGAGGGGGCTGCGCGGCCCGGGGCTCGCTATCCGGGCGGATCTGCAGGGCCGCGACCTGGGCCGCGCAGCCTGCCAGTGCGGCCTCCACCTGCGGAGGGCCTCCCCCGAGACCAGGCCTCCGCCAGTCTCGGGGACACCCCGCGTTCCCAGGTGGCTCCTGGGAGTGTGGCCAGGCGAGGGGAGTTATGACCTCGTCCTTGCTGGCAGCGTCTGGCGTCACCGAGGCTGCAGGCCCCGCGGGAGAGAACTGGCCTTCAAGGCCGCCTCGGGCCCCTGCTTCCCCAGAGACCCACACACACCTCGCCGGCGGGTCCCTGGGCGGAGAGCCGGCACCCCGCGCGGCCGCTGCTAGCGCCTCGCTCTCTCCAGCGAGGGGGCCCCTGGTACCCGAGCGCCCCCACGGCTCCTGCCCGCCCGGCGCCGAGCCCGCTGCGGCCGCACCTGCACCGGCGTCCGGGGCCCCAGCCGCCCCGCCCTCCCGCCCTGGACTCAGCCCTTTCTTCTCCGAGTCCGCTCCCGGCCTCGCCGCCGGCCGCCGCAGCAGGGGCGCCGCGCAGGTGGGCGGGGCCCGGAGCTCGGGGCCGCGTCGCAGCCAGTTGACCACGCCCATGGTGACTGCGAGCTCCGTGTCGCAGAGCTTCAGCAGGCACTCCTTGCCCCTCCAGGAGCTCTGCGAGAAGCCCTGGCTGAGCAGGTCGGGGCCCGGCCCTGGGGCCAGGTTCTCGTCCGCCCCCACGTGGAAGCTGCACATGGACCGCGGCGCCCCCAGGGCCGGCCCCGACAGGCTCTCCGACACACAGAGGTCCCCATCGTCCAGGCCGGGGCCCGCGGGGCCCTCACTGGGGTCGCAGAAGAGCTCGTAGAGGGCGTCTCCGCTGTAGCTCTCCCGCGGGAAGGCGGCGGCGGGGGTGCCGGGGCTCGGGGCGCCCTGCCTGTCCTCCTCCAGGCTCGGGGAGAAGGCGTCGTAGTAGCCCTCGTCACTCGTGGACAGGGACTCTGGCTGGTCGCTCTTGGGGGTGCCCGTGTCTGTGGAACTGGCTTTGGAGCCGCCCAGGAGGTCCCGGCAGGGCCACAGTGGGAGCTGGGCCAGTCCCGTCCCCGGGGGCCCCTCAGGCCGCGGGCCCAGCAGGGCACGCCGCTGCTGCCTCACGGAGTGATTCACGTTGTCCCAGAACTTGGCCAAGTCGGCCACCTCGTTCGGGGCGGGTGGCGGCAGCTGGTCCTGCGCGGGGCCCCTGGGCGCCTTGCTCTCCGCAGCCTGCGACGCCCGGGCTGCGCCCGGCAGGCCCCCGTCCAGCTCCAGCGGCGGCAGCGAGCTCTCGTCCGCGAAGATCTCCCCACAGCCCGTGAGGGAGTCGAAGCTCTTGAGCGAGGCCACGTCCTCACAGAGGGCCCTGCAGAGGTCATAAGGGGCGTCGGGCAGGACCTCGCCGTCGGACAGGTCCTGGCACAGGCCCTCGCCCCAGGGGAAGGCCTGGCCCCGCCGCCCTCCGGACCCCGAAGGGCTCCCGGGCGAGGGCGGGCTCTTTCCCGGCGAGGCCGGCGTCTCCGTCTTGCTTCTGCGGAGGTGGAACAGGCTCCGGAAGCACTTCTTGGGCCTTTTCAGGGAGACCCTCTTCCTCGGCAGGCTCTTGGCCACGGCCGGCACGAAGGGCGCCTGCGGCACCGAGTGGCGGTAATCGATCATGCGCTGGCTGCCCGAGGGCCCCGGGAAGCTGGCACTGCCCACCAGGTGCCCCGGCGGTGCTGCCCTGCCGGCCCCCGGCCCACTGTCGGGGGTCTTGCTCTTCCGCAGCAGTTTGAAAGGGGCTGCCCCCTCGGGGTCTGGCTGTGCCGCCTTGCTGGAGCCCCTGAGGCACGCGTGGGCGCTGGGACCGGCGTGGGGGCCTCGCCCGCCCGGGGCCTGCTGCTGCGTCCCCAGCGAGACCGAGTCGGGGCCTGCGTCGTGCCGGGCGGGGGCGGGGGCGGCTGGGCCCGCGGGCTGCTCGTGGGAGACGTGCAGGCTGGATTTGATGAAAGTCTTTCCCCTCTTCAGCTCCATGCTGCCTGCACCGCGGCTGCTGCGGGGGAAGCAGAGGCGCTTAGTATCCCTGGGTCCGGCCCGGCTGCTCCCACGCGGGGCTGGGCCCTCCCTGGCAGTGGGGGACAGGGGACCAAGCAGCCCACCCCTGCTGGCTTTCCAGCCTCTACAGGCAGCTGACGCCCAGAGAAGATCAGCCACATGACTAAAGGCAACAGCAGGGCCTGGGTGGGAGCCCAGCGTCCGGTGCCCCTGCACCGGGGGCCTCTAGGCCCACCCAAGCCCCCTCTCAGAGACTGTCTGGCCCGGCCGGACCCCTGTCTTCAGGCCCAGGCGCTGTGCCGGGGGCACCCCATCCTGACCGGGGCATACCATGGCCCCCGTACGTGTGTGGAGCAGAGAACTCGAACGTAAGTTGCCTCCTTCCCCTAAGAGACAAGTTCAAAGGGAAACCCAGCCTGCCTCCTGGCTGCCCCGAAGGACCAGCCGCACCCGCGGGAGCGGGGGCGGGGGCGGGGACGTAGGGCTCGGCCCACACAGACGCCACCAGGCAAGAGGCTGCCAAGCATCCGATGGCGTGTGCAGCGCTGGGCCCCTGAGGTGAGTGAGCGCTGTGGCAGAGGGTCAAGGACAGGCAGCAAGCCCAGGGCCCGGCAGATGGCAGAGACGCAGGACGTCGTGGGCGGGGAGCGCTGCCAGGTGTCACCTTTTGCTCGTGGCCTGACTGAGGATGCGGGTGCTTGGAGAGCCGGGCAGGGAGGGTCCCCGATGCCCAGCCTGGGCTCGGAGTGGGGGGAGGGCGCCCGGGGGCTCCCAGCGTCCATCCCCGGGGGTCCAGGCGGGCAGTGAGAGCCAGTAGAGGGAGCGTGTGTGCCTGGCCGGGGAGGGTGGCCGTGCCCCGAGATCAGGGGAGCTCTGCAGGGTTCCCCAGGTGAGGGGGTGGGAGCCGCACAGAAGGAGGTAGGTGGTCTCAGACCCCTCATCTGCCGTCTGCGTAGAGGACAGAATGAAGTAAGAGAGAGGCTCTGAGCAGAGGACTGGAAAGAGGCAGCAGAATGGGCTGTGTGTATCCACACACGTATGTTTATATATGTATATACACGCATATATGTTTGATGCATGGGTGTACGTGCATGTGTACCCACGCCCGGATGGAGCTGCAGCCCTGGGCACCGGAAGGGGAGTCCAGCTGCCGGGCCTCTCAAAGGAACAGACACCCGACTGGGCTCCTCGGTGGGAAGGAGAGGCCGGCCAGGAGCCACTGCGCGGGGACAAGGGGACAGGGGACAAGGGGAGGCGGCGGAGGGATCGGCGGGACAGGGCGGGGCCTGTGCTTGGAGTGGGTTTGAGGCAGAGAGAAGAGTCCCGTGTTCACGACGCAGCCTTTGGGGTGAGCCGGGAGACCCAGGGGACCCACACCCCTGAAGAAGGCAAAGCCCGAGGACAGCCCCCACCCCCGCGCTGCGTCCTCGCCCGCTCAGGCCATCCGGCCTCCTCCTCTCCCTCCGGGGCGGTGGCGACCTGCGGGCGGGACCCCTGTCAGTCGGGGGGGACCAGAGGAGAGCACCGGAGGCTGGTGTCCGACGCGGCACAGGGAGCCCTGGACGCACGAGGCCCAGGCGGCCTGCTCCCCGCGCACGCGCGCTGCCCAAGCTCCTGCCGGGCCCCAGGCGCTTTGATCTGAGGAGCCAGGTGTGGGCAGAGGGGCGGCCTCATCGCCCGGGGGTGACCCTAAAGCCGGAAGGACGAGCGGGGCGGACCGCGCTTGGGCCCCCCGCCCCGCGCCCATAGCAGGCTGCCCGCCCCCCACCCCCGGCAGCTGGGCACCCGGGACTCTCAACAGCAGCTCACCTCCGGGGGGTGAGGGGGCGCCCCCCAGGCAGGGGACAGGCCTCAGGCCACTTCCTCTTTCCTGCCGGGGGGCTGTGCAGACCCCGGTCCACTCCCCACAATCCTCTGTGGCCTTGACAAGGTCTCTCAGCTCGGGGGGATTTCACTGCACAAAACGTCGTCGTTACTGTCTGGGGTTTGGGGTAGGAGGACCCGGATTTGAGTTTTGATTGCTGCACCTCGCGAGGCAGAGCGCTTGGCCCCCCCTTCATCAGGGGCCCGTTTTATAAAGGGAAGGGAAGGCCCAGGAAAGTCAACGCACTGGCCTGGGCCACACACGTGGTAAGTCCGGGGCCGTGGCAGGAACCCACGTCTGTGAGACTCTGAGCCCTCGCTCTCAACCCTGACAGACATTTTATGAGCCAGTAGTTCAAACTCCCCTTCATGGCAAATCTACCGATCAAATACTAAATGTGTCTTCGTGAGGGATTTTGGAAAGCATAGTGGAAAGGAAGGTTAATAGCACACAGGGAGCTAACACAGATTTAGATGTTGTTATCGAAGGCCACGCCATTTCTGTGGCAATGAACTTTGGAGATTTCCATGACAAGAGCTCTACTGAACTTATTCTCTTCTGTTTTAGAAAAATGTGTTTATGACCATATTCTTGAGCCTAACTTGAACCAGGCACGATAAAGATGATTTGTGTGCAGAATTTTGCAGCCACGAGGACTAAGATGATTCATTTGCTATTGATCTCTACGAATAAACTTACTGGCTTATTAATGATTGGAACAGCTGATTTAAAACCATGAATAGCTGGACATTTCAGTGCCCTCTGAACTTGGAAAAGGATCACTCAAAATAGCTGGCACGGGTACACATGGCTGGATTGTCTCTAGCATGGACAGCGCTGTGTCCTGAGCTAACTAAACTTTGCGAGAGCGGCCAGTCGGCCCTAAGGCCCAGAGCAGTGACCCAGAGGCTTGCACAATCCTGGAGCGATCACGTGAAGCCCAGTGCGCGCTCCGCCCAGTAGGTCTCCCCGTTACATACAATACTCTCTCCAAGCCTGGCTCTTTGGAAACGTCCAGTCTGTGTGGGATGCGGGTGGGAACTCCCTGCGGGCTCAGAGGGTCCGCCCCTCAACAGACACGGGCTGAGCAGTCACCCTCCAGGACAGCTTCGGGGTCCGAGTGGGATTCGCCTGGACAGCCCGGCGCTGGCACAGCCGCTGCACCAGGAGGAGGCCAAACGTGACCAGGGTCTCGGCTGCCACCAGGCACGTTCCGCTTTGAGATCCTGTAGCAACAGCCCCATCAGTGGGGCCCAGCGTGAAACTACGTGGCGCATCCCTCCGCCAAGGACGGAGCCGACCTGCCCTGTCCCCGCGGGCGGCTCCTTGGCCGGAGCCCTCGCTGGCCCTGACGCTTCCCTCCACCACCTGCTCGGGCCTCTGGCTCCTTCGGGAGGCTGAAGACTCGCAAGGGCTCCGGACTCCAGCCATGGCAGACCAGAGCTACTGCTTCTCTAAGCAGAGGGTTCCGTGTTCGAGGCGCCTTAGCCACAGGGTTCCGTTTGCGCGTCCTAAACAAGATGCTGGCTCTGGGATTGTTCATTCTACCGCTGACGCGCGCCCGGTTCCCAGATGGGTCCCCGTGGCACAGAGGGCCCCGCCTGAGCCTCTTTCCTCTCTGCCCTGAGCTTGCATAGCCCATGAGAACAAGCCACTCCGTGTATTTATGTAACCAATTCTGATTCAGGGACGTGGTCCATGGAGACGTAAAAGACATGTGGAGACCGCCAGGCCCCAGAGGCGGGAAGCGCATTCCAGGCACAGGGAGCATCCGCGAGGAGCAAGGGAGGGAGAGCGAGCAGGGGAAGGTCTAACCGCAGCGCAGAGGCCAGGGCAGCGAGCGGCGGGATGGGGCTGGGCGGTGGGCAGGCAGCCGCACGCGGCAGGCAGGGTCCTGGCCTTCATCCTGTGTGCCACGGGGAGCCGGGCACGAAGGGTGAGAGGCAGGAGCCCACGTCCAGGTTTAACGGGTCGCTCCAGCTGTAGCTGAGAAGGGGCAGAGGCAGGAGCCCTAGGCAGGAGCCCGAGGCAGGAGCCCGAGGCAGGAGCCGCAGCCGTGGCCGGTGGGAAAAGAGGCGGCAGGGGAGTCCCACGTGCACAGGCCTTCCTTCCCGGGGCCTGACACGGCGAACGCGCGTGCGCGGATGCACTGCAAGGGGAGCGAGGCGGGTCATTGCGCTGGCTGCTTCTCTGTGGGGCGACGCATTGTCGCCTCCATGGGCTGGGGTTCTCTTTGCCCTGGGGCGGGGCGATTCTGTGCTCTTTTTTTCCTTTTTTAACACGAATGGGACTGGGCATCCCACCGAGCGAAATAAAAGGCTCAAGGTGCAGATATGCTCTGGAAATGGTTTCAAGGTACAAAAACCTGGACTCACAGGCTTGATGTTGGTCACGCTCTGCCTAGCCCCGCCCCCACCACCCAGGACCACCAGGAGCGGTGAAGTCCAAGGGGGTGGGTGGTGGTAAGAAAGCAGGGGTCGCTTAGGGGAGATGCCCCAGGCGCTGCCTGGGCACGGGGTCAGGGTGCGACAGTAGACAGGGGGCCAGAGGGTCCTTCTGCAGGCTGCCCAAAGCCTCGGACGGATGGCGTGAGCGCCACCGCGGGAGGGGACGCCTCCGTGGTTTGGGTGGGTGTGGGGTCGGGAACAAAGCAGGGACGGGACTTGCAGTGGGCATCGCTGGCCACTCAGCCCCCGCGCTGGGGAGACAAAGGGCCTTTGCGGCGCAAGGCTCTGGCCCAGCTCCCCTGCGGGAGCCTTGGGTGGTCCTGGCTGCGCAGGCAGGCGGGAGGGTCGGTCTCCCCTCCCACCCGTTCTCCGCCAGCTCCCGCACCCGCCACCGCGGGCCGCGCGTTCCTTCCCTTCCCAGCCCAGACCTGCGGGGGTCACCGCCCCCCGACTCCAGGCCCCGCCATCCGCGAAGGGCGCCACGCGGCAGAGAGCGTGGACCTTCGTCCCTCCACGCGGCCCTCCCGTGACGCCACAGGATGCACACAAATTCCCGAACCAGCGCCCACCCGTTCCCCCCGCCGACATCCTAGGGGCCCTGGCGACTCACCGCGGGGGCCGGGAGTGTCGCAAGACGCGGCCTCAGCCAGGCCTGGAGCCGCGCCGACGCCGAGCCGCGCGCTCAGCACCACGGCCAGCTCCCGGCGCCGCGCGCCCCCGCCCGCGCGCGGGTGGGGGACCGAGGGCCCGCGTCCGCGCGCCGCCGCCGCCGGGCCGGCTGAGCGGCCGGCCGGGCCGGGCTGGGCTGGGCTCCCGGCGGGAGGGCGGCGGGGCGGGGCGCGCGGTGACGCTCCCGGGGCCGGAACGCAGGAGACCGGGAGCCGCAGCTCGCGTGCGCCGCCGCCGCCGCTGCCTCAGTGGGTCTCGCTTTGTTCGTGTTGCTACGCGTCTCCGTGTCCGCGGGTCTCTGCCTCCTCTCAGGGGTGCGGTGCAGCCTCCCTCAGGCCCCTCCGCCCGTGCCGCCGACAAGGGCAGCCGCGCGGAGGCCTCCCGCCGCCCCGCCCGCGCCCCCGCGCCGCGGTCCGCGCTCCTGGGAGCGCATGGGTGCAGGGGTCCGTGCCCGCGGCCCCGAGCGCCGGGCCGAGTTAACCGCCACCCTCGCAAGGGCGCGGTCACCCGGGGCCTCGCCTCGAGTCCTACCCGGATTCGGAAAGGGCTTGGAAGACGGGGCAGGCCAACCTCGGGATGCAGGGCAGCCTTCCAGAACCTTCTTCCCAGGGTGCCTTTCTTGGACCCGATGATACTGTTAATGGGAACGAGGGAGGCGCTTCCCCTCCAGGTACGCGTTGGCCGGGGTCTGCGGGCGCGGAACCCTGCCGCAGTCTTGGGGGAGGAGCGGAGGACCGAGGGTCCGCGCGCTGGGGGACGGAGGGACCGGGGGCTGCCGTGTGTGGCCGGGGGAGCAAAGCAGGAGCAGGAGGCGGGGGAGCAGCGAGCGCGCAGAGCCGGTGCCAGTGAGGCGCCGACCCCAAAGGGCAGGTGGGGGGGGGGCGCTGATCCTGGAGAAGACGGAGAAGGGAGGGGTCGCGCGGTCGAGGCTGGGGCTGAGAGGGGCCGGACGCAGGCAGGTACTCGCTCAGGCGAATGACAAAGGCCACGCCTTCTCTTGAGCCTAAGGGGCTTCCTGCCTGTGCCCATCTCAAATTTAATTAATAATCAAAACAAAAAATAAAACACCTGGACACATAAGGTGTGCCACCTTGACTGGGACTGGCTTTGCCCTGACCTTTGTACAGAGTCCCCTCCTGGGGACTCGGCTGCAGGCCCCGCCTCCAGCGAGCACCGCCCTCCCTCGTCCAAGCCGCCTGACCTCATTTCTTGCAGCTGCACCGTTTCTGCCCCCTCCTGTTGGCTGCCCCTCTGTCCTGGTTTCGGTGTAGCCGGTAGATCTACGAGCCTCCCAGTCTTGGCGCGGTGGCCTTGGGCCATAGGCGTCCTGCGGGGCTCGGTGGCCAGGCGCTCCAGGAGGGTCCCTGTGGGGGTCACAGCAGCTTTCCTGTTGTACTTGAGTCTGGATTGGTGTTGACCCACACGTGCACGAGGATCGACCGCCAGCACCAGGTCCAAGCTGCGGGCGGGTGCTCACCACCCAAAGCGGAGCTCGCCCCAGCCGGGCCTGCCCCGGCCCGGAGCGCCCTTGTGCAACTAATTGGGTGCTGCGCTGCTGGGCTCTAACTGCCAGGCGTGTTGTTCCTAAACCCTCTTGGGAGGGACTCTGGTGCCGGTCTGTGTCAGGTGCTGCCCGTCACGGGCCCTGGGCTACCTGTGTGGAGACACAAAGGGGCCTGCAGTGCGTGGCTGCCCCTGAGGGCGAGCGTGGGAGCGGCTGGGCGCGCACCAAGGCAGCCGGAGATCTGCCCCCGCCTGCCCCCGCCCGCCAGCCGCCTGTTAGGCCCAGTCGCGGAGGAGCTGGGACGGAGCGCAAGTGTCTTGAGGTGGGTTCCCAGTGGGTCGCCAGGTGGGCAGAGGCTGTGTTCGCCAGACCGACGGGGCTTCACGTTTGTTGCTAGTGCGGGTCTGAGGCCACTCGGCAAAAGTCTCAGGGAACACCAAGGCCAGCTGCCACCTGCCAGGTGTCCGAAGACCTCTGTGGTTTGGCAAGGTCTCGGGGAGCGGTCACAGAGAGGCCAGCAGACATCATCAGGCCGAAAGAGACCACTGTTTGGCTGCGTGAAGCGAGGGCTGTGCAGGGGGACAGCGGCCTCAGCTGGGCTGCGAGGGGAACACGGCCCTGACTGAGAGCCGCACCACCCAGGCCCTCCTCACACGGCCCGAGGTGCCCTCCCTCCTCCGGAGCCCCAGGCAAGCGCTGGCCCTTGACGGCGGCACCCAGATTCCCAGCACAATCCTGCCTCGCCCTGGCAGACAGAGTCCCCGCTAATTTTCACAGCCAGATGTTATGTGGGCGCCTCTCCCAGCCCTGGTGCCCCGGGCTGGGAAGCTCTGTGTGGCGTTAAAACCCAACGCTCCTCATGGGGGGCCCTCGCAGCTGAGATACCTCCCCGGATTCTCGGCTGCCACTGTGGGGCGGGGCCGGCGCTTTTCACGGCTCTGCCCTTCCTACCGGCCTCCACGTGGCTTCTCCTGTGAATCCTCGGTGATAAGACTTCTGTTCCGCGGGTCCACGCTTCACTACTCAGGTTGATTTTTCTACATTTTAGCTGTAATTCCCGTTGGCCCTGGGAGGAGGGAGGTGTCACTTCCACCTACTCTGCCGCCCTCCTGAGCTCCCCCAGGGGGTGGAGAATTTCAGCCCCAGGCCCTGAGACCTAATCAAGTTTGCCCAGAAAGACAGAGACACTTCCTGCCAATTGTGGGGCGAAGGGGTCGTGGCCGCCATTACGAGGGGGATATTCAGACCCAAAGATGAAGCAGGCAACTTCGCGGGACGTAACTGAAGTTATCACCAGGCCACCCAAGGAAAGGCTGGGCCGGAGTGGACATGCGGCCTTGCGATAGATGATTACTTATAATTGATACGCTTACCGGTTGGATATGAGGCTGCGTTGCCATGCCATTCCGGCTGTGGCTAACAGCAATATTTGTGGCTACATTGCAAAGAACGCAGATTGTCCTCAACCGGAAGCCTTCCTAACTAAGGACAGTGAAGGTGGTCAAAGGTCACAGCATGAAACTTGAAGTCTGGGACACAGAGATAGAATTGGTTTTGTTCACATACACAGCTATACACTTATGAACCAGTGACTCCTTTTTTTTAAAAAAAGATTTCATTTATTTATTTTTAGAGAGAGGGGAAGGGAGCGAGAAAGAGGAAGAGAAAGACCCATGTGTGGTTACCTCTCGCACGCCCCCTACTGGGGACCAGCCCCACAACCCAGGCCTGTGCCCTGATTGGGAATCGAACCGGTGACCCTTTGGTTCACAGTCTGGCGCTCAGTCCACTGAGCCACACCAGCCAGGGCCCCTCCCCCCTTTTTTGTTAGTATTATTAGTTTTAATCCTCATCCTAGGATATGTTTATTGCTTTTAGCGAGAGAGGAAGAGGAAGAGAGACATCGATGTGAGAGAGAAACATTGATTGGTTGCCTCTCCTGCGCACCCCGACTGGGGACTGAACCTGAACCCAGGCCTGTGCCCCGCCCGGAATCAAACGCACAGCCTCCTGGTGTACGAGACAATGGTCCAACCACCTGAGCCACCCCGCCCACACACACTTTTTTAAGCAGAAATGTGTGTGGCTATTACCCCGGTCTGGCCCACCACTGTGTGCTGGGAATGGGGTGGGGTGCGCATTTCTGCAGTTTCAGGGGTCCGCAGATGGAGCTTCAGAACTATGTTTAAAGGGTCGCAGGTAGAAACATCACCCTCACTCTCCTCACCCGAGGCTGAGGCCTTGGGCTGCAGGCGACACTTTAGCCGGTGGCTCACAAAGCAGCTCGCGCAGGCAGAGCGCAGGAAGCGATGGAAGGCGGAGGCGGGGCACTCCAGCTCGGCCGGTGGTGGGTTCATCCGCCAGGCGCCTCCTTGGCAACCAGAAGGCGCGCGCCTGCCGGAACCTCTGCGGAGGCCTCACCCGAGCTCGAGCTCGGCGCTCACAGTCCGGGTGGTCCCAACGGCGCCTGTCTCGCACATGCGCATCCCTGGAGCAGCTGCCACTTGGGGGGAGCTGGGCAGAGCCACGAGGACGTGGCGGGGGGGGGGGGAGGCTGAGGACCCGCCCATGCAGGGGTCCAGCTTCGCGGCCATCGGGAAGTCACGTCCTACCGATGACCCCCACCAGCAGGTGGGAATTCGGATTTTGTCTTGATGTTGCCATGGGGGTGGGGGAATCGAGAACCGTGGGGCGCAGTGAAGGATCTTGCTTTGGGGAGGACAGCGGTTCTCCGAGGGCCGAGGGCCGACGCTTTCCCTGACCAGGCGCTTGTACATGGCCCTCGGCCCAGGCCCAGCTCCGCGGCCTCGGAGGCCGCACCGCTTCTCGCTCCCCTGCGGGCCGCTGCGCCGGCAGCTGAAGACGGTGGTGCTCCCTCATGGGCCCAGGAGCAGGAGGGGCGCGGAGGGCAGCCTCCGGCCTGGAAATCAAGCTGGCAGTGCACGGTGACACTATGTAAGCAACTGGCCTCTGACCCCCCCGAGTCTCATCCTGGGCGCAGGGCATTGTTCCTCCTGGAAGAGGAACCCTGCGGGCCTCCTGCTTCCCTATTAGCCCGGGGGCTCCCAAGGGGGGCGCCCTGTTGGACCTGCCCGGCCCCCGCTTCTGCAGCTGCCCGCGCGCAGGGCCGCCCCGCATCCGGGCGGCGGTTTCCCAGCTGCCCCGCGTCGGGCGGCGATGGCGAGTGCATGGGCGCGGGGCGCAGGCCCAGGCCGGCGGACGGCCCTCTCCCTGGCCGTGGCGCTGCTCTGGCTGTGGCCGCCGCTGCGCGCCCAGCGCCGCGGGGCCACGGCAACGCCCACGACCACCGTGAACACTTCAGCCGGTGAGCGGGCAAACAGCGCGTCCCGTCCTCGCCCCGCCCTCGGCCACGGCCAGGGGCACCCCGACCAGCTGGGGTGAGCTCTGGGGTCCAGGGCTTGGGCGGGGAGACCCAGGTGCCCCCGCTCCCGGGTGCCTTCCCACCGATGTCAGCCTCCCTGGGTCCTGCCCCCCACCCTCCTCATTTCAAGAATGGCAGGCGCTACTTTGGGAGCCCGACTGTCCAGCAAAGTGCGCTGCGTGGGGCCTCGGCTCCCTAGAATGTGGGGCTGAGGCACGACCGCTCTCCCTGAGCACACAGCACCCCCCCACCCCCCCGGAGCCCCCCAGAGCCCCCCGGAGCCGGGACCTCAAACCTGTTCAGAGGAGCAGGTCCCAGGAAGGGCCAGGACCGCGCTGGGCCCTGGTTTGGCCCCCTCGCTCCCTGCCCCCCCCGCCCCTCCCCCCCCACCGCTGCTGCCGGACCCACAGGCTGCGACCTCCCCGCTGCCACCTCCCGTGACGCCGGGCGGTCCCTTGTCGCAGGGGCCATGTCGCTTGCCCCGGGCCCTGGGTTCCCAGCCGTGAAGGGCGAGAAGGGGACACGGCGGCCCAGGCCCCCGCGACGCTGGCCCGCGGAGGGCGCCCTAACCCGGAGCCGTGGCTGGGCTGTCTCTGCAGGGTGCGGGAGGCCTGTGGGGTCCGGGAAGATCCTCGGTGGCAGCGACGCGCCGGACCAGCGGTGGCCGTGGCAGGCCAGCCTCCTCTACCACGGAGCGCACCTCTGCGGGGCGGCCCTGGTCGACGCCCTCTGGGTGGTCTCCGCTGCCCACTGCTTCCAGAAGTGAGCCTCGGCCGGGGGCACGGGGCGGCGGCACCAAGCGGCCAGACAGTGGGGCGGGGGGTGCTGGGGGCCACGGGCTTCCCCGCCCCGCAGGCTTCGTTCTGGGACAGCCGGCCGCCCCCGGGCAGCCCCGGCCGGGGTAGCAGCCCCACTACCGGCAGTCCCGTCGTGGCTCAGCGCCCGGCTCCAGTCTGGGTCGCCGGACACTCTGGGGAGTCCCTCCAGGCCCCGCCTCACACGGCAGCGCGGCCAGCGCGGCTCCATGCTCGTTGCTTTTAGGTAGCTCCACGGAAACCGGCTCTAAATATGACGATCAGTAAACTGGGGGGGTGCGGGGGGAAGACTTCAGTTCCAACGTCATTGCCTCCAGTTCTCTGCTTATCGTCCCTAAACGTCAGGCATCTAAGCCCTGCTCCCACCCCAGGTGGACTCTGGCTTCTGCACCTTGCAGAGCTTGAGGTAGCCCCGCAGGACCCCAGGAGGCCTCGGTTTCCCCTGGTGCACACGGTGCCCCTCGCCACACGCCCGGCTCAGGCTTCCGGCTCTCTGCCAGAGGGACGGTCTGGGGCCCCCACTCCCCAAGGCTGGGGGCGGGGAGCATTGGCCAGGGCCCCATGCCGCCGGGATGCCCAAAGGCCGTCTGAGCACGCGTGTGGAGGAGGCTTCTCTGGGTCCTGCGCACCTGCCCGCGCGGCAGCTCCCTCTCGCGAGGCTGCTGGGCTTCTGCAGAGCCAGCCTGCGCCCAGCTCTCCTTTCCCTTCCGGCGCGCTGAGTAAGGAACACGAGTAAAGCCAATAGCCCCTGTGCCGGGCGGCGGGCGCCAGACGGCAGGAGGGCGGCCTTCCTCTGTGCGGGGGGAGTGGCGAGGACAGCGCGCTCCGCAGCGAGCAGGCAGAGCGGCCGGCATCAGCCGGCTCCGAGACTCCACTTGGGTTCTCTTCGTTTATTCCACACCCCCGGCTGCCAGGCCCCACGTGAAGCCCACCGGGGGGGAGGGTGGAGATGCAAGACCCACCTTGAAACTTCTCATCTGACGAGGAAAGTGACGCCAGTGGCCCAGGACGGGGGGGGGGGGGCGGGGGCGAGGGGTGCGCCCTGAGCAGGTGCAGGAGGAGCTGCGGGTCCGCCCGCTGCAGGGCCTCAGGGAGGAAGGACTCAGGCGGGGCGGTCTGGGCGGGGGCGGCCCCGCGGGACATGTGAGCTGGGAAGCCGCCCACGAGGAGCCCTTGCTGCCCCCTCACGCTCCACCGAGACCTGCTGAGCACCTGTCCCCAGGCGAGGACCAGCCTTTCCAGGGGCTGGCGGGCGTGGACTGGGAAGGGCGGGGGAGGGGGCCTTGGCAGTCACTCCAGACTGGACCTTCCCAGGGTCCCGGCCCAGCCGGGACTGGGCCAAGCCTCCCGCCCTCTAAAATGAAGGGGTGGTTCTCTGCCCCTTTGCTTCCGGGTGTGCGGGGTGGGGACGGGGGACCCAGGGGGAACTTTCAAAGACACGTGTGCCGAGGCTTCGGACAGCGCCAGACGCCCTGGAGGGGACACCTGGGAGGAGGCAGACAGGAGCCCCCGGGATAGACAGTGGGGCGGCTGCTGAGGGGCAGCCGGGCGACCACGTGGCCTCTCCGCAACAGGTCCCACCACCCGGGCGACTACCGGGTCCTGCTGGGGTACCACAAGCTGCACGAAGCCACCCCGCACACCCTGCAGATGGCTGTGAACCGAGTCATCGTCCACAGGGACTTTAACAAGAACCACTACATGGCGAACGATGTGGCGCTGCTGCAGCTGCGGCAGCCGGTGACCTTCACGGCCCACGTCCTGCCCGCCTGCCTCCCCGGGCCGCGCGTGACGCTGCCCCCGCGAACTGCCTGCTGGATCACCGGCTGGGGGATGGTCACCGAGGACAGTGAGCAGGGCCGCCCCGCGGGACGGGGGGAGGGAGGCGGGGGGCGGGAGCTGTGGCGGAGCAGGGCCCTCCGGCTCTGAGGGCGTGTCCTCCTAAAATTTTGAGTTCCCTTTGGTTCGCGGCTCAAACACTCTGAGCGTCTCCAACTCTCCGAGTCAGGACCGTGGGCCATGTGACGCCACGCCAGTCGGGGCTCCACGCGGAGCCCACGCAGGTGCTCCTGGGGCCAGGCCCTTCAGAGCCCCCTTCGCCAGACACCCCGAGCTCCCACAGCCACCGCGGGGTCGGAGCTGCCCTCTGGCCTGGGGGCCGAAGTGGGGCGTCCATGGCTTCGGCACAGCCCCCTCTGTGACCTGCGCTTCCCTGGGCCCTAATCAATAACGGCAGCCCCTTCTGGCAGCTCGCTGAGCTTGTGCGTGTTTAGATGGAGCAGGGAGACACACGGGGCAAAGGTTTTGAGGCGTTTGCTCTGTGAAAACATACCATCGGGGGAAAACGCGGAGTGTAAATTCAGCAGGATGTGCGGGGCCGGGGCCGGGACCGGGCACTGGCGGCCGGGCGCCCTTTGCCGGGCAGCCCGGTGCCCACTTCCCCGCCCCGTCCTCCAGGTGCCCGGCCCCCCACCGCCAGCCAGGAGAACAGCGTGCCACCACTTCCAAAGACACCCCCCTGGGGGGGCTCCTTGAGAACCACCCCCTGGGCAGTGTGGCTCCGCCGGCCGGGGGGAGCATCCGCCCACGATCGAAGGGTTTCAGGTTCCACACCCAGGTGGGGCACAGACGGGTAAAGCAGCCGCCTCCCTTCCTCTCTCTAAAGGCGACGGACGCTTGTCCACGGGTGAGGACTGAACAAAAGAGCCACTGGGAGAGCCAAGAAGACTCTCCGGGAAGGGCCGGGGGCCGGGGCAGGGGCAGGAAGGGAGGGGAGGGGAGGGGCTGGAGCAGCCGCCCCAGGGAGACGCAGCCTGCGGAGGGGTCCTCCCCGGCCGCCCCACCTGGGCCTGGGTCTCCCTTGACGATGGGGACGGCGATGGTGACACCGGTGACGGCGTGTCAGAGCCACACCCGGCTCGCGGGCCGGACCCTGTGCTGCCACCCAGGGGCTGGGCCAGACTGCGGGGATCCACGTGGAGCCCATCTGCGCACCAGACGCCCCCGGGGGCCGGCCTCGCCTTTGCCAAAGCGCCCAGCGCCGCCTGCTCCTGTCAGGCGGTCCCTGCCGCACCCAGACCGAGCAGGCGGCGCCCGCCCCACACCCCGGTTCTGTGCCTCCGGAGCGGCCTAGTGAACTGTTCCCGAACGTGGGCAGCTTCCCGGGCGCTTGGGGTGCAGTGCAGACTCCACGCGCGGGAGGGGGCCCTGCTTGCTCGGGGTCCCGCAGGACGTTGGCCCCGTGGACACGCCGGACTCCCGCCCTGCCGCCCTCGCCGCGGCGCTGGCCTCCCTCCCGGTTCCGCCCACGGTGCGCTGCTCGCCGCGGCCCCTTGTCTGCCGCGAACAGCTTTCCCCTCATCCTCACACAAGCCCTGCGAGGCTGCCCAATCCTCTCGGCCAGAATCGGCGGCCCCTCCTCAGCCGGCAGGTCAGGGAGGGCGCTGGCGGCTCTCCAGCCTCCGCCCCGGCCTGACCCACCCCCACCCCGCAGCCCTCCTGCCTCGCCCTTTCCAGCTGCAGGAGGCGCAGGTCAGCGTGCTGGAGAGACGGATCTGCCAGATGTTGTACCCCAGCAACAGCCAGTACGGCGTCCACGATGACGCGCTGTGTGCGGGGACCATGACGGACAACAAGTCCATCTGCCGAGTAAGTGAGGGCTCCGGGCTCCGGGCTCCGGGCTCCGGGCGGGGCTGCCGCTCCCTCCTCTCCTGCGGCCTCTGTCCCTCCATCCCCTGTCTTCCCGAGACTCTTCCTCTGCGCCTGACCTCTCATTTCTAAGTCCCCCCCCCACCCCGGCCAGAAGTGTCAGAACCAAAGGGCAGACGCCACCATATTTTTTCAGAAAGCTTGGTTGAGCTCTGGCTGGTGGGGCCCAGGGGACTGAGCGCCGGCCTGCGAACCAAAGGGTCACCGGTTCGACTCCCAGTCAGGGCACCTGCCTCGGTGGCAGGCCAGGTCCCCAGCAGGGGGCGCGGGACAGGCAGCCATACAGCGCTGTTTCTCTCCCTCTCTTTGTCCTTCCCGTCCCCTCTCTCTAAAAATAAATAAATAAATACTATCAAAAAAAAAAAAAAAAAAGCTTTGTCGAAGTGCAGCGTCCCTAGGGGAGGGCGCCATTTACAGGCGCACGACGTGATGCACTTGAGAAATTGAGACACTCACGGAGCCAGCCCCCAGGGGCCCCCTGGCACCCCCACACTGCACCGCCTCCCCCCAGACGGCCTGGCCCGGCCTCTCGCGCCCCCTGAGCGGGAGCCGCGGCTCCTCCGCGCGGAACCCTAAGGGACGCCCGCGCCCCCGGCCTCCTTCAGGCTCCGTCGCGCTTCTGGCACGGAGCCCCCTGCTGCGTGGCTTTGTTGTCCATCCTGCCGCTGAAGAGGACGCACTGGCTGCCGTTGTATTTTCCACGCGGGTGTTGGTGGCCTTTAGGCAGTTTCCCCTGGGGACCCTCACAAACGGCATTTCTGTGACCGCCCGCCCCGTGCATGACCTTGGCTGCACGAACCCGGGACGGGGAGTCCCGTGCCCAATGACACAGACACAGAGACCCAGGCAGCAGGCTGGCCCGGCCGCGGGCACCGAGCGGACGCCCCCGGGGCGGGCAGAGCTGAGGCTGCAAGGCTGCTCCGCGGCCACAGTTCTCGCTGCAAACCCTGCAGCGGTTTTCGTTTGCGTCCCTCGGGGAGCCAGGGCCGCCAGGCGCCTTTGTTTCCTGTGCGTTGCCTTTTTATGTGGAGGGTGCACGCGAGCGTTTTGCCTTGGTTTCTGGGGAGCTGTCTGTCGTTCCCCCACGTCGCGAGGAGTGTGTGCGGGGTCTATATGCTGCATGAGGTCTCCTCTATCCTGTGCGATCCCTCCTGGCTCGGGGCAGAGGAGCCGAGGCCCAGAGGGGGAAGGAGCCAGCCCAGGTGAGGCCGCGAGGCCGTGGTCAAACTCAGGAAGCCAGGCCCCCTCCGTGGGGGCTGTGGCCGCCGCCCGCTTCCTCCCACAGCCTCCTCTTGCCTCCTGCGCGTTCTTTTTCACTCTTTCTCCCTTTCCCTGGTCACCTCCCGGCAGCTCAGAGACCCGCCGCCAGGACTCCCATCCCCTTCTCCCCTCCCCAAACCCCTGCCCAAGCAGGGCCCACCCGGGGCTGTGCGCCCCAGCCCCTCCCGCGCCCACACTTCCCTCTCTGGCCTCAGTCTGGCCCGCGAGGCTCCTGGGCCTCTGTGCACGGGGCTCCGGTCCGACCCCAGCCCTCCTCCCCTGCCCTGAGCGCTCAGCACCGCCCAGGGCTGCCCGCACGTAACTGGGGTCCACTCTCCTCCTCCGCTGACCCCCGCACACCAAGGACCCAGCCCTCGCTTGGCACTTGCTGGTTTGCTTGTCTTGCGCGGTTTTTCCCTTCGATGGAGAGAAGGCTTGGGTTTCGCCCTCTGGGCCTCGCCGCTCCTCGCCCCCGTCAGCCTCTCCGCTGCGACCCGTCTCCGGGCGCGGCTCCCAGCCCGGAGCCCTCCTGCTACCCTTTATTGTTTCCTTATTTTTCAGCCCTCACCCACGGAGGGTGCGCTGGCTGGTTTTAGGGGGCGAGGGAGGGAGAGAAGCGTGGGCCGGTGGCCTCCTGCATGAGCCCCAACCTGGGCCGGAGCCGCACCTCAGGTGCGCGCCCCCGACTGGGAATCAAACCCGCAACCGTTCACTCTGCGGGGCGACGCCCCAGCCCACGGAGCCACCCAGCCAGGGCCGCCCTACCTTTCTTCTAGAGCCGTATCAAGTCACATCACTTCCCTGCTGAGCGTCACTTTGTGTTCCCTCCACACGCGCACACACGCACCCCTGGGCAGGCCCGGCCCTCGCACCGCTCGGCCCCCCAAGCCAAGCGCGCCCGCCCCCTCGGCCTGTTCTCGCAGGGCCCGGCCTCGCCGACCTTCGGGCTGGACCCAGAGAAGCTCCCTGGGGGCCAGGAGAGCGGCCGGCCCGCCGCCCCCACCCCCGGGCGCTTCTGCTCCCCGCTGGCACCTGCAGAAGTGGGGGGCTGCCCGCCACCCCTCTGTGTCCTGCACACAGGGCGCTCGGCCTCGGTTATGAAACAGGAGGTTTGGGGGTGCTGCGTGGCTTTGCTCCCCACATGTTCGCCTTGGAGATGGCAGCCCCGGTCTGCGGCCGCCAGCCGGCAGGGATTCTCGGGGTGCCCTCCGAAACCTCGCGAACGGGCTCCAGGGCCCTCCCTGGACTTTTGGCCCCAAGAGGTCGGCGGTGGGGCCCGGCGTCCGCACTTTGCAAATTGCCCAGGTGACTCTGACTGGAACAACTTGCTCGTGACTCTGCCCAGGCTCGCCGCCGCCTGAGCCCCGCTCTGGGGGGGACGGGGGCGGCCTCTTGGCGCCGCCTGCGTCCCGCGGCCCACGAACCCGCCCCTCTTTTCGCTCAGGGAGACTCCGGGGGTCCCCTGAGCTGCCAGCTGAACGACACCTGGTTCGTGCTGGGGCTGGCCAGCTGGAGCCTGCCCTGCCGCACACCCGTGAGCCCCAGCGTCTTCACCAGCCTCTCCCACTTCTCCGGCTGGATCCGCCAGCAGCAGAGCGCCGCGCCGCCCCCCGCCCGGCCTCCGCACCAGCCGGCCGTCGGGCCCAGCAACCCCGCCCCGGGCACCGGCCACCGGCCCCGCAGCCGCGCGGCCCTGCTGCTGTCGCAGGCCTTCCCGCTGCTGATGCTGCTGCCGCCCCCCGGGGCTCCGTGAGGGACCCCCGGGGCCCTCCGCCCGCCCTGTGGGCCCCGCCTTCCCGAAACGTGGCGTCTCTGGGCCCCCCGGTCCATCGGAGGCCTGTCTGGGGCCAACAACAAAGTAAAAATAATTCAACAAGCTTCCTGCTCCTGTTTCTGACCAGCCGCGCCCACCCCCACCCGCTGGGCTGCAAGCTCCTCCCTGCAGGGCGGTCGCCCTCCGCCCGGGGCTAAAGAGGAGGAGCAGGATGAGGACTGCGAGGGGCTGGCCAGCTGCAGATGAGTCCCTGTCTTTGGGGAATCTTCTAGAAGACCTGGCTGCCTCGGGGGCCGGGGCCTCGCCGGGGAGGGGGGTGGCAGGCCCTGGGGCCCACGGGGCACTGCCGGCCAACACGATGGGACAGGGTCCTCCCGGACACAGGCCGGCCTCCCTGCAGGAAGTGGCCGTGCGGGGCCTGGCCCACCATTTGGAGAGCTCGGCTCGGGGGACCAGCTCGGAGCCAGCCGCCCCTCAGCGCGCAGCACCTTGTCCTCGCTGGTCCCCAGGGCCTGGCCACCGTCCCTGTGCACTGGTCCTAGCAGCCGAGGTGTAGCTCGCCCGGGACCTGCTGGTCCAGCACTGAGGCTGCAGCCACCTCCCGGGCTGCCCCCTGCAAACAGGCCTGCATGACGGTCCCCCCGCCCCCCGCCCCCTTGCCGATGAGGGAGCAGCCCCCAGCCGTTGCAGCATCCAATGTGCCACCGAGTGCAAATTCTCTGTGCAAATTCTCTCCCTTCCTGTTGACACCGAGACAAGGCAGACCCTTGCCCGGGGGCGAGGGCCAGCGAAGCCAGGGGTCCCCTCGAGGTTTGACGCCCCCCCCCCAGTCCCGCCCTGCCGCGCAGAGGCGCCCGCTCAGCTGCGTCTGGAAATGAGAAGAGACGCGTCCCTCCCTCGGTTCAGGCTCCGCAGCCGCGGGGCAGCACACGGGGCTGGGGCCGGGGCCGGGGTTGGGGCTGGGGGCGGTCACCGCTTGGTCACTTCAGATTTGGAGCATCAGCCTCATCGCCAGGGTACGACTCGGGGCGAGAAGGAGAGAAGGCCGGTGCAGGGCCTGGACCAAGTGTCGGTCACAGGGCGTCTGCCAGCCGGGGTCCCAGGGGCAGGGATGGGCGCTGTGGGGAGAAGGCTCCTGGAAAGATGTGGGGGCTCAGCAGGCTGAGGAAAACCGGCAGAAGGAGCCTCTGTGGATGGAAACGCCCTTATTCCCGTCCACATCTTGGGTGGGGGCTCCTGCTGGCGGGACCCCCGCAGCCAGTGGCCGGGGGGAGCCTGTGGGCCCCGTCCCACAGGTGGGGCGCCCGGCCGGAGAGCACCCCGGAGGGACCGAGGCACCCGAATGGCGGCAGGTGGTGTAGGTCACTTAGATCAACTCCCGGCTCTAAAAATAATAATAAACTAAGGTTTGGGGTTAATTCGTTTTTAAAACACCTTCCTGAAGGCAAGCCGGTGACGCCGCAGAAGCAGCCCTTCCGTCACCGGCCTCGGCGGGCGGCCGGATCCCGCCGTTCGAGTCAAAGCGCGGGGGTTCTTAGCGCCCCTCGCTCAGCCTGTGGTCCAGCCGCTGGGACTCGGCGCCTCCACAGCCACAGGCCTTCCTAAGGTCCGGCCGGCCCATCGGGGTCCCGCAGCTGGTCAGGAGCTCGGGGGGCGCCCGGCCGTTCTCAGCGGAGGAGACACTGCCCCTCGTTTCCCTTTCCCAAGAGCAGACAGTCCGTGTGAAAGGAGAGAAGCTTCTAGAACTTCAACTACTCGAAGCTGAACTCAGCGGGAAGGCAGTGCTGCCTGTGTGGCGCGGAGCCGGACTGATTCCCGCAGGCCACAGAGGCCCTGGGATGCCCCCGCCGGCCACGAGGGCACACGGCTCCCAGGCCAGAAGCGGGAGACGGCGGTATGGCAGGGGGCGGGGGGGGCGCGGGCTGTCTCCCCACAGGCATCCGGTGTGACCTCGGATGCGGGAGCGGGCTGGGAGGTCCGGGCAGACAGGGCGCAGAGCCCTGTGGCCTCCCCCGTTCCTCCTCAGTGTCCTGGGCAGTGGGGCCCCTCAGTGACAGCCCCGCTGGAAACAGTCGGACACCCAGAGCCCGTGACTGCCTCCTGCAAAGGCCGGCCCCCCGCTGTCCGCGTGAGCAAAGCCAGGCGGGGAGGAGGCGGGCGGGCGGGGACAGGGGACGGGAGCCAGGGGCCCCTCCAGGCTGCCTCCATCGGCCGGCCGCTCAGATAACATCGGCCACACGTTTGGGGGAAGGGCCCTCTCTTGCCGCCTGGGGAGTCTCTGCTCTTTATCGCTCTCTCTGGGCACCTGGGGGCGGTGGACAAGGGAAGTCCCTTTATCTGCAGCACAAGAGGAGCCAGCAGCTTCCTTTTCAGTTTGTGGGCGGGATTTTACGTCGTTCTTTCCAGAGACGGGCAGGTGAACGGTTCCCGGTTAGTTGGTTCCTTCGTTATGCAGGTGAATGGATGCGTAGGTTAGATAGACAGATACAGAAAGATAACGTGGTTATTTGGGCTTTTCCCTTATAACCAGGAATTATTCTCTTCGGAGGACCCATGATCCTGGCTCCTAATTTTCTACCTAAAGTGTGAACGCGTGTCTGCGGCCTGGATATATTCCCAGGAATAGTCAGCGTGTACTCGATTGTCCCTTGTGCCAGAACCGCGGCCCCTCAGGGGTGGGTGTCCCCGCAGCCCCGTTTCCTCGGTGCGGCCGCGGAAAAGAGGACAGCATGCCGCCGGCCCCGCGCCGCGTCTCAGCGCCTCACACTGGTATGAAGTGCAGGCGCGGTGACCCTTCTACACGGAGAACAAACACAGGCAGCGAGCTCTTAGGGTACATTCGCGAAGCCCCTCGGTGGTTTGTTTCCATAACGGTGAAGCCGCCATACAAGGTGCTGCTCAGAACGCACTGGAAACTACTCAAGACAACTGGGCTATCAACTAGGGCCCAGAAGTACTTGTCTCAAAATTGGAATAATTGTTTTTCACGCCGACCCTTTACTGGGTCTACCTTTCTTTCTCTTTAACACTTATTTAATACGACCCTGAATTCTCACTTTCATAACCAATGGTTGAAAAGTTTAAAGGGGCCAATAAACTATTTTACAACGTGGATTTTTAAAATAATTGTATTTCAGAGGCTTATGAACTAAAGTGGATTTAAAGAGCCGAAAAGGGCCCTGACAGGTGTGGCTCCGTTGGTGAACCCAAAGGTCCCCGGTTCGATTCCCGGTCGGGGCACGTGCCTGCGTTGCCAGTTTGGTCCATTTGGGAAGCAACAGCTCTTTCTCCCTCCCTCCTTCTCTCCCTAAAATCAGTAAACATATCCTCGGGATTTTATTGTTAAAAGCTGGAAAACCAAAGGGAAATGCCATCCATCCGAAGGGCGTGGCTCCGTCCACAGGCCCCTCTTCTGTCTCCTGGAGTCTCCCTGCCGCGCCCCCGCCCCGGGACGCCAAGCCGCCGCCAACGTTCGCGCCGGTGCACTTCTCTCCCTAGTGCCTGCTTAGCGGGTCTGCCGCCCAGCCCCGCCTCCAGCTGGGTGCGTTGAGTCATGCGTGCCCCCCGCCCCACGCGGCCCCCGCAGAGCGCAGAGGGAGCACGCAGCCCGCGGAGGCCGGCCTGACCTTCCCCTCGGCGCCGACGGTGAGCGCCCTCTGGTCGCCTGGAGGCCTGGTGGCCCGCACCCAGGCGCAGTCAAAACCACCCTCGCGGCAGCACGTCCCAGCTGAGCCCCGGACAGCTGCCCGCGGGCAGGCGGCTCCCAGGGTCGATGGGAAAACGCTTCCTGCCCGCAGACCCTGTCCGGTCCACGACGGGCTTCCTATCCCATGGGCGAGAACCCTGCATCGGCGTTTCCATGGAAGTCAGCGGTGAACATTTTTCTTTTGCTTTCTTTTTTTTTTTTAATCCTCACCTGAAGACATTTCTTCATTGCTTTTTTAGAGGGAGGAAGGAAGACAGAGAAACATTGATGTGAACGAGAAGCATCGACTGGTTGGCTCTGTGCCCGGCCGGATGGGGACGAGACCCTCAGTCCTTCCGTTGCAGGCCGACGCTCCAACCAACGGAGCCACCCGGCCCGGGCTCCGCTGCGAACGTTTTAAATGAAATCCTGTGAGGTTTGTAAAATATCAATATTCTGATCAGTTGGTGTGCGAATTCAGGCTGTGTTGTCTCTTTCAGAGCCCTTTTTTCTCTCTAGTTCACTCTTACTCGTCGTATTCTTGCCTTTGGGCCTCTCGGGCCCGTGTCCAAGCGGGGCTGACTGAGACACTTGACAGACGCCGCTCAGAAACGCCCGAGCCCAGTCACGGTGTGATGGGCGGGGAGGCCGGCCATTCAGGCCCCACACGTTTCCCGAGCTCTTCCCAGGGTCGGCCGCGGGCGGCAGCTCCCGGGCAGCGGCTGACCCGCTGCCGCAGGCCCGCCGGCCGACACAGTGGGGGGGCCGCGGGACCTCCTGGGTTGGCTTCTCCCTCCCTGTGTCGCCTTTCCTGCGGGTCCTGCTGTGTAGAATCTTCCCCTTTTAAGGGGGTGTTGGGGAGAACCCCCAGAACTGCTCCCTGTCCTGGAAGGGCATGACAGAGGAGCACCCGCAGAGGGAGCCGCAGAGAAGGAGGCAGGTCCCTCCGCCCCCCACCCGCACCGCCCCCTTCCCGCCTTCCTGCGTCTGTGAGGCATGGGGCGGGGCAGCCGCTCCTTGCCGGGCACGGAGCACAGCTGGGCACACCTGCGATGCTGGCCCTGGCCCTCTCCCGCCCCCGGACCTAGGCACTAGCGGGGAGATGGACAGTGAACCAACGAAAGACAGGCGGCGCTGCGGCGGCGTTAGCCAGGACCGCGTCCAGTGGCTCCGTGTCTCCGGCCAAGGGACAACCCCAAGATTTCAGGAGAAGGAATGCAGTTTACAGCCAGCCGACAGGTAAGGGTGCACGAGGGAGAGGAGGCGCTCCCCTCAAAGCCGCTGTCCCCGAACGAAGGGTCAGGTTTGTTTTTATCCAGGAGAGTCACGCATAACCCTGAGGGCAGCCTCCTCCCCGCAGCTGCGGTGGGGACATAGCAGCGTGTGCAGTTAGAACACAGGCCTAGAAATCTGACGTTCCAGCGCCGCGGAGAATCCCCGCCCCTGGGCTGGGAGGAGACCTTAGGATTATAAACGGGGTATAACGAGAATAGTTTGGGAAGAGTCAAGAGGTCGGTATAAAGTCCTCGGGGCCTCTCGGGCTGGCCCCTGGTGACGCGAATCACCTGGGGCTTGTCGCTGAGTCGCCGCAGGCAGAGCACAGGTGTGGAAGGAAGTTCAACCCGTGAAGTGGCTGCGGTTCAGTTCTTAGCAGAGCCTGGGACGCGGTTACACAAACCTTATGCAGCCTGGAGTGTTCCAAGTGGGTTTGCAGGTTAACCTAAGCCGGGTGACAAACCCTGAGTGAACCCATCAGCGCCAGGCTGCCTGCACGCTGAGCCCTCGACAGCCTCCCGGATCAGCCGCGTGTGGGGCAGGGGGGCTGGGAGGCGGGAGCTGGGGGAGGGGGCGCCGGCCCAGCCGGCCAGACGCCAGCACAGGCCCCGTGCGGTTGAGGCCGCCGGGCCGGCAGCATTTGCTCTTGTGCGGCCAGGTCGTGTGCCCTGAAGCAACGCTTAGGGAAGCAAGAAACGCTCTTTCCTGAAAACGTTTATTAACAAAAACACTGATGTGATGCTCAGTTCACAGAAAGGCAACAAATACATTACTTACAACATAGGGAACTAAAGAGGACGCACGGACACGTGGGCCCGGCAGCTCCGGGGCCACCGCGCGGGGTCCCCACGGGCCGGGCGGCGGGCTCAGCCTCGCGGCCCACGCCGGGCAGGAGGAGGCAGGGCAGGAGGCCGAGGAGCAGCAGCAGGCGGCCGGCGGGCAGGCCTGGCGAGCGGGAGGGCAGGAAGTCTCTCCGGTCTGAAAGAAAGCCCCGCGGCACGTGAGAAAGACACGCTCTAAGGGTGGCGCACACGCGTGCAGCTGCTCCCACAGAGGCCCTTCTCAGGCCGCCTCCTCCCGGGCTCTGCGCCCAGGCCCGCGGCCCCGCCTGGGGCGCGGCGCAGGGAAGGTGCGCGTGCCTTTCGCCTTTCTGTCCCTTTCTCTGCCGTCCCAAACGCGGGATGTTGGTGGACCCTGGAGCTGAAGGCTTTGCTGTCATTACGGCAGAGGAGACCTGGCCCCTCTCATTTAGCACCTGAGTGACCAAAGGGGCCTTTCTGAGCCCCACACCAAGTCCTGTGACAACAGGGGGCAAATATATCTGACTTAAAATAGAAGGCAGCCTTGCCCTGCCTGATGTCGCTCCGTGGGCAGAGCGCCGGCCTGCAAACCAAAGGGTGGCCGGTTCGATTCCCAGTCGGGGCACAGGCCTGGGTTGCAGGCCAGGTCCCCAGTTAGGGGCCTGCGAGAAGCACCCACACATGGATGTTTCTCTCCCTCTTTCTCCTTCCCTGCCCTTCTCTCTAAAAAAAGAAAATCTTTTAAAAAAGAAGGCATCAAGTTGTTAGCATCTACCTCGTTCAAGGAAGGACCACCTTTCCCCCATATTAGTCCTAACGCTATTATTTGACTGGGGACAGTTTATCAAACAGGAAAGCGCCCACCCCCAAAGCAATGGCAACAACCCCACAAGGAGGCTGGGAGCCTCCCCCCCCCGGGCTCACCCCCCCCTGCTCCACGGGGGCCTCACTCTGAGCTCCGAGCGCCCGCGGCTCCCGCCTCCCGCGTGGCTGGGCCGCTAGCCCAGATGCGCTGAGTAGGAAGGGCTGTCACTGCCCCTGGTCGGGGACACTGAGGCTGGGCAGGGGACGTGGCGAAAGCCCTGGCCACAAGCGAGTACCATCGGCCGCGCCCGGCGGGGACGTCCAGGCAGGGAGTACAGCTCTGCCACTGCGTTCTTGAGAGCATTCAGCGGGTTCTGCATGCTAACGGAATACTTAGCTGTTTGGGGCCACAGGTAGGAAGAACCGCCCTCCTAGTATAAGGAGATCTCGGGCTGGCTCAAGGGCTGGCAAAGACCCCTGCTCGCCGACCTGACCGCTTCCCTCTTTTTTTTTTGTACCCTAATTAACTTAGTGCCCACCAAGTATTAGCGGGTAGTGTTCACAACCTTCAAAAACACATTTCAGGAAATTGGCATAGACATGCTAGATAATGAAATAATTCTAACCTCACTGCATTAATTTGAATACTTTGGTGCAAAATGTAACGATTTATTTTTGTGCTTAACATGTAACAGATGCAGTGCCTTTTCATCTTAACAGGAGACCGGCAAATATGTGGAGTCCAACATGTGGAGTCCGAGTCCTCTAACCTTTCCTAAAGATCATAAACATTGTAACAAGTAATTGAGGGGATTTTTCTGCTTTTTCTATTATGACACATTGTCTCTTTAAATTTTCTTTTAATTTCTTTCTTTTAAAGATTTTGTTTATTTATTTTTAGAGAGAGGGGAAGAGAGAGAGAAAGAGAGGGAGAGAAACATCAATGTGCGAGAGATACATTGATTGATTGCCTCTCATGTGCCCCCAGCTGGGGACCTGGCCTGCAACCCAGGCCTGTGCCCTGACTGGGAATCGAACCCACAGCCCTTTGGTTCACAGGCCGGCGCTCAGTCCACTGAGCCCCCCAGCCAGGCCTCTGCTTAGTTTTATACTGATAATCACTCTTACAGGCAGAGCACAGAAATGGCGCAGTGGCTGAGAAGCGGACCCTGGGCCCTCCCGCACTGTTGGTGGGAATGTAAACTGATGCAGCCACTCTGGGAAACGATACGGAGAGTCCCCAGAAAATTAAAAGTAGAACTTCCATACAAACCAGCAATTCCACTTCTGGGTATTTAGCGCAAGAAATCCAAACCACTAATTCAAAAAAAGCTATGGGCATCCCTACGTTTATTGCAGCATTACGTACAAATAGCCAAGGTAGGTAAGCACCCAAGTGTACCTCGCTGGGTAAATGAATAAAGAAAATGTGATATATATGTAATTTTATATATACAGGGTCTGGCACTACGAACGCCCCTTTTTATTACAAAATCATGAGCATGTAATTCTGAACCATAACAATATCACGCTCAAGCAACACCGCATGACATTTTAGGTGAAATGTTCAGAGTTAAAACTATGAATTATTGCACCCATATTATTACCCTACCAACCACACTCAAGTAGGCCTTACTTCTGCCGGACCCTGTATAACACATTTATAATTATTCAGCTATTATAAAAGGGGAGTCTTGCCATCTTTAACAACATGGGTGGACTTTGAGGGCTTCGTGCTAAGTGAATTAAGTCAGACAGAAAAAATGCCATATGATGTCACTTATATGTAGAATCGTATATGAAGAAAGGAACTAAAACTTACACATACAGAAGACAGGTGTGTGGTTGGCAAACGTGCGGGGGGCGGTAGGGGGAGGGGTGAAACGGGTGAAGGCGCTCAAAAGGTGCAAGCTCCCAGGCGTGAAGGTCGTCCGTGGGAGGTAACATATGCTGGGCACTAATACTGTGTTGCAAGTTTTAAAAGGATAATACACTATGTGATTCACAGCTGACGTGACTTTCCTGAGGGATGACTCGACCCAGTTTGCTCATTTCTGTGTCGCCTGGCACAGGCGGATCTCTAAGGACCGAAGGGCATAAAGCAGCAACTGCATGCGTGTGTGGACTGTGCGCACAGGACGCGAGTCCCCTTACCGCAGCGGCCGGGTGTCTGGCGGGGGAGGCAGTGCAGGACCCCGAAGACGCACCTGCACAGCCGGCAGCCGCGGAAGGTCCAGGATCCGTGCACCAGGGCGCCGCACTCGCTATGAGGCCGAGACAGCGCGTGAGGGCAGCCGCCCCGCGCGCCCCCGCCCCGCCTCCCCGGCTCCGCGCGCCCCGCCCCCAGCTCCGCCCCGCGCGCCCCGGCTCCGCGCGCGCCCCCGCCCCGGGCCCGCCGGCCGCCGCGCCCGCGCCCACCTGTGCCTCTGGTCGTGCTCGCAGTAGCGGCCGGTGAAGTGGGCGGAGCACACGCAGAAGCTGCCCAGCACGCAGGTGCCGCCGTTCCTGCAGCAGAGCGGCCGCGGGAGCGCACCTGGGGGGGCGGCTCGGGCGTCAGCTCGGCGCGCGGGCGCCCCCTCCGCGCGCATCGGCCGGCGGAGGGCGGGGAGCCCGCCCCGCAGGCAATAACATTAGCCCCCTGCCGAGCGTGTTTGCTCGGGTAAACCCCGCTCGTTCCTTAGAGGAGGGAAGACGAGCTGCCGGGGCGGGGCGGGGCGGGGCGGACCGCGTCCGAGGACGGGACGTGAAACCCTGCCCCCAGCGAGGACGGTTTTCTTTCTTTCACATGTTAAGTCCAGGCTGTGACTTAGTGACAGTGACTGAAGACAGGCCTCCCGGGCGAGGACCACCCACGGGTGCAAGGACGCCCCCCTTCCCCCCGCCGCCCCCCTCCCCCGCCAAAGGACTCCATGGGGACGTGGGGTCTGGAGCCCGAGAGGGTTGAGATGTGTGTTTTAAATGCATTTCAGTCAGCTCTCTGGGCCATTGAAGAGCGGATGCAGCGTTTACCAAGGAAAGCAGGAAACTTCAGGGCACAAGAGCACCTCGCTAGGAAATAGTTTTGCTTTATAGTGTATCGCCCTTGGAAGATGATCGAATTTTCTCTTGGGTTTCTCGTTTGATCCTTGGCGTAGCCCAGGCTTTCCCGGGCCCTAACTTTGGAGTCTGGCGGCGGGGTGACGGGCCGCGAAGGGGTTAAGGCGGTGTGGGACTCACGCTCTCCTCGCGAAGCCCCCACGTGGGGAAGCAGGTCCTGCGCGCTCGCGTTCGCGCCCCGGAAACCGGGCCACGTCCCGCTGAACGTTTTCCGCGGGAGCCTCTGGTCTGTAGCGTTGCTGATTTCCTCACCGCCGCCTTCATGGTCCTCCCCCCAGCAGCCTTTTAAAAACATCGGAAATAGGCGACTGAGGATGACTGAAAAACAACTACGCAATAAAAACTAAACGACTGCTAGAAAAACGCTTCTTACTGTCTCCCAAAGGAATGGTCTGCAACGCCAAACCGATCACAAACAGAAGCCTAGAAATTTAAAGAAAAACCTTGAAATTTAAAATGAAAAAAAAAAAAGCATAAGCAGAAATGTACGTACGTGTGCAAGCAATGCAATCACACATAAATATAAAGGCATATACAATGTTTAAGGCATAATAACTATTATGCGATCATTGTGTAACCTGCAGACTTTGATTGCCATATTTTGCCATGTAAAATGCGCACCTTTCTGCCCAGATTGTTGAGGGAAAATAAGAATGCGCATTATACACGGGAATAATAGTGGGTGCAATAATCCCGTGTATAATGCGCACAAAACCGTGGGTGCACATCATACACGGGAGCAATTGTGTTGTCATCACTTGGAAGCATTTCGAGACCAAGGCGGCGCAGAGTGTCTCAATGAGGAGGAGCGCTCTTGCCTGCATCGCAACTTACTCTGGAGGCTTTTAACCTCCCCCTTGGCTCTAAGACCTGGAGGATTTCTGTCCTTACCTCACAGCGCAGCTCCGGGCCATTTTCTCCCCGACTCCGCTGGTAGGAGAGCCTGCTGCTCTCTCTCATCAATACATTCAAGATCGGTCTGCAGGGCCGTGGAGTCTGAGGTGCTCGTATTTGAAAGTTGGAATAACCGCCGGAGGAGACCGGACAGGGAAGAGCAGAAGATGCAGGTATTTCCCGCCTCGGCCTGGGCCACAGGAAACCGCCAGGAGAGGGACGCCTGTGCTCTGCCGTGGAAGCCGTTGGCAGTGGCCCGCGGTGACTGTCCCCTCAGGAGACTCCGCTGGGGGCAGGGGGTGGAGACACGGGGCGGATCCTGTCCCCAGCCCTGGCAGCCAGAGCAGCAGGACCGGTCAACCCTGACATAAAACATCGGTAACCAAGGCAACGGCTCTTCCCCTCACTGAAAAAAACAAAAAACAATTAAAATCCCAACAGGAACAAATATGTGTTGGTAGGAAAATGGAGATGCTATGTTGCTAACTGTATCCCGGGGGGTGGGCGGGGACCCAGCTGGCGAAGGGACGGCCCAGCAGACGCCGGCCCCAGAGGTCTTGAGTGGGGGCGCCGCTGGGCACCCCGTTCCCACAGGCAGAGCCTTTCCTCCCTGCCCAGCGGCGTGCTAAACACATCGTGCCCTGCGCTCAGGTCATAGAGCCCTGCTCCGGGGAGGCACTGGTCTCCGCCCCCACGTAGAGGCACAGAAGGCACAGAGATTAATGCCCTAGTGGCGGGTAGACCTTTGCAAAACACGAAGCGCACGGAGAGTGGGAGAAGGCCCAGGGTGCTGGGTGCCCAGAGCTCCGGGGCACAGGGGAACGGCGACCACGCCCCCGCCTTGGCCGAGCCACCCTGAGGCCAAGAGGGGGTTATTGGGGAGGCCTCTTCTGAGACTGTCTGAGTCTCTATTTTTCTTGTTGCCAAAGCAGCGCCTGGAGCCCTCTTCTGGGCACCAAAGAGGACCCCTCGGCAGGTGGGTACCTTCGGGCCTGAGATTTTAATATAAAAACTGCTTTCTAAAAATAGCATGCTTCCTCCAAGGACGGTACTGCCTCTGTTACCGATTTAAACTGTTAAGCCTTTAAAGGCGAGGTTGGCTGAGGAGGCTGTTAAAGAGACCAATGGCGCCTGACTCAGCCTGGCTGCAGGGAGGCCCCGGGGGCGGTTCTGGGAGCCGCCGGGACCTGAGAGGGACCTGAGCGGGACCCGCGGGACCCGCGGGCAGGGCAGGCAGAGCCGGACGCCCGGCCCGGCGCCTTCGCGAAGGCAGCTGGAATCAGGAGCAACACGCTTTCACCTTAGTGCCTCCTACCTGTTAATTCCACAAGTCGGTTACACGTAAAAGTGAGTGCACTTTATGACTTTAAATCACTAGAAACGTCTCGACGACCTAAATGGCTTATACATGAAAATGAAATCCTCTTTAAGCTCGAGGAACGTATTATTTGAGTAAGAAGTGTAAAAGCGGTTCAGTTCACAGGATGATACTGAATCCAAACCTTGCTAATAATATTTTAAAATGTTAAAGTGGTATCTAAAGTCTACCTTCCCCCACAGTCATTTTTAATTAAGGGTGCAGGGCGGACATTTTCAAACTTGCACAAAAGCTGGCGCCGTGACCGCGTCAACCTGCCTGGGTTCCACAATTAAATATCCACCTTTGCCAACCTTATCTCATTTATTTTCCCCCATACGTCTTTTCCTTGGAGTTGTTTTTTTTTTTTAAAGCAAATCCAAGGCATCATGATATTTTCTATGTCAAGTGAGGCTTTGAAAATAGGCACTTAATAAAGGGAAACTATAGACATCAGGAGGGAATGAGAGGCTAGAAGTAGCCGTGGAATGTCCCACCTCTGGCTGTTTGCTTAAGATCTAAGTCGGCTCAGAGAAAAGGCTGGGGGTAGGGGGTGGGGTGGGGGCGTCAGGGGGGTGGCGATAAAGTTGCTAAACCTCTTTCTCAGCAGCCTGTCACTTGCTCTCATTGACTTAAAGGTCGCATAAAGAACTTTGCATTTCACGGCGAGAGCCCAGGTTTGCTTGGCTAAGGAGGCCCAGCTGGCCGGGGGGCTCGGGAGCAGCTGGTGCCGGAGGCTGGACCCCGGCTCCAGGGCGCAGCCTCCTTCTCCTTATCAGCTGCGAACAGATAAGGCTGGAGCCAGGGCCGCCGCCGCCAGAACCTCCCGCTCCTCTCGAGCTGGGGAGCTGGGCCGCATGGAGGTGCGTGGGGACGGGACACCCTGTCTCAGGACGGGAGGCAGCCCCACCTCCGCGTCCTTCGTACATCAAACAGTCGCTGGTGAAAATGTTCTGCAACAAATTAGGTGCAAAGGAGTCATCCGAGAAGGACTTTGTTGCTCAATGTGCGCTGCCCCCTGCGTTCTCACCCCGGGCCTTTGGCTCAGAAACCGGGCGGGGCTGGGCGCCGAAGGGTGGTTGTGTTTTATTTCTCACCAGCCCAGGGGACCCTGGTGTGCAGCCGCAGCTGTGACCCTAAGCCTGTGTTCTGCGGGGCTGTGTGTCCCCAAGGATGGGACGCCCCTTTGGAGACGTTGCGCGCCACCTCCAAGCACAGAGCCGGATGCGCCTGCCACACAGCAAAGTGCTGTTTCTGTGAATGAAAGAATAAATGGATGATCCTGCTTACACCCCCTTTTCAGTGAGGAAAGTGAAATCAAAGAAGCCCCAGCTGGTGTGGCTCTGTGGGTTGAGCGCCGGCCTGCGAACCAAAGGGTCACTGGTTCGATTCCCAGTCAGGGCACAGGCCCGGGTTGCAGGCCAGGTCCCCAGCAGGGGGCGCGCGAGAGGCACCCACACATGGATGTTTCCCTCTTTCTCCCTCCCTTCTCCTCTCTCTAAAACCAAATAACATCTTTTAAAAAAAAGAAGACGACGAAGCTGGCTTCGGGATGTATGATCTGGGGGGAGGAACAACCTTCTCTCTCCCAAGTTCTTCTGTCTGCTTGAATCAAAAGGACAGGGAAGAGATGAGCAAGAGAAAAATGACCAAATTTAAGAATTTCGTCATGGGAATTGTGGGCAGGGCAGAGCCGGAGGCCCCACGCACCGGAGGAGCAGGGGTGGGAAGGGGATGGGGGTACCAGACGGCGGGAGCTGGGCCTGAGGCCACGCGCCCCGGGGTCACGGCAGCATCAGAGAGCAGATGCTCAGTAAGCAGGCGGCTGTTCTGCCTTCCATACAGATCCCAAGAGGTAACCTCTCTCTCCTCACGGCCTGTGGTGGACAGCGGGGGGCAGAAGTCCCCCCCGAGCGGAAAGCTGCCTTTAGCTCCAATCTGCCTCCACCGAGGGACACCGAGGGGTGACTCGTTCTGAACCCCCAACGTCCCCGCCTTGGAAACCCGCCTGGAAATTTCACATTTCAGAAGTTAGGTTGTTAGATTGTTCTTAAAAAAAAAAAAAGAAAAAGATTTTATTTATTTATTTTTAGACAGAGAGAAAGGGAGGGAGAGAGGGAGAGAAACCTCCGTGTGCGGCTGCCTCTCACGCGCCCCCTACTGAGGGCCCGGCCCGCAACCCAGGCCTGTGCCCCAACTGGGAATCGAACCAGCGACCCTTTGGTTTGCAGGCCGGCGCTCTGCCCACTGAGCCATGCCAGCCAGGGTGGGCCTTGTTTTCTTATCCACGCAGCCACCGTGGCTCTTCTGATGAGAACATTTCATTCATTTCCACTTAAAATGATTGTTGATAGATACGTATTTATTGCCACTGTATTATTCATGCATTTTTCCTTCTTAAACAAGACCCTTTAATATTTCTTGTAATGCCGGTTTGGTGGTGATGAACTCCTTTAGCTTTTTCTTGTCTGGGAAGCTCTTTACCTGTCCTTCAGTTCTAAACGACAGCTCTGCTGCGTAGAGCAGTCTTGGTTTGGGGCCCTTCCTTTTCCTCACTTCCAATATTTTGTGCCATTTCCTTCCGGCCGGAGAAGGTTCCGCTGAGAAATCAGCTGACAGTCTTATGGGCGCTCCCTCGTGGGCAGCGAACTGCTCGTCTCTTGCTGTTTTTAAGGTTCTCCCGTTCTCTTTAACCTTTGCCGTGTGGATTGCGGTGTGCCGTCGGGTTCACCTGGTTTAAAACTCTCTGCTCTCCCGCGACCTGTGTGTCTGTGTCCCTGCACCAGGTGAGGGGGTTCAGTCATCATTTCCCTCACACGGGTCCTCGATCCCTTGCTCGCTCCCCCTTCTCCCTCTGGGGCCCCTATGACGTGGGTGCCGTCACACCTGATGTCCCACAGGTCCCTTCAACTATCCTCATTGTTTTTTAAATCTTCACCTGACAATGTGTTTTTATTGATTTTAGAGAGAGGAAGGGGGAGAGAAAGAGAAGGGGAAAAACATTGATCAGTTGCCTCCCCTACACGCCCTGACCAGGGATCAAACCTAGAACCGAAGTATGTGCCCTGCCTGGAGAGCGAACCTGCAGCCTTTTTGGGGTGTGGGTCGATGCTTCAACCCACGGAGCCGCCCAGCGAGGACTAAACTATCCTCATTTTTTTTAAATTATTTTTTCTCTTCATTGTTCCAGTTGGGTATTTCTGCTACCTTATAACTTCAATAGCTCTGATTTGACCCTCTGCTTCTCCTCATCTGCTACTGATTTCGGTGGCATATTCGCCATCTCATTTAGCATATTCTGCGTTTCTGGACTGCGTCTCCATGGTTTCTCTGTCCTTCACCCTAATGCTGAAGCTCTAAGTTCCTCGCGCACCCTCATAACCACTGTTCTGAACCCTGTATCTGGTGGTTGGCTTGCCTCCCATTATAGTTGGCTCGGTTTTTTTGGCGCTCTCTCCTCTTCTCTCATCTGGGCCGTGTTTCTCTGTCTCCCCAAGCTGGCTGCCTCCCTGTGCACGTTTCTGTGTATTAGGTGGAGCTGCTGCGTCTCCAGTCCAGGCAGAGGGGCTGGGGGTTGAGCCATTGGCGCAGCCTTGCCGGTAACCCAAGCTGGTACAGCGCCCGCCTGGTGGCTCAGGGGGTTGGTGAGGAGCTCAGCAAAGGAGCAGCGGCCTCTGCCAGCTCTTCTGTCTGGGAGAAGGGTGCTCCCGCCCCGGCTCTCACCCTGACGTCTGATGCTTCAGTTCCTCCTGCAGGTCCCCGGTGCCTTCCGAGCTGCTGCCCCGGCACTGGGCTCAGAGGGGCCAGTCTGTCGGTAAGTCTGCGGCTCTTTAAGAAGGACGCCTGGGACCCCAGCCCTGGCCTGGCTCAGCCTCAGCCCTGCGGGCGTTCACAGCCAGGAGGGATGGGGACTCTCTTCCCGGCCCTCGAACCCTGGACTGGGGCCCAGCGTGGGGCCGGGACTTTCTGATCCTCGGGAGGGACTTGTGCAGCCGAGCCGTCCCTCCCAATTTTGGTCTGACACACGTGGGCGTGGGACCAGCCTGTGCTGCGTCTCCACCGCTCCTCCCGGCCTGGACGCGGCTAATTCTGTGCGTCCTTACCTACAGGCCTCCAGCGGCCAGGCCTCAGGTGGCCCTCTGTGGGGCCGGTCGGCAGGTTAGTTGCGACTCCTAGGTGATCATGGAGGCGGCGAGTACTGCGTCCTCCTAGGCGGCGCCTTGACCGCAAGCCGGGCGTGGATTGGATTGTCCTTCCTCCCGTTAAATCCCTTTCAGTCTTGAGACAGCGCAGTGTGAGGTCTTTCCTTCGTCTTCCAGTAGGTGGTACCAAAGCGCAAATCCAGTTCTATTCAATCCTATTCATTATTCTATTCTATTCTGTTCTGTTCTGTTCTATTCTATTCTATCCTATCCTATCCTATTCCATTCCATGTTTATTCTATTTTTACCCACACTGCTGGAGTCTTCGAGGTTCCTGTGGGGCGGTGTCCCTCCGGCTGTGGAAACGCTCCCATCCCCGGGCGCCTCGGGCACAGGGTACCGGGTGGGAAGGGCTGTCTTGGCCGCCCCTCTCCCTCCCCCTCCGTCCGGGGCTTTCCAGAACCCCCCCCTCCGCCACCCATGTTGTGTTTCCTCGGCTCGAGTCTGCACACGAGTCTGAGTGCGTCTGTGGTATTGGAGGGAAACAGAAATGTGGCTGAGTCTCCTCTGTGAGGCTGGCTGTCTGGTCCGGAAGGTCTCGCCTCCCCACAGAACAAACCCGCGGTGAGGGCCACTCAGTGGCAGGGGCGACAGTGTGGTGTGGGCCAGAGGGACGGGGGACCGGCGCCGGGGTGCGGGCAGAGGCGGGCAGAACGGGGGCATCTGTCATAGCGCAAACAATAAACATAAAGGGAAAAAAGCAACAAAAGGAAAATAAATAAAGAAATTGATGTGTAAAAATAAAAAGGTTGCAGTGATGACTTGAACCTGCCAAGCCCCGGAGGGCAGCCACCGATGTCAAAAAATAAGAAGAAGAAAATAAAAAGAAATAAAAACAAAGGGAGAAACCGGAAGCCCACTGAAATATCCAGGGTACTGTATTTTGCCATGAATAATGCACACGGTTTTGCTCACCCATTTGAAGGAAAAACAAGGAAAAACAAGGACCTGAAATACATGGTCTCTGTTCTTGTGTTTTGTAATTACTTGTTACATAAAATTCATTGTACCATAATATGTTCAAAAATAAATGTTAAAACTCCTTTATAGTACCAAAAACAAGGATCTAAATATAACTAAATAATTGAGTTTATAAATTAAAATGAAAGATTTTGTTTCTTGAGAGTTTGGCCCCAAAACATGGGCACACGGTATGCACAGCAAAACGCGTAAAGGGTCCCCAGGAGTTTTTCCCGCCAGCGCAGCCAGGCAGCCCCCAGCGCTCAGCAGACATTGATCGGGTGCCCCACAAACTTAGCTGCGCCCGGACATCGACCTTCTGGGAGCGCGCGGCCCCCAGGGCAAGGGCTCAGCCCCACAGCGCAGCTCCCACTTGGGACCCCAACCGCAAGTGCAGGTGCTTCTGAGCGGCTGGCTGCAGGCCGGGGGTCCCCACACCCCGCTCCTCGGGCTTCGCCGATTGGCTGGAGCGGCTCACAGGGCTCAGGAGACCCATCCCCATCCTCCACTGGCGGTTTATTACAAAGACTGTTGGGGGTGCAAACGAACTCTCAGTGGGGAGAGGCCTTGGGGGAGACCTGGAAACACAGGCGCCTCTGTCCGTCTGGGGTTGGCCGGGGCCCCTCCCGGCACGGTGGCTGCATTGGGGCACCAAGCTGGACACACTTCCCACGGGGAGTTCGGGGTCCGTGGAGGCCTCCTCACTGCCCACGACCAACGACGCCGCTGGCCCTGGTGACTGAGCTCCATCCGCAGGCCCCACCCCACACCCGAGGGGAGGGGGCATGAAGGGGCGCGTTCCCACCTCTAACCTTGGGGCGGGTTCCCCTGGCAACCAGGCTCCCCTCGGTGCTGTCCAGAAGTCGCCTCATTAACATAAACCAGGCAGAGCAGACAGGGGTTTGTATAAATGACAGGCTCTGAAGTGATTCAGGAATGGAGGACAAAGGTCAAATATAATAACAAAACACGCTTCAGAAATTCTGGGGGGAGGGTTGGGAGCTAGGAGCCAGGGACTGCAGACAAAGCCCGAAACATGTTTTATAAACCAGGATGTCTCACAGTGTGGGTAGCTTTTAAAATTGATTTAAAATGCAGGTTGAAAACACGACCTGGCCGCTTCCCCACACTCTGGGCTCTTGGGAGGGGGTCAGGGTGGAGAAAGGGTTACAGGACAGACAGAAATCATGCGCCCGGCGCCGCTGGACCAAACAGCACCCTCGAGGGTCTCAGGGGACTAAGACCAGCTATTTATTTGACTGTGATCGGCGCCGCCTGGGAGAACGGGAAGCTAATGCTCACAGTCCCAACTCCTGGATCCAGGGTGCAGGGAGGGCGGAAAGGGGTTGCGGGGAACACGCGTGTGGAAGCGCCGGCACCGCAACGTTCCACAGGAGGGAGCCTGGAGCTTGGCCGTTTAGGGCAAAGGGGCTCCAGCCCCGGCTCCCCGGACAGCAGGCGCTTCCGGCGTTCGCTGTTCGGCTCCGTCCTGGTCCTTGGATTCTGTGTGTTGGGGGTGGGAGGTGACTTTGGTTCCTGGCGCAGCTAGAGGTCGAAGTTCTCTCCTCTGCGCCTGCTTTGGCTACGCGGTTTGCGGTTTTGGTCGCTGCCTCTGAAAACCAGCTGCGTCTCTTTAAATGAGACGGGCCCATTCGGGCAGGTTCTGCAGTTATAAAAGCTCCACTTCAGGCTTCTGGGCATGCCACACGTTAAACTTTTAAAACAGATTTTATTTATTTACTTTCAGAGAGAGGGAGGGAGAGAGGGAGAGAGACATCCATGTGTGGCTGCCCCTCACACGCCCCGCGCTGGGGACCTGGCCCGCAGCCCAGGCCTGCGCTCTGACCGGGAATCAACCGGCCACGCTTTTCCACTGAGCTGCACCAGCTAGGGCTCCACATTAAATTTTTTTTTAATGATTTATTGTTAAATTCAACAAATAGTTACTGACCCAAAACTCTGCCAAATCCACGGGGGACCCCAAAGACTGTAAAAACTGGGCCCTGCTCCCAGAGGTCGCCGGGGATCGGGGCCGAGGGCGAATTCCTTGCTCTGCGCCCTGCGGGAGCGGGAGCGCGGCTCCGGCATCGCTGGGGGCGAGGAGACCCGTGTGCACGGGGCCCGTGGGAAGAGCCCCGAGTGACGGAGCTGAAACGATTTCATCGCGGCGCAAACGGCTCTGTGCCGCCGGCAGGGCCGTTTTCTCTCGAAGGCCGCGCAGTCCCGCGGCGGACAGGCCGGCTGCGCTGGGCCGGAGCCCGGCCGCCTGCAGCCCATCGGCCCGGGGGCTGAACGCGCTGCCGTCCGGGGGGGTTGACTCCGGTCGCGTGCCCTTTGCTCGCACATGTGCGACGACAGGACAGACTGTCCTTTCGGCGACCCTGCTGCATTTTACTGCCAAAAAACGAAGCCTTGGGTGGCTTAACACGCTAATGAGACGGGCGAAGCACGAAGACGCCTGTCGTTCCACCGCGCAGGCGCCGGAGAGCCCCAGCCTCTGCGCACTCGACGGCGCCGTTCCCGCTTCAGCAACTTTAAAGCGGCTCCCAGCCCTCGCTCGGGGAGCGGCCCGTTCTTCCTTTCCATCGCGCCTAACTCCCTCTTGCGCGCGAAGGTTTGCTTGTTTGTTTGTTTGTTTGTTTTTAGGATTTTATTGGTTTAAAGATTATTAGAAAGCAGGGAAGGGAGGGAGATAAATAAAACACTGATGTGGAAGAGAAGCATCAATCGGCCCCTTCCCGTACGTGCCCCAAACGGGGACCGAACCGCAGCCCAGGCCTGTGCCCTGGCCGGGGATCCAACCGCGGCCTTTCGCTTTGCAGGACGGCGCCCAACCAGCGAAGCCCCACCAGTCAGGGCGCACAAGAGTTTCTTAATAAGCCTCTTGCCTGGGTACTCATCCTAGGGGAACGCTCTTGATTTCCGTCTCGGGAGTTCCTCAGGGCCCTGGGCCCCGGTTGACAAAGCAAACGCCCTGTAGAGAAGAGAAGAAAGGCGGGAAACAGGGGCCAGGCCTCGCATTCTCCACACACCCAGCATATGCTGTAGCCGCCATAACAAATGATATAAGCCGGGTGTTTTCAAACAACATCTCAGGGAGCCAGAGGTCTTCCACTGAGGAGTCGGCAGGGCCGGCTCCTCCTGGAGGCTGGGGGGCGGCGGGCGGGCGGGCGGGGAGCCCTGTCCCAGGCTCTCGGCCAGCCTTGGGCGGTTTGCTGGCCGTGCCTGGGCCCCCACACCCCACGGGTGGCTGGGCGCAGCCCCTGCACCCATCCCCGCCGCCCTCCCCTCTGCCCCTGGGTCTCCAACGTTCTGCTACAAGTTCAAGGTTTGCGTGCCTGACACTTCAAAACAAAGGTTCAATGCATCACAGTTTGTAGCAAGAAGGAGGGGTTATTGATTAAAAGGCCTACCTCGAGAAGGTGAGAAAACTAGTTCTCAAATCCAGCTTAACAGACCTCAAAATCCAGGAGTCTCGTGAGCCAAGGAGAGGGAGGATGAGGGAGGTGGAGAGACAGCCAGGCCCCAAAAAGGGGTCCCAGAAAAGCTTGAAATTTCTACCTCCCTTTGTTCTTGGTGGACGCCCACTGATTGGTTTGGTTCTAGAGTCGCTCCTTTGTGCCTATTTCCCCACTTTGCCCACAAAGGGGCTGCGCGGCTCACGCCGGGGGCTGGGTTTCTCCAGCGAACGAGCATTTCAGCAGCAGGCGCTGTTGGCCTGAAAGTCGTCAGAGACCCCCAGCGCCTCACGCCCTCCTCTCTTTTATTAGGACCTAAGTCACTGGACGGGAGGCCCATCCTCAACGCAGGATGATCTCCGTGCGGAGGTCGGCAGTCCTTTTTCCCAAATTGGGTCACCGGCGCAACACCCCGGGGCCGAGACACCGGTGGGGGGCAACAGTGGACTCACCGTGGGAACAGCGGAGTCAGACCTCCGTCCTCGAGTTCGTAAGAATTGAGAGCCAAGAACTCTGGCCTAAGAAATTTATTTAGAAAGTCACGGAGGTAGGAGAGAGCCAGCTGAGCTGTGCAGACTCAGGGAATAAGTTACAGAAACAAAAGAAGGGCGCTGGGAGCTGAGGAGAAAGGCAAAGGTACGCACTGGAGGAGAGGAAGGGGGGAGGGAGAGAGCAAGCGCGAACACGGGAAGGCTGGGCTCTTCATCTTTTTTAAGATTTTGTTTTTTAGAGAGGGGGAGGCAGAGTTGCCTCTGTGTGGTCCCCCCTTGTGCACCCCCTACTGGGGACCTGGCCCACACCCCGGGCGGATGCCCCGACTGGGAATCGGACCGCTGACCCTTCTGTTCCCAGGCCGGCGCTCAGCCCACCGAGCCCCACCAGCCAGGGCTGGGTCCTTCATCTTATCGGCTCTGGTCCGTTTTCCAAAGGCAGGGATGTGAGGGGAGGTCTCAGGAATCTCGGGATACTCATCAGCTTTCCAGAGGTGTCCCCAAAAGGCCATGGTCTCTATTGGTTTGGGGTGTGTCTCGGCATCTAGCCGGTCAGTTGGCTTGGAGCTCATCTTTCCCCCTGCTGAGGATAGTCCCGCTGTCGAACTGGGGGGCCCACCTGTCTATTTAACGGTTCTTTCGTCTGACGGGGTCCGACCCGAGAGGCAGGAGGTCCACCCGGCCAGCAGGGAGCCTGTCCGAAGGACCTGCTGACCTGCACCGTACACCCAGCTGGCAGGTAGCCTGGGTTGCAGGGACTCTGCCTGGTCATCTCCAGCAAGAGGTGCAGCAATGTGTCTGCAAAACGTGGGCTCTGAGGGTGGCCACGTGGTGGAGTCTGTCCGCCTGTCTGGAGGTCCACCGACCTGCCTGGTCTGGCCGGCTGACTAGGGCGTGCAGCCAAGGACCTATGTGGCTGGTGTCTCTCTGGCCGAGGGGCCACCTAGCTAGCTGGGGGTCTGCCCATCTAGGAGAGGCTGGCTAGCCAGGAGGATGTTTGTTTGTCCACTCAGCTGGCGGGTCTGTCCAGCTAGTGACCCACCTGCCTGGAATCTGACTAGCTTCCTAGTGGGGCAGAAGGGGGGGGTGTCTATTGTTTTGCTGGTCTCTCTTACTTGGGGCGGGGGTCTGTCAGGTCGTTTGTTGGCCTGTCTCTGGCTGGAGATGGACCACCAGCTGCAAACTGTCCTCTGAAGGGTTGGCTGTTCGGGGGGACAGCCACCTGCCTAGCCACGTTGGGGGTCTGTCCGCATGTCCGTCTGAAGATCTTTCCACCTGTCTGCCCGACACCAGCCTACCTGGATGTTGTTGAGCCCAGTCTGGATCTGTCTGAATGGTGGGCGAGCCCATTTTTCCGTGGCATCAGCTGAATGAGGGAGAGAGGCTCAGATGTTGAGTGGAACTCATCTTTATTACGTGGTGATGGGGTCAGTTTCCACATCTGTGCCCATCTGTGCACCTTCCTCTTCACAACTGGGAGGCAGCTGGGGCTCCAAGCCATTCCTGGCGTTCGTCCCTGACCGCCTGGCGCAGCCTGGCCAACTCTCGGCTCCCAGCTCCCTCCCCTGGCTCCAGCCTTGAATTCTACAGTCACCGGGCGAAGTCCCCACTTTCCCACCCTGAGAAACTTTATTTTGGTCCAGGCCTAGCCTTTCCATTCCCAGCACTTCACACAGCAGAGCACAGCCTCCCATGGTCCAGGCGCCCGCGCGGAGCAGCAGGTGGGCTGGGCACAGCAGGCGGCGGACGCAGCAAGCGGGCGGTGCAGCCCTCACGCCTGGGTCCACTCCGCAGGAGGGTCGCGTGGCCCTTTAGGCTTCCCAACGCGCACGTTGAAGCCTGCGGAAGGAGGGGCGCCAGGGGTCTCAGGGAGGAGCTAAGATGCGCACAGGTAGGCGCCTTGGGTGAGGCCGCCCCGAGCCTTCAGGCTCTCCCGGTGCCCTGCAGCCCCTCCGGAATTCAGTCCGCGCTGCAGAGTCCCAGCCACCTGGGCTTTGTCTGACTTACCCAGGCCACCGGTCTGAGCTACACTGGCCACGTCCTCGTAGGTGCCAGGCCCAGCAAGGCCGGGGTCAGCAGGTGCTGCAGGCAGGAAGCCAGCCCCAACGCGTCAGCTCCGGCGGGGACTGGGGGAAAGGGTTAGGGAAGGGGAGGGGAGGGCAGGGGAGGGGAGGGGAGGAGGGCGGGAGGGCGGGTCCCCGACTTCGGCTGAGATGAGGCGGCTTCCCGGGGAAGCGCCCCCAGCCATGGGCCTGCAGTCTGAACTGGGACACTTCCTGTCGCGACTAGCGCGGGGGCAGCAGCCGGGCGGGGAGCCAGGCCGGCTGTTGCGGGGGGGGGGGGGGGGCGCGGAGGCCCGGCAGGGGGTCCCGAGAAGGAGGTGGGGTCGGCCCTCCCCAGCCTCCCGACTCACCGCAGCCCGGGAGCGCCCACTGCGCGTCCTCCGCGGGTGCCTGCGGCCGGCGGGCGCGCGGCATCACCTGGCTGTAGACCGGTCTCTCCTCCGGGCTGGGCGCCGCGGCCCCCGCCCCAGTGCTCGGAGGGGCCCTGCGCTTCTGCACCACCGCGTACGTGTCGGCCATGGCGAGGGCTGGGGGCACGGAGGAAGGCCTGCTCCTTCCCGAGACACGCCTGCCCGAGGGGCGGAGGGGAGGAAGTGAAACCGCTGCGGGAGGGAGGGCCTGGGGGGACCGCGCTAACCGCGGGCTTCCGCACCGCCGGGGCCGGCGAGCGGAGAAGGGGACGGTCCTTGAGGAGAGGGCGGGGTCTCCGGGTAGGGGCCTCGCCTTGGCGTGTCCCCACTGCGGCGGGGGCGAGGGGAAGGCTAGCCTAGAAGGGGGTGGGGGCGAGTGGTTGGTGTGCAGGGGCGATCATTCCGGGGTGCGAACCCTGAGAAAGCAGGCACATACTCAGACAGTCTCCCGGGGCCCAGACTTAAAAAGAACAAAGCCTAGCAACCGTCTCAGCCCCGGGGCCCCCTACAAACTGCACCGGGGGTGGGGCAGTTGAGTGGCCCTTATAGAGGACTTCCTGGAATCCTGTTTCAGCCAATGGGAGCGAGGCATCCCACAAACGGAGTGGCTCTATTTTACTGGTTCAGGTGGGTCCCCCTCTGAACCAATCCGAGAGTGAGGATTTGGAGCCCTCATTTGCATGAGGACCGACCCAGCACGGTCCGGGTGTGCGAGCTCCTGCGTGTAGAAGCCAGATGTCCGCCAGCCCTGGGAGCGCGTCTTTGCGCCGACGCTCAAGGCTGGCTCTCCCCAGGTGGCCTGAAGGCGCGGAGCGGAGCCACAACGTGCCACTGGGCCGAGTTCGCGACCTGGGGGCGAGAAAAGTGTCAGGGCGGGATCGCAGGGCGACCTCAGCCGCAGACGCAGTGGCACCTCTGCGGTTAAGGAGTCCCCGTGGCGCGTCGGTTCCCAAAGCTCAACGCAAAGAAAGGGCCAGTGAACTTGAACTAAACAGCAAGAAGGGCTCGGGTGTTTTCAGAGTGAGGGGAGGGTTAGCCTCCGAGCACGCAAGAGAAATGGGACAGGAGGCGTGAGGGCGGGAGCTGGCGACCTGGGGATGCTCCCCGTCCCGCGGGGCGCGAGTCTGGAGAGCGGGGCACAGCTGTGGGGACGGGCACGCGGCTTCGAGAGACTGGCCAGCCTCCTACTGGAGGTCCCGCTGGGCTCTGTGGGGTAAGGCGAAGAGGGGACAGTCTGGGAAGGGAGCGGGACAGAAGGAGACTACATGGTAGTGAGTGGGTCCTGCCGCCAGAGGAGGCCGGGGCTGGCTGTGCGAAGGTGCGGTCGTGCGCCTGTGCTCTGGATCCTGGTCTGAGCAGAGGCCTCAGAAGAGCCCGGACCTGCCAACCCCTTGGCCTTGGAGTTCCAGCCTCGGGAGCTAAGGGAGGATCCCGTCGAAGCCACAGCCCGTGGTGTTTCAGGGCAGGCCGAGCCAGCTTTGCAGTCCGGCCTAATGTTTTTTCAGCAGAAGAAGGGGAAGCTGTAGGCCATTCGTGCAAGAAGCCAGGGCGCTGGACGAAGCATTGCAGAAAGAGGCTGGAGAGTGTCGAAATTTCAGGAAGAGCGAATCACAACAAAACCCTCGGGCAGGGACCAACTGGCACATTGCTCGAGGTTGGCAGGTAGAGGGAACCTCAGGGGCGCGGCCGGGTGAGCCGACCACGTGTCAGAAACGTTCCTCCACCTAATCGTGGCCTTACCCTTTCTGGTACCTGCTGGCGCTTATTTTTCTCCGCGGTTCTTAGGTTCTCCGACGTAGGAACGTGTGTGCTTTCTCTCGCGTCTCCTGTAATGTGCGGGGGCGGGGGGCGGGGTGGGGACATGTCGTGCAAACGGAAGACTCTCGCTCTGTGCTGGACACGGGATGTGTGTGGCGCTTCCCGGAGAAAAAGGCCCGGGTTTGGCAGCTGCCCGCCTCTGGGAGTAATGACACCCATTTCCTTAGAGAACCAATGAAAATGACTCACCAAAAGGACAAGCCATGGTCAAGTGTAAGACATTATCATCGGTTGTAAAAAACTCAATGAGAAGGAATACAACCAGTCATGAAAGAATTAGAAAAAAGATTTTTTTAAAGAGCACTCAACTCGTCCTGTAAAGATAATGTATCTTTGATAAAATGACCAATATGCAGATTTGTACAAGATCTTAGAAAAATAAATAAGTGTGTTATTCCATTAACATTTATCACCGTAGTCCCTACCTCCGCAATTACCCTATTTCCTCCACCTGGTCATCGGCAGTTTCTCTCAGTAGTTGATCTACAGTCCGCTTTTTTTTTTTTCCTTTTCTATCCTTCTTGCAGATAAGTCTAAATTCTTGTTTGTTTTCATTTATGGAGTGCCATAGTTGTGGTGAAGGATTCCCCAAGGATTTGCGGCCTCTCCTTTTTCTCTAGGAATTTATAGGAAAACTGAGAGAAGTGAGTCTCACAGAGGACCCACATTACTCTGCACGTGGATTGGCTGGTAGCCGCCCAAACGAAAGCACAGTGTGAAATCCATGCCTTGGCTTTGTTCCAGTTCCTTGCTTTTCAGGGACGCAAGGCTTCTCCAAGCAGATTGCAGTACTGTGAAACCGAAGCAAAATACTTAGGGCATGTTGTCAGCTGAAGGCTGCAAAGTGCTACAGTCTTGAAGTCGCCTGGTGTTTAGTGAGCTGTCCTTAGACAATTGAGGGGACTAGTTGGGTATTGCAGGTGTCAGTTTTCACAGAAAGGCAAAGCTGCTGACGTCGCGGGACAGTGTCCCCAGATCTCTGGTTGGGTGCCCTAGAAAAAAAATATTTGAATAAATGAAGTCAGCCTCGGGGATTCCAAAATTTGGAAAACCTTCCCACTTTGTCATGGAAATAAAGATGCTGCTAGTGGAATTTTAACTCAAATACTGGGGTTAGAACATAAACCATTAGCAAATTTCTGTTGTGGATGCTGATGTCCACGGGTCATTTCTTTGCTATCGAAAGGAAAAAGGAGCTGGACCAATGCCCCCGGGGGGAGCCAGCACCTCAGGAGGACTGGACTGCGGTTGTCACAAGGGCTGGACCCCAGTTCCCACTTGCGCTCTTGCTGTATCGGCACGTCTGGACTCAGTCCAACAATTCAATTATTGGTAATTATTGGTAGAGCAAAAGCAGGACTATCTTTGTTACTGATTTTTTAAAAAAATAATACCAAGATAAAGCTAATATGTATCCAGGTATTCAGCCCCTAAAGTGGACAAAAGTATCTTGTTAACTGGCTTGACTGGAAGAATCTACAGGAGAAAGGAATCTATCCGTTCACTGTGCGAGAGAAGTGTAGGAGTAAACCCACTAGCAAATTCTCTTGCCTTCACCATGGTAGGAGTTTGAGTCCATAATCACATAGTTGTAAAGATGGTGATGACAAATTATATCCAAAGTGGTGGGGATTCTGTTGGGGCCTTTGCTTCTTTTTCACTTATTTATTTTTGTTACTTTTTAAAGTTATGCATTAGTTTCAGGTGTACAGGGTAGTGGTTACATACTTCACAAAGCCTTCCCCTTGGTATTTCCAGCCTCCCAGCCGCCACCGCATTTAGTCATCACGCTGTTACTGCCTCTATTTACTGTACTGTACTTCCTTCCCCAGGGCTGTTTGGGGACAAGCAGTTCGTGCCTCTCAGCCCCACACCCCTCGCCCAGTGCCCCACCGCGCCCTTCCTTTCGTTCGTTCCTTTTATTTTGTTCTTTTGGTTGCACATGTAAGTGAAATCATACGGCGCTTATCTTTCTATGACTGATTGCACCGGGCACCATACCCTCTGTGTCCATTCGTGCTGCTGCACGTAGTAGGATTTCCTCCGGGTGGAATAACCTTTAAGGCTGCTATGAACATCAGGCTGGTTATGCTCTCTTTCAAAGTAGTGTTTTTTCGGTTCCTTTGGAAATCCCCAAAAGCGCAACCCGTGGGTTGTAATAAGCTCGTTTTTAATTTTTCCGTGTAAACTCCGCACCGCGTTCTCGGCACAGTGGCTCTGCCAGTCTGCATTCCCACCAACGTGTCCCAAGAGATCCTCACCATCACGTGTCGCTTGTGAATGCATTGATCACAGCCGTTCCCGCAGGTGTTAAACAACACGTAACTGACTTTAGCTTACAATTCTCATGAATAACAAACCCCATTTTCGTATATTTTCGAGCCACTTTTCATTAAAAATTAGCGCGAAAAATGAAAAGACACGCTTCCCCAACCCCACCGTGTGGAATTGTACTGTAACTCCAACATGATTGATTAAGACATACCCCAAAACTGAACTCACTAAGATTAACATGTAAACCCCACAACTTTCAATCTGTCTTTGTGACCGTAAAAATCAGGGGAGAGCGCGAACGCAGTCCCCCACTACCACAAATTATGCAGTCGAGTTTCCCACATTTGGGGAAATCGCAGGGGTCAGCACATCCGGAGTGCAATGGATAAGCCTCGCCCTGGGAAAACCACCTTCGTGATCATGGTATCTCCCCTGCCAGGTAAGTATGAGTTGCTCGCTCGCCCTCCGCCGGACCCTCGCGCTCGCCTCACTTTGCACGCACGGCGACTGGCCTCGCGCCGCCGCCGCCCCGCCCCGCCGCCTCAGCGCCCCGCGCCGCAGCCTCGCCCGCCGCGGCCACAGCCTCGGGGCGTTTGCGTTCGGGACTCGGGGAGGGGGCGCGGGCGGAGCGGGCCCGTCAGCCTCTGCGCGCATGCTCATCTGCATACGCCACGCCCCCACCGTGACGTCCTCTTTGCACAGTCTCCCGGCGCCAGCGGCAGCCGCGGGCCCAGCGAAGGTGTGGGTCAGGGCTCCGGCTTGGCCTCGCCTTCCTTCCAGCAAAAGCAACTTCCCTCCCATTTTTGTCCTCGCCTGCTCAGCTCATCACGTAACCGAAAGTTCAGGAAAGGCGTTTTTGCAGGTTGACGTTAGTGCTGAGTGGCTCGATCAGAAATCGTGGTCCTGCTTATTCATGGGATCTTTTTGAGCCAAAGTGACACAACAGGCTTCGGAATACGTGGCGGCCTGACCTAGTAACGCGAACGAAAACCCAGGATGCTAAATTCTGTAGGAAGGAAACCAGGTCCCCCCGCAGCTGGGCGGGGTCGCCACGGAGGCCCGCGGTCCGCGCCAGGCGACCTCCCGTCTTCTCTGCGCGCCCTGCCTCGAGCCCCCAGTCCTCTCTGACTTGGACGGACTCCGTCAAGGGTGAAAGCAGCAGACAAGGGTGAAAGTGGTGGAGCAGATTCTGCCCAGTAACTACCGACAGAGTGGGAAAAGCTGCGCTCCGTTCGTGCAGCAGTGATGGGGGCGTTTTAGAGGAAGAATGCGGCGGGGGAGGTGCGCTCAATGGAGTCAGAGGAGTGAAAACCCGCAAAGGGTTGGTACGCATCAAAGCAGCCAGGCCAGCTGCATTTGTGGGCAGGCAGTGTGAAGTTAGGAGGTTGTCCCCACCCGCACCCCCAGCCTAGGAGGCGGGCTCTGTCCTCCTCGGCTCCATTTCAAAGGAATAAGCATTTCTAGGAAAGGTCAGGCGTTGACCTTTCTCAGGCCAGCATTTAGTGAGCTCAGGAGGTCGCTCCTAAGGACCTGACGCTGCTACCGCACGCTGGGGTCTGGCCCCGTCTCTGGGCACAGGGAGCGGCTTGGGTGGGTTGCTCCGTGCTTCGTGATAGTCCTGCAGTTGTCAACCTGAGAAATTCCGTCTCGTGATCCAACCAGATGACTGCACCGCCCCCCTCCCCGAACCCTGGCCCCTTCTTTTGTATCCTGATCTCTGCGAGGACAGTGAGCATTTCTCCATTCAGCAATGGCGCATTGAGGGCACACTCCGTGCCAGACAGCGCTCAGGAATTTGGGAACAAAAGCCTTCCTAGTGCTTCCAGGAGGAGTTGGGTGGGAGAAAATTGACAAGGGACACAGTAGGTAATTTTATTGGTATGCTAGGTGTTAGGACCTGGCGGGGGTGGGGAGTGGGGGATGGGGAGAAAAATAGGAAGGGGATGGGGACTCGCAGCAAGGGGCGGGGGCTGTGCCCAACAAGCAGGCGGGGAGGAGCCGTGCGAGCTGAGACCTGCGGGAGCGGAGGGGGCCGTCTCGGGTTCCTGAGGGAAGGGCGTCCTCGGCGCGCACTGCAGGGGGAGGAAAGCCCGGTGGGGCCGGGTGGGACTGCGTTCGTGGCCGGGTCGGGGCGCGGTCACGCGGGCCTTGCAGACACACTACTGTAAGGCTTTCAACCTGAGCGAGCCAGAGGTTCTGAGCAGAGGAATGGCGGGAGCGGATTCCTCGTCCCGCTCCCACCCAAGAAACCACTACGGTCGCCAGGGTGGCGAGGACTGCCGCGGGAAAATTGATCAGGAGACTTAAGGCTGGCTCACGCATTTTTGGCAGAAGAGTAATTTTGAACTAAAGACACTAAAAATCCAGCAGGCGGCCAGGCTGTTCGCCGCCACAGACCCGGTGCCGGTGATCCTCCCCAGCCTGCCCCGGACAGCCAGTTCGCCAGCGCCCCTCCCCTCCCCTTCCTACCCGCTTCCTGCCCACGCGTCGCTGTCATTTCCCCACCCCCGCACAGAGGGGCACAAGAAGGGCAAATGAGGCAACAGGTAAGGCCCGGACGGGCGTTCTGAAAATCACTGTCGCGGGCCGGGGCCACCGCCTACCCGCGTTAGTCCGCCCAGAAAGGGGGCGGTGGCGGCTGCCGGCGCCCATCAAAGGGGCCTTCGGCCACCCCAGTGCCTGTTTGCCTTCTGGGCACCAGCGTCTTGGCGTCGGTCATTTTAAGAAATAGCCAAGACCCAGACTTGGCAGCGTGCGCCCTTCGATAGCTCAGCTGGTAGAGCGGAGGACTGTAGGCCATGTGCACGCGGACATCCTTAGGTCGCTGGTTCGAGTCCGGCTCGAAGGAGGTGCCTGGCCCTTTTTGCGCTCCGCGGAAGGGCGCCCCCGCCTGGCGCCCAGGCCCGTTCTAGGCTGCGGCTTCCGCGAAGCCAACAGCGGGGCCTCAACGGGAGGATGCTGAGGCCCAACTGGAGAGAGCACCCGGGAAGTGAGGGGCCGGGCCGGGTGGTCAGCTGCTGAGAGCAGCGGTCCTACGCGCCTAGGTTGCGGGTTCCATCCTCGCTCAGGACACATACAAGAAGCAACCAAGGAATGCATCAGGAAGTGGGACAGCAAATAAACACCTGTTTCTTTCTCTCTCTCTCTCTCTCTCTCTCTCTCTCTCGTCAATCAATAAAATTTTTCAAAGAGAAAGGATTATTTTTTAAAAAAGAATATAAGGAGCCGTCTACACTTTGGGGACAAAGCCAAAGCGGGGCGAGCAGGGGCGGGACTGTGTATACACAAAAGGTGCCCGGGGAGGGTCCTTGCCCTCTTCCCTTCTAAGACTCCGGAGATTAGAGGCGCATGCGCGGGGAATCACCTCCCCTGCGGACTGGCGGGGAGCCGCCGCGGAGGTGGCCCTCTGAAGCCTCGGGTGCCCAGCGGGTGCCCTGCCCTGCCCCTGAGGCCGCAGTCACTTTTCCTGTCCGGTTCTGCCTCTCAAACTGGAAGCAGCGTGTCCCGTCTTCTGCCCTCGCCCTGCCCCCCGCCCCCGGCAGCGGGCGCTCCCGGTGCCCCCTCCCACGCCCCGCAGTGTCGGCCTCCCCCGGCTGTCCCCCATGAAGACCAGCAGCCCCGGGGCTGTGGTCCCCGGGTTCCCAGGAGGCCGGACCATGGCCGTCTGACGGGGGCCTTCGGGAAGATTCCATTCTGTGCAGCTGCAGAGAACCCCAGCCTCGAATGTCCCCATCTGCGGAGACCAGCAGCTCAGGACCAAAGAGAAACCTTAGACTATCATTGCCTTTGGCCCCCGAGGGACGTGGGGGTGTGGGGTCCTCGGAAACCGGGCTTGGGTTCTCGGGGAGAATGAGGGGCGGGGAGGCTGTGGGGTTTGGTGACCAGCGCACGTGCCCGTGAGCCCCAGTGTGGCCGACCCTTCCCGTCTGGGGTGCACCTCACTCTCAGAGGTGCCGGCGCCGAGCGTGGCGACATACTTCGCCGTGGCTTGCTGCGCTTCTGCGGGACTTTAGCCGGGCGAGTGGGCGGGCTGTGGTGGGGGGTCCACGCCAGGTGGGATAGGAAATGCTTGTGAAATACACGGGGCCGGAGCAAGGAGCCCAGCCCGGATGCCGGCGTTTCCTCCCTGTCCACCTTGGGCTCCAGTGCCTCCTGGGGAGGCCACGAAACCGGGCCCATTTCAGGAAGCTGCCGCCTCCGCCAAAGGAATCAGGGTGACTGGGCAAGGGGAGCATGGTGCCTGTCTGTCCGCCTCACGGAGCCCTGCAACTGGTCTCCCGTCTGGCCCCCTGTCCTCTCTCCGTCGCTTTCCAGTAAGCGTCGCTGCGCCACTGTGGGCAGGAGGGCGGAGCCGCTGCTTTCAGACGCTGGACCACAGGCAGGAGTGATCTCTGAGTCAGGGAAGACGGGGTTGGCACGCTGTGTCTGCCGCGCTCCCCACCGCGGGCTGCAGGACGCAAGACCCTGGGGAACCCACTGCGCTGAGCAGCGGACGCGGAGGCTCCGGGAGGCCATGGCAGCTGGGGGGCTGCGGGCAGAGTCCTGGAAGGAACAGCCTATGCTCACAAGAGCAAGCACAGAGGTTCCCCTGGAGTCTTTAGCTGGTTAAGAACGTGAAACCCCAGGAGGCAAGAATGACTTCCCATCAAAGGGCAGTAACTAGGGATTTGTAGAAGGAACATGTCCCAGAGCTCGCAATGAAACAGAAATGATGTACCTTCCAGCCATAGTGCACAGTCCCGCACGACTGCAAAACGGCATTCAGTAGGGAACGCCGGCGGAGCGCCGTGACATCACGGCGGGGCGGGGCGTATGCAGATGAGCATGCGCGCAGAGGCTGACGGGCCCGCTCCGCCCGCGCCCCCTCCCCGAGTCCCGAACGCAAACGCCCCGAGGCTGTGGCCGCGGCGGGCGAGGCTGCGGCGCGGGGCGCTGAGGCGGCGGGGCGGGGCGGCGGCGGCGCGAGGCCAGTCGCCGTGCGTGCAAAGTGAGGCGAGCGCGAGGGTCCGGCGGAGGGCGAGCGAGCAACTCATACTTACCTGGCAGGGGAGATACCATGATCACGAAGGTGGTTTTCCCAGGGCGAGGCTTATCCATTGCACTCCGGATGTGCTGACCCCTGCGATTTCCCCAAATGTGGGAAACTCGACTGCATAATTTGTGGTAGTGGGGGACTGCGTTCGCGCTCTCCCCTGATATCTAAGGTTCTTAATACTAGACAAAAAAATGAAGACTAGATTTGCGTGAAACTTAGTGAGTAGTACTAACAGTGAATTTGTATAATAACCAGTGCGACTGCAAAAAGTTCGTCGTAAGGTGTTTTTTTTTGGAATTTTGAAGAGGAACCTTGTTTTTCTACGTGTTGGTAGGTGGTTTTCGTCGTTCTTGATTTTGCTTTATCTGGTTTTGTGTTGTGGATTGTGTTCCGCTGGGTTGTGTATGAAATGCCTTGTCAAACCTGCGAGGTTGCGTTCTCCGGTCAAGTGTGGAGCTTAAAACAGTGGTGACCGGAAAAACCGAGCCTATTTTAAACGCACAACACGCTGCTGACTTACCACGAGCCAGAGTTTTACATCTCGTTCCCCCACGAGCATAGAGGGGGCTTTTTATACAAAAAAAAGCATTGATTCGTTTGGCGCAAGTGTGTCTTCAGTTCATGCTGGGGGCGGGGGCTCCAGCCACCCACCCACCCACCCGCGGCAGGTTCGGGCAGTGCCGTCACCAGCGGCGCTGCCGTCCCATTTACTTCCGGGAAGTGTTACTCCCGTGGAACCCCACCCGCCCTGCAGGCTGCAGGCAACCGCCGAGGAAGCCTGGGCGCTGGAATCCCACGGCGCCGCGGAGCCTCGCACGCGGGGTTCTTCAAGGACCCGGGAAGAATTAAATACTTAAAATGCTTCAACACAGTGGAGGCCGCGGGACAGTGCATAGTAAATCGTTTGTATGTTGCTTATTTTCTTTTTATTAAGATTTTCTTTTAGAGGGTGACGAGGAAGGGAGGAGGAGAAATATCCATCAGTTGCTGCTGTTTGTTTTACAAAAAACTTAACGGTGTCTTCATCGGTGAAGTGAGGCTGTGGGAGGCTGCAGGAGCCCCAGAACCAACTGGACTCGCGGGCATGTGCGAGGTCAGTTGGTCCCGTGGGTCTTGCCCCTGGGACCCCGATGAGACTGCCTGCCTCGGTCTTTGCGTGGGTCATCCAGGTGGCCCTGCTGCCCCATGTACCTGTCAGGCTCCTGCAGAGGCTTCCCCATCCCCCACCCGACCTTTGTCTTAAGAGCCCTGTCCCCACCTGCCCTTGCCCCCCATCAGCTTGTGCGCATTATACAGGCTGTCGACACCCACTCTGGGTGCCACCAGAGCCCGGGTGCAAGCGAGGCAAGCGGGCAGAGGAGGGGCAAAAGGAGCGAGTACGGGGAGTCCCTGCGCTGCCCCATGGCCTGCTGAATGGATGGGAGGCGCGCCGGGTGCTGGGCAGGCAGAGAGGCCTGGGAGCACCGACCAGGTCCTGCCCCTGCGTCAGCCCCCAGCAGATGGGCTCTCACGGGGCCCAGGTTCCCCGAGGACCGGGCCCCCCGCCCCCCACGGCCCTGGGGAAGGCCGGCACACCCTGCATTGTCTTGGGCGGTGTCCACACCAGGCCTGAGAGCGTCCAGCGCTGCAAGGTCGCTGCATGGGGAGACCCCGCGCACACTGTCCGGCACACGTCCCCAGACAGCAGAGCGGTCGGGCCACTCGGAGGCAGGTGGGCTGGGGTGGCAGGCTTCGTTCTGACCTGCCCAGGCCGGTCCACAGCAGAGGGCGCTCGCGCGGGCTCACTGGGCGCTCAGGAAGACCCTCTTGCGAGCGGTGTTGGTGTAGGGGTGCCAGCGCCACTCCACATCTGCAGTGGCCTCCTGCCCCAGTGTGCCGAGGCGGATCATGTACACTGGTGAAGTGGGGGAGGGGAGGGGGGCACCGTCACCCACACAGACAGCACGCACCCCCACCAGCCCTGGGTCGAGGCCCCAAACTCACACTTCAGCTCAAAGCGAGGCCCGACCTCTGTCAGCTCCACGTCGCGATGGCTGGTCTTCTTGTACACGTGGTGCCTGGGGCAAGGGCAGGCGGGCGCGGGCGCAGGTCAGCCACAGACAGCGCAGGGACACGGAGGTCAGGAGGCCAGCCCAGGGCCCAGCCCACACACTCACCGGAAGGAGATGTAGTCGTCCTGGTTGGCGAAGGTGATGACCCGGCGGCTGTCGTCTTTGGGCACGGGGAACAGATAACGAAGTATATCGGACACCTGGGGCAGAGCAGGGGAGAACGAGAATAACGGGAATGCCCGCCTGGCGCCCTGGCCCAGCCCGCGCCCCGCGGCCCCGCACTCACCCGCTTGCCCAGGCGGGAGGAGAAGCCATGCACGATGAGGTGAGGCTTGGCTTCCGACACGGTGCCGAGGTCAGGGACGTCATGCCGCATGACCACGTTGCACAGCGTGAAGTAAGCGGTGGGGCCGAAGGGCAGGTGGCTGACGATGAGCCCCACTGGGGGCCAGGCAGGCCGTCAGGGGCCATGCCCGCCCGCGGACGGCCGCCCCGGCCGCGGCTGCTCCCACCCCCTGCCCCCCCGCCTTACCGGGCGTGCCTCGGTGCTCGTGGACCACCAGCAGGTCGGTGACCCCGTTAGCTTTGCAGGCTTGCACCAGCGCCCCCACCTCATGTCGGCCGCGGTTCATGCGCTGGGCTCCCGGAAACACCAGCTTCAGCTCCTGCACCGGCACACGCACGGGTCAGGCTTGGGCCGCTGGTTCCCGGGCGCCGCGCACTCCCCGCTACGGGTACCTTTGCAAACATCTTGAGGCGGGAGCTGGGGTCTCGGGAAGTAGTGATCATGACCTTGGGGTCCTCGACCCCTGCCCATCGATACTCATCATCCACGTGGCTGGTTACACCTGTCAGCAGCAAGAGGGGCAAGAACGTCGGGACATTATCCTGGGAAGGGAAGTGCTAACGGGGGCGGTCAAACCCGCCCCGAGCTGCACCACCTGACCGCACCCTCGATGACAGGCCGCTCCGCGCCCACGCTGGGCTACAGGGTGCCACCCAAGCTACAGGGGCTACAAGGACAAGCGCAGACGAGGAACTGAATTTGTAAATTTAACTTCAGCTATTTGGACTGTGCCAGTCACACAAGGCTAGTGGCTATCGTGTTAGCGTTAATTCCAGGCCCTGTAAAGACCAGTGGTGACAGGCTCCCACCTCTCATGACAGTGCTCACAGCCTCTGTGATTCCTTAAACACGTGCATGCCAGGGAAGCGCTGAGAGCTGGGGACACAGCAGCGACCGCGGTGGACACTGTCCTGTCCCAGCAGCACTCACATTCCAGCAAGGGGGACAGTTAACAACCCAAAGTGGAAGCCAGCGGAGTCACACCGCACGTGCGCCGCGTCTCCGCCGAACCAGAGCGCTCAGGCCGGGCTCCCGAGGTGTGGTCGGTGCCGGTGCGAGCCAGGAGGGCGCACGGGGCGGGGGGGGGGGGCACCTTCCCTGCCATGTCTCAGGAAGGCTGTGGGGCCCGGCAGCTCGCGTGCAGGGAGAAGGGGTGGCCCCGAGCACCCAGGAAGGTTACCTTCACCGCCAGCGTCGTCAAACTCCAGGGAGCTCTGTAAGGCTAGGGCCTCCCGGCGTAACTCAGTGGGGATCAGGTGGTTCTCTGCAGGGAGAGACAGGAGCGACTGAGGCTCGGGCAGGGAGCCCTCAGCACAGCGCCGTGGCTGAGGAACCTGCCCAGGCTTGGTGGGAGAATACCTTTCTTCCTCCTTTCTGAGCAGGCAGACGATCCGTAACTATTAGGGGTGGGAGGTGGGGAACTCTTCCTGCCTACGGGCTACCCTGTTAACCATGGTTCCAGGAGACTTAATTTTCTGGGGTTCCGAGTCTCATGGCCTGAAGGCTTTAGGCTGCGCGTTCCATGAAAAGGTGGACCAGAAATCCGGAAGCCCTCGGACCACGAAACCGCTAATCATGATGCGCTGGGTAAGAGGCTCCCCCTGCGGACTGAAGCGAGGCCTGGCAGACGGGCTCTCAGCGCGGCCGCGCGGGGAATGCGGGCTCTTCCAAGGCGCCCCGCAGGAGATCCTGCCCGCGGGACACACCCCCCTGACTGAAGGAAACCTCCGCTATACGCAACAGACCTTAGAAATGATGCTGAACAAAAACACAAAGCTGCCAAGAATACGCACAACCTCATACCACCTCTAAAACTGAAAACTGACCAGTTTGAGTTAGGGATAAAATCAGTGCTGCATAAGCACACACAAAAGCTAGGAAACAGGTTACTTTTGAACAATATTCAATACTGTAGTTTCCTAAGTTGTGGAAAATATTCCTGAATTTCAATACGAGGGTGGGAGAAAGTAGGCTTACAGTTTCCTTGTGACGTTCTTTAGCGTTAATAAGGCTCCTTAATAATGCCCCACGTCTTTCTCCATACAAACTATAAACCACCCCAGAATCCTGACCATTTCATTTTTCTTTCTTTTTTTAAATTCCCACAGAGGATATGTTCATTGATTTTTGAGAGAGAGAGACATCGATCAGCTGCCTCCCATCCGCGTCCAGACCGGGGACTGACTGCGCAACCTCCTGATGCCCCAAACTGCGCTTCCACCACCGCGCCCGCGGCGTGGGCCTGACCGCTTCCGGGTTAAGGCGGGCGGAGAGGTCGCAGCTCTTCCCACGCTGCCCAGTATAAACATGCGCACGCGTGACCACAGACAAACCTCACACATCTGACACCCAGGAACGTCAGAGTGAGGTTAAAATAGCTGGAAGTACTAAGTGACGCCCCCTCCGATAAGAAACAGCTTCCCCGACACAAGCACTAACACAACAGGACAGAAAAACATGTCACTTCCAGTCAGGCATGTGGGACCCACTCTTCATGTGTAAGGCAAATGAAAAGCGGGGGAAACATTGCAAAGTTAGTTAGAATCCTCATTTATAACGGCAATTAAGTTCTACACAGATTAACACTCTAAAAATGAAAGGGACTCAGAATACCGCTAAAGGGCTGGAAGACGTGCGCGATCACTGCCTTGAACGAAAGACGGGAGCACGAGGGAAACCCACCGGGGGCGGGGATGCCTAGAGGACCACGGTGCAAGCTTTAAATCGGAACTAGGCGCACTATAAGCAACACTGAGAGTCAAGCTGTAAAACCTGGATACCGCAGCGTAAATGGCAAGTAATTTACCACCCTACGGAGGGGCACTTGCAGGCCAAGAGGAAAACGCAACAGGCAAGGAAAATGGACAGCAAGTACCGGAAAAGATGCCCAACCGCACTGCCAGAGAAATGCTAAGTAAACACGTTCTATACACCCCCCCCCCCCACGTCTTTACTTACGCTGGGTTTTAAAACGCCAACCCACAGCCCTAAATAAGCCTGGGCAGCTGGGGCCGTACCTTCGAGCGCGCGCCGCACCTTCTCCTTCTTCTCCTGGGCGGTGCGCTGCGCCTCCTCGCGGGCCTTGCGGTACAGGTACTCGCGGCGCAGGCGGGCCTCGCGGCGCAGCTGGGGGACAGTGGGGCCGGTCAGCGCCCCTCACCACGCGCACCCGGGGCCCGGGTACCACCCACCCCGAGCCCAGGGACCACGCCCCCTGCCCTTCGCGAGCCCCCAACCTCCCAAACAGGAGCTCAGACATCCCTACCATCCTGAGCGCCGCTACCACGAGGGTCTAGAACGTGTGACCGCCGCCTGCGCTACGCAGACCTCGCTTCCGCCCTCAACCAAGAAGGCGATTAGAGGCTTCGCTAAACTCAAGAAGGCGATTAGAAGCTGGGATGGTCGAGCATGACCAAAGTTAAGATGGCGGACAGCGGGTGGGAGCCGCGAGGCGACTGGCCAGTCCGGAAGCGCTGCCCTTAGAGCATCCAATAAGCGGAGGGAGTGTTAGGACGTTGTGACGACTGCCATCAACAAAGATGTCCGCCCTTGGCGTCACCCTCTGTCGCCGCTCTGCAGGATGTCCAATTTTAAGATGATGTACCGCTAAAATTGTAATGGGCGGCATGAAATAGTGCAGCAACTGTTTAAAAGCAGCACAACGGCTGACCGTAGGGTCGGCTACCGGCTCCTTCTCAAACTCAATTTAGAGCCACTTCTCCCTTAAAATGGTCGCTACGCCTCCTTCCATCACCGTAGCAATAGCCCTACTTCTAAAACGCGGCCGCTTCCAGAAGCGACTCCGAACCACCCACAGCCCTCGCCGACGCTCCAGCTGTGACCCGCTTCCGGGGGCTGAGCGCTGCGGGCTCCTCAGCCCCAACGCGTCCCTGGTCTAAAGACGCCAGCCCTGGGAGCCGAGACCCCGCTGCTTCAGCGCCCGCAGCTGGAAACGCCCATTGGCTAGAACCCGGCACGGTGGGAGGTGATTGGCGACCGGAAGGAGACCTGGGATCGCCCCTTGAGGGCGGACCTCGCGCGCCCATTGGCTATAACCTCAGCACCATAGGCGGTGATTGGGCAACCGGAAAGAGGCTGGCTCCGGACCAGAGAGCGGAGGAGCCATGGCGGCGGCTGACGTCCGGGCGGAGCTCGATTCGCTGCTCTTGCAGCTGCTCGGGGACCTGGAGGAGCTAGAGGCGAAGCGGGCGGCGCTGAACGCCCGGGTGGAGGAGGTGGGAGCCGGGGGCACGCGGGAGGGCGGGCGGGGACACGCCGGGTAAGCCGAGTCTCAGCGCTTCCCTCTCCTGCGCAGGGCTGGCTCTCGCTGTCCAAAGCTCGCTACGCCATGGGCGCCAAGTCGGTGGGGCCCCTGCAGTACGCCTCCCACATGGAGCCTCAGGTGTGCGTGTGCACCAGGTGAGGAGCCTTGCGCGCTGGGACGGGGGGGTCGGTGGTGTCCGGGCCGTGCTGTCAGCGATCCCCGTCCCCTTCTCGTTCTGCAGCGAGGAGCGGGATGGACTGCAGAAGTTCCGGGTGGTGAGAGCCGGGGCCCAGGCTCCGGAGGAGGTGGGGCCCCGCGAGGCAGGTGAGCCCCCCGCTTCCCTCCGGGGACCCCTCCCCATGTCGAAGACAAAGTACAGTCGTGGAGATTATTTTGTTCAGGCTGTTGCGGAAGAGAGAGCACCCCAGATATGGAGATCAGATGTCTCAGCACAGTGGCTTTGCCTTAGACTTTTAAAGTAGACGACTTGTAAGTGAAGTCTCTTACGTTGGGGGTTGGTGTGCAATCAGGGAAAGTCCCCGTCAGTTGAAAAGAAAATGTTTATGCTAGCTTCAGGGGGACAGACTTGCCAATCTCAGGTAGTCACTCATGAGACAGCGCGGGGAGGTGGAGAGTCCGGCCTTTCAGCATGTTCGGGGAAAACAGCGGTTGGTTTTATGAGAGTCACGAGAAACTGTGCAGAGACTCACACCTGAATCACAAGTGGAGGGAGAAGTGCCTTTTGTGGTCAGCTGGAGAGTTTCCAACCGTCAATATTTTCCAGGATCATGAGCTCAGAGTTCAGCATTGTCACTTGGAAGACAAGGCATGTGATAAGACCCCAACCTCTACCCTTTCTCTTTCCAGGTCTGCGCAGGCGCAAGGGCCTCACCAGGAGCCCAGAGCCAGAGCCCCCTTCCGCACCCCCGGACCCTCTGAACTGGTTTGGGATCCTGGTCCCTCACAGCCTGCGGCAGGCCCAAGCCAGCTTCCGGGAGGGTGAGTGGGCCCTGGGACCCTCCGCCTGCGGGAGCGCTCGCGCAGTCACGCGGAGCTGCGATGCGTCTGCAGGGGGCTCTGCAGGTTTCTCCTTTGCAGGCTTTGGTTGCATGGCTGCTTTTTTCCCCTGAAATTGTTAACGAGCTGTTGCTAGCGAGGTAGGAGCAATGTTCTGGGTTCATGGTAGGTGCTTGAGATACAGCAGGAAACGAAAGAGACCAGCCTCCCTCGTGCAGTGTTTTGCTGTGGAGGGAGAAAGGCAGCCTGCGAATTCGTAAGTGATGAGGACTGTGAGAAGAGAGAGCGCAGGGTGTGCTGGATGCAGTGGGACCAGGGGTGGGGGAGGCCCGCAGAGGCCTCTTGGTAGGAGGGAGTTCCATGGGCGCCCTGGGGCAGCAGTGTTCCAGGCAGAGGGGCCGGCAAGGACGGGAACCCAGAGGAGAGGCCAGTGGGCGGCAGGGAGAGCCAGGCACTGGGATCCGCGGGGTCCGGGCCCAGGAGGCCTGAGAGCACAGAGTGACGGGGTTGGCGCGCGGTTTGAGAGGAATCCCGTGGATCCCGGCTGGGCCAGACGGGAGCAGCCGGGCCTAGGCTACAGCTGGAGGAGTGAGCACGCGGTGGGACCTGCAGGCTTTGAGCGTAGAACCCCCAGCATTTGCTGACACGGCAGCTGGGGAGCAAGGCGAGGAGGGATGAAGACGGAGCCCACGTGGCCCGCACCTGGCGAGCGAGGGCATCCGGTGCTGGGTGTGGTGCGTCCCCCGTGAGCGTGGAGGAGTCGGAGTGAACAGTTGGGCGCGCACATCTGCAGCCTGGAGTCAGGAAGAGGCCTGAGCCGGGGCGAGAGAGGCGGGAGCCCAGCCACCGCGAAACTGGTGTTTCAGTTCCCGCGGTGCTGGCGTCTTAAAGCTGCAATGGGGTGAGGCCAGCGGAGCCCGGAGTGCGGGCAGAAGTGCGGGCAGGAAGGGGAGGAGACCAGGAGCTCAGCCCAGGGGCGCGGTGTCCCAGGAGCCAAAGGAGAGCACATTTCCTGGACAGAGCGGGTCAGACGTGTGGCCAGCTCCACTGTGGGACAGGCCGGTTGCAGACAGCGCTGGCCGGGGACTGGGCAGCAGCTGACCCAGCGGAGGCACTGGGGGAAAGCCACCAAGAGGTGGGCCCAGAGCATGGGATGCTGTTGGGGGTGAGGAAGCGGGTGGAAGGAAGGAGCGTGGGAGCCGTGAGGGACCGTGACAGTGAAGGACGGGGGAAGAGAGGGAGGGCGTGAGGCGGCAGAACCACCTGTGGGTTTTTAGTTCCTGGGGGGCAGTGCAACAGAAGGGGGTCTAGGAAGTCTCTAGGAGCGGCGATGCTTTAGCAAAGACCTGGCGGGGGTGGGTGGTTCGGAGCCACCATCACAGGGCTGACCCTGGGGTGTTGCAGGAGCAGCGGAAGAGCCCAGGGGCCGGGAGCCTCTTCGGGCTCTGGGATGTGCAGATGGGAGTCACGTGTCCCGCTGCAGGCCCGCGGTGACCCTCTCTCCCCCTCCCCTAGGCCTGCAGCTGGCCGCAGATATGGCCAGCCTTCAGAGCCACATCAGCTGGGGTCGCAGCCGGCTTCGGGAGCTCCAGGAGAAAGCCAAGCAGCTCGAGCCCGGGGCCGCCTGATGTGTGGCCAAGGGGGAGGCCCGCAGGTCGGCTGCTCTTTCTTCGCAGACTGTCCCTGCCCTGCCACCTCCGCCCCACCCCCACCGGCTAATCCCCGCCTTAAAGTTCCTGCGGTCACACGTTTTCAGCTTTGTCAGGTGTGAAAGTTTGTTTGAAGAGGAGAACGAGGTAATGTTCAGAGTCGCTCCTCCTGGGTCCCCCTCCCAGTCCTTGTTTGGGGACCTGCTGATGTGGGGAGGCCCAAAGCTGTCAGCTCAGTTCACGCTGGGGAGCAGCAGGGCCGTGTCCGCAGAGTCGCTGCCGGCGAAGCGCTGCAGAGCCTGCGGGCGGAAGGACAAGGCGCTGCTGCAGGTGCCCTCGATCCTGGGGGCTGATTTGAGGGGGAGGGGGCCGCCCACGGCTAACAGACCAGGTGAGAACGATCCCAGGTCGAAAACAGCAAACGCCTGTGTGGACGGGGGTCCTGGGCAGGTTTCAGGTGAAAAAGTAAAAAGGACCTGCCCTCGATTTTGAAGTGACCTCTGGGGAGAGAGCTCTCGGGGGTTTAACAGCCCACCTGGGTCCAGGAGGGAGGCTGGACCTTCGCGATTCGTGGAGCAGCCAGTTGTTTCCCTGGTCTGGGAGCCCCGTGTCCTCCTCGGTTGTCCTGCTGGGCTGCTGCCGTTCACAGTGGCTTCTAAGGAGCTGATTTTTATGCTGGGGGAAAATCGGTCCTTTGTTCATAGTATCGGTGATATAAATATTTTTTCCCAGTTTGTCTTTTAACTTTCTGGTGTTTTTTTAAAAAAACAAAACACTTTACTGTGAAATAAAACACATTCCATTACTGAACCACACAGAACAACTGAATAGCTCAATGAATAATTCAGGTGAAAGCCGTAGTGACCGTTGCCCAACTCGCGGTTTTTTAGTCAGTTTTCTTTTTCCCCCCCTAAATTTTCTTGGTAGTGTTGAACGCATGAGTCAGCTCTTCCCTGATTCCTGCAGTTGGGGTGGCGACTGACGCGATGGTAAGGGAGCCCTCCAGTTGTCTCAAGAGCTGGCGGGGTTTGGCGGAGGACTGGGCTGGGCCCCGCGTCCTGCCCGCGGATGCGGGGCGCCCTGTTCTCCTTTGGCCGCATCCCAGCGTCCTGTCCCACACCGTTGCCTTGATCTCGCTGTCAGGGAACACGCAGGTGCCACCCCCTCAAGCCTGGACCGTTCGCGTTCTCTGTCACCGCGGCCGGGCAGAGTGGCAGCTGGGTGGGGGGTCGTTTCTCAGGGAAGAGCCCGGTGGAGTCGCGCAGCGGAAACCACGTGACGAGGAAGAGAGGCCCTCCCCCCACGCAGGCCGAATCTCAGAACAGGCGCTGCTATCAGCGAAGCACTAACCGGTTTAGAAGTGCACCCCGGATTCTAGATGTGCACCCCGGATTCTAGACGTCAGCGGATCTCGAAGGCCAAGCAACAGCCTCTCGCGCTTCGCCACTCGAAGCCTCGGGCGCGGCCCCGCGCGCGGTGCCAAGGTCTGCCGGTGCGCACAGCGGCCACACGCCGCGCTCGGCCCCGCGCCAGGGCCCCAGGCTGGGGGCGCCGGCTGCGGTCGCGCGAGGCCCGCGTGCCCCCCCAGGCCCCGTCGGGGCGAGGGGGCCCGAGGCTGGGGCCCCCGCAGCCGCAGTCGGGACAGGTGTGCACTGGGGCAGAAGGAACAGGAGCGCGGCGCCCCGACCGGTGGGCGCTGCCGGCTCAGGCAGTGTTGTCCCGCACGGAGAAGCCCCGACTCCCAGGAGTTCCCGTGTGGCCCGGGGGCTGGGCTTCCTGGCTCGCCCAGGCAGCCCCGGTCAGACCCCGGGCCTGGGGGCAGAGGGGGATTGTCGTTTGGGCGCTTCGCCTAAGACCCAGGTCTATCCGCTGGAACCTAGAGGAACGGAGGCCTGGGAAGCCCAGCCCCCTTGCTCTGTGTTTTGATTGAAGTGTGAATTTTCACATGAACAATACTTCGGTTATGTTAGGTACCATACACATTATGCACGTAGGCAACATTATAAATATTTAAATGTTAAAGAAGAGCCCTGGTTGGTGCGGCTCAGCGGACTGAGCCCCGGCCTGTGAGCTTACAGGTCGGTGGCGCTGGTGCCCAGGCAGGGCACAGGCCCGGGTTGTGCGCCGGACCCCCAGCAGGGGGCGCGCGAGAGGCAGCCACACAGGGATGTTCCTCGCTTTCTGCCCCCCACCCCGCCCCCGTCTAAAAATAAAATCTTTTAAAAAAATATTGAAGAAGATATTTAAAATATTAAAACTGACCCAGGCTAGGTGGCTCAGTTGGTTGGCAAAGAAAACAACACCCGTACATAGACTGTCTGCAATAGACCCACCTCAGAACGAAGGATACACACAGACTAAAAGTAAAAGGATAAAAATAAACAGTCTAAAAAACAACCCAAGAGATCGGTGAGACCAAGAGCTGGTTCTTTGAAAAGATAAACAAGACTTAGAAACTTTTAACCACACTCCTGAAGGAAAAGAGAGGTGACCCAAATAAATCAGAAATGAAAGAAGACATAACAGCTGGCAGCACAGAGTACAAAGGACGGTAAGAATACGTTACAAACACCTCTTTGCCAACCAATGGGGCAATCCGGACAAAGCTGATGAAGTTGTAGAAAAATTCAGCGTTCAAAAACTGAAAGGAAGAACCAGAGAATCTGAATAGACATTACCAATAGTGAAATTGAAGCAGTAATTTTAAAACTCCCAGTAAACAAAAGCCCTGAACCAGATGGCTTCACAGGGAAATTTTACCAAACATTCAAAGAAGAACTAACACCCTCCTATCTCAAACTACTTCAAAAAATTTAGGAGAGAAGAGTCCCAAACTCATGAGGCCAGCAATATCAGAAGTTTAAAACTAGATACAGACACTACAAAGAAAATTACAGGCCCATATGCCTGATAAGCATGGGTGCTAAAATTCTAAACAAAATATTAGCAAATATTTTGGATTTATTTGGATTGAGCAACACATTAAAAAGATCATACACCATGATCAAGTCAGATTTATCCCAGGATGCAAGGCTGGTACAACATCTGCAAATCAATAAGTGTGATTTCACCACAGAAACAAAGATAAAAATCACATGATTGTATCAGTAGATGCAGAAAAAGCATTTGATAAAATCCACCACCTAGAGATAATTTCAAAAATTCTCAGGAAAGTGGGAATGGAGGGAACATATCTCAACATATTAAAGACCATACATGACAAGCCAATAGCCAACATACTGAATGAGCAAAAACTAAAAGCATTTCCCTTAAGATCAAAAGCAAGAAAGGGATGTCTGCTTTTACCACTCTTATTCAATATAGTACTGGAAGTGCTAGCACAGCAATTAGACAAGAAGAAATAGAAGACACCGAATTAGAAATGAAAAAGTAAAACTGTCATTACTTGCAGATGACATGGTACTCTATATAAAAACCTGAAGATTCCATCAGAAACCTACTAAAACGGATAAGTAAATTTATTGAAGTATCAGGAAACAAAATAAACATCCAGAAATAAGTTGCATTCTCACACACCAACAATAAACTATCAGAAAGAAAAACTCAGAAAACAAGCCCACTCACAGTTGCTTCCAAAAGAATAAAATACCTAGGGATGAATTTAGCCAAGGATGTAAAAGACCTGCACTCAGAAAATTATCAAACACCACAGAAAGAAACTAAAGAAGATATAAATGGGAGCGTATACCGTGCTCATAGACAGGAAGAACGAACACTGTTAAGATGCCCAGCCCTGGCTGGTGTGGCTCAGTGAATTAGACACCAGACTGTGAACCAAAGTGTTGCAGTTCTATTCCCAGTCAGGACACGTGCCTGGGTGCGGGCCAGGCCCCCAGCAGGGGGCGTGGGAGAGGCAACCGCAGGGATGTTTCTCTCTCTCTCTCCCTTCCCCTCTCTAAAAATAAATACAATTTTTTAAAAATGACCATACTACCCACAGCAATCTGTAGATTCAACACAGTTCCTATCCAGATACCAATGGCATATTTCACAGAATGAGAACAAATACTCCAAATGTGTATATGGAACCACAAAAGGCCCCACATAGCCACAGCAATCTCTACAATGGAGAACGAGGTTGGAGGAGTCACACTACCTGATACCAAACTACACTGCAAGGCTACGGTGATCAAAACAGCATGGTACTGGCACAAACACACACATAGAGCAGTACAACAGAATAGAGCGCCCAGAAATAAACCCATGCCGTTGTCAATTAATATTGGACAAAGGCAAGAACATACAATACGGTAAAGAGTCTATTCAATAAATGGTGAAATTGGACCACCTTTTTACACCGAGTGCAAGAGTAAACTCAAAATGGATTAAAGACTTCAAATCCTAGAAGAAAACACAGACAAGTAAAATCTTGGACATTTCTCATGGCAATATTCTGATGTATCGCCTTGGGCAAGGGAAACAAGAAAAGAACAAGCAGGACTACGTCGCACTAGGAAGCTTTCACACAGCAAAGGAAATCCAAGACAAAACGAAAAGACAACCCAGCGAATGGGAGAACACGTCGGCCCAGGATACCTCTGATGAGGGTTACTCTCCAAAGTTTATGAGGAGCTCATACAGCTGACGCCTAAAGAACAAACAATCCACCTTAAAAACGGGGCGAAGGCTTTTTTAGACTCTTCTCCAAAGAGGACTCGCAGGCGGACAACAGGCATATGAATAGATGCTCAACGTCCCCGATATCAGAGAGACGCAGACTAAAGCCACAGTGAGATAAGCGTCAACCCCCACGGGGAGCAGTGGACCCACTCCACGAGGGTGGGCTAGGAGCACTCAAAGAACTGCGTGGGAGCAGACCAAATCGTGCTAAGGGGCACGGCAGGGAAACCATCGGGCCACCGCCGCGCGGGCCAGGAGCCGCCGCCTGGTCCGCGGAGGGGGCACCACACCCGCGCGGCCCGGTCCTGCGGAGCCGAGGGCGGGCCCCGTCTGCCCGGCCGCCGCCTGGCCACCGCTGCCCCAGCTGACCGGTGCGTTCACTGGAGATGCATGCGAGAGAGGAGGCTCTGTGTCCCCGGGACCCGTGAGCCTCAAAGCGGCAGGCCTGTGCCCCCGGGTCCCCACGGCCTGGCACTCTGCGCACGCGGCGGGGAAGACGGAGCTGCAGACAGGCCCCGGTGAGGGGCAAGGACGCACCACGCGGCCAGGGCCCAGCGCGCTGGCTGTGACCTCCATCTCACGCGTGCCCTGCCCACGTCTTGTTTGCTGGTTCCATCCTGAAAAAAAGGAAAAAGGAGGGGAGGAGGGAGAAACCCAGCCGGGGCCCGGCGTTCAGGGGCTTGCGCTGTGCGCCGCGCACGCCAGGACACACGGCTCCTGCAGATTCCACACTGAACAGTGCGCAGCGCGGGCCCTGACCTGCGCGGGGCGCACGGGGGCGTGACCCAGCCCAGGCCCCGTCAGTGGGCTGGGCCTGCCTGGCTCGGTGTTGGGGCGGGTCCGTGTGCCCAGCCTGGATTCAGACTGAGTGGAGGCGCGAGGGAGGCCAAAAAGGGCCGTGAGACCCGGGAGAAAGGAAGAAGGGTTCCGGGACCGGAGACCCCCAGGAGGCCCAAGAACAGGGGTGGGGAGGGGCTCAGGGAGCAGGGAGAACTTTCCCACCGTCCTGAGAACCGACATTTAGGCCTAATTCTCGTGCACACACAACGCCTGCTGTATCATGTTGGGTAAATTACTTAATCTCTGCAGGCTTGTTTGCTCTGCTGTAAACCACCACCTCCCAGGTGGCTGTGAGGGTTCCGCCAGGTAACGCGCGCGAAGTCCGGCTGCGGCCTGGCGGCCGGTCGATGCTCAGCAAACACCGCTTCCCTCCCCTCCCCTCCCCTCTCACCTGGGCTTCCGATTTCCAGAGCTCGTCCGCCAAGCTGTTCGGAACAAACCCAGAGCCACAGTGCGGGCGGCTGGAAGGGGTGCGCGCGGGGCAGAGAGCGCGGGCACAGGCGTGCGGAGGGAGGGCACAGGCCACTCACCCCGCCGGCCCCGCTCGCCGTCCTAACCCTCACGCATCAAGCCTGCGCCCGGGGGACCGCGCTTGCCCACCGCCCGCTCCCTCCACGAGACCAGCCTTCAGCCCCACCCTCACCGGGCTGCGCTCTCGAAGTTCACGCGGGACCTCTTAAAACGCCCAGTCCCACTGCCTTTCCGACGCGTCGGATGCCCATCCAGGCTTTGGCTCATGGGGCGCGACACATGTTAACGACGTTCAAACGTCCCTCTCCTCTGGCGGCCACCACTGTGACCAGGTGACCAAGCAGTCGCGACAGTAGCGAGCGAGGTCGCCGTGGCCTGTTTCCGACCCTGTGACTGCCAAGCCACGTCGAGCTGTGCCCTTTCAACGGCAACTTGTGTGGCCTGTGAATGATACTTAAGGAAGAACAGGGAAAGTAAGTAGCCCTCCCTGGCGTGGCTCCGTGGGTTGAGTGTTGCCCAGCAAAGCAAAAGGTCGCAGGTTCAATTCCAGGGCAGGGCACAGGCCTGGGCTGTGGGTTAGGTCCCTGGCTGGGGTGTATGCGAGAGGCAACCAATCAATATTTCTCTCTCTTCCTTCTCATCTCTCTAAAAATAAATAAATAAAATCATTAACCAAAATAATAATAATAATAATAATAATAATAGTGGGAACAACCTGGCCATACAGGCGCTGGATGTGACGTCTTCTGAAACTTCCAGCAGCACCTGACGGGTGTTCCTGCCGAGAATGTTTCTCCTGAATCAGGCCAAGCCCCTAGACCGCACTTCAGGCTCCAGGACCTGCAGGGACGAGAAGGACTGATGCTAAAATACGCGTCCGGGAAAACGTGGTGCATTCAATGTCACTTTAAAAGAGGGAGCCCTGGCTGGTGCGGCTCAGCAGACTGAGCACCGGCCTGTGAACTTAAAGGTCGCGGCCCCGATTCCCAGCCAGGGCCCAGGCCCTGGTTGCGGGCCAGGCCCCCAGCAGGGGACACATGAGAGGCAGCCACACGTTGATGTTTCTCTCCCTCTCTTTCTCCCTCCCTTCCCTTCTCTCTAAAAATAAATAAAATCTTTTAAAAATTATATTTATTGATTTTCAGAGACAGAAACACTGATTTGTTGTTCTGCTTATTTGTGCATCTGTTGGCGGATGCTTGTATGTAGTCTGACCAGGAAGTGGAACCCCTGACCTTGACATATGGGGACCACGCTCTGCTGCGCCACGAGGCCAGGGTGGGTTGATTCTCCCGTGCGCCCTGATAGGGGATCCAACCCCGCAACCTTGGTGGGACAACGCTCTAGACAACTGAGCTACTCAGCCAGGGTTCCAAGGTCTTTTAGAAATAAACCAGTGAAGACGTTCGTAGGCCATGGAGCTTCAGGCCTCATGCGGGGGCGGGGCAGCGCGGTCGACCCGCAGAGATGGTCCCCAGAGTCTGCCAGCAGCTGGAAAAGCAGGGGGAGCTTGGGACAGTGAGACTCTCCACCGCCCAGACCGGGAGCTCCACCCCAGGCGTGTGGAACGCACAGGGAGAAGCCAAGTGCACCTAGGATTCCCCGGGAGTAACGGCGGGTGGTGGGTTTAGGATGGAGGGAGAAAGGCGATAAAAATGGTTTTCAAACGCGTGTTGTGTTTGGAGCGTGTAGGATGAAAAGGGCCGGCGTCCGGCAGGAGGGGTGGCGGGAACGCGGGACAGGGGAGGACAGGACGCAGGTGGCGCCCGTTCTAAGCGCGGCTGAGATATCGAGGCCCGAAGACAGCCCTTCAGCCGACGGGGAGGAAGTCTCTTGGGAAACACGGCACTCGGGGCGCCGTGGGGTCACAGAACAGCGCAACCCCGCGTCCAAGTTCGCGTAGCCAAGTAGCGTTAGGGAAAGGGCTGCTCCGGCCCCGCCGCTGGAGCGGGGCGGCGGGAGGCGCGGCGCCCGGTCCGCCGGAGACCGGGAGGAGGGCGCGCGGAGGGACCGGGACGGGGCGGCGCGGGGGGGCAGGCTTCCTCTGAGGCTCGAGTTGGGGCCTGATGTCGAAGGACCGAGAAAAAAGTCTGTGCAGCGGCGACGGCGAAGGCTGAAAAGTTCGGTTTTCCTCGCGTAAGAGGGCATGAAAGGCGGGGCGGCCTGGGGCTCCCAGAGGGGCGGGCGGCAGGCCCCCGGGCGGGGAGCGCGCACCTGGCCGCGCGGGCGGGGGCGGGGCGGGGCGGGGCGCGCCGGGCTCGGAGCCCTCCCCTCGGCGCGGCCCGCCCCCCGGCCGGGCTGGGAGCCGGAAGCGGGCGAAGTCGGCCGACTGGAGACCGCGGAGCCGGGCGAGGGCCGCGCGTTTCCCCGCTGCGCTCCCCGCTCCTGGACGCTCGCCCCGCCGCGGAGCCGGACCATGGGCGCCGCGCGCCGCCGGCCCCTCTGCCTCCTCGGGCCCCCGCTGGGGCTGCTGCTCCTGATCCTGAGCCGGCCGGCGCCGGGCTGCGCTACCCTGTGGCTCTTGGACCACCCGGCCCCCGTCTGCTCCCAGGAGGTGAGAGCCCTCCCCCTCCCCCCCCCCGCGGTGCCGCGCAGGGCGCGGGGCGGGCAGGAAGTACGTGCCGGGGTCCCCGAGGGCTCCGCGGCTCAGCACGAGGAGCGGGCGCCCGGGGGAGGACAGTCGGCGGGCGGGAGGGGCACTGTGGACCCGGCACAAGACGGAGTTTGCCGGGAAAAGAGGTCGCGCGGCGCATGTTGCACAACTGACCGGCGTCCCGGGCGGGCGGGGCACCTCCGCCGGGCCCCACTGTTTGGGGAAGTTGACCGAGGCCCGCGGCCCGGCCCGGGAGACGGGGTGGGCCTGGTTAGACGGCGGGTGCGGGAGGGGCTGGCGGGGAACCGGGCTGGGCCGCACCCCCCCCCCACCCCGCCCCGCGCCGTGCACCCTGCGGACCCCGCCTCGTCCGGGGCTTCCCCTCCCGAGGGGCCCGGCCAGCCCGCAGCAGCCAGGGCAGACGTGCGGTCCCGGCGGGTGTCAACCCGGCCCGAACCTCCGGAGAGACGTGGCGGACGGGCTTCCGGGCGGCCGCGCGGGGAGCGCGGCGCCATCTCCCCGCGAGGGCGAAGCCCCGGGAGTTGGCAGATGATGAGGACGCTGCGCCCTGCCCCGCACCGCCACCTCCGCCCTCTGAGGTCGCCACGGCTCGCTTCTGTCGAATGGGACTCGCGCGGTGACCACGGGAAGTGACACCTCGCCCTCGGGGTGGTGGCACCGGGGTGGGGGACCAGCCGAAGGGGAAAAAAGGAAACAGCAAAACAGCGTCCGCTCCGCAGCCTCTCTCTCCGCTCCACCTTCCCTCCGTTCGCGGCCCCTCGCGGTACCAGCGGCGCCCCGGGACCAGGGAGCGGTGTTTGAGTCAAAGGATGTGAGACACCCTCCCTCATCTAGTGCTGAGCCCGGTTTACCGAAGGGAGCCACAGAGCAGCGGCGCGGGGCTGGCAGGGGAAAGCGTTTCAGGGCGAACGTGTTCAGGGCCGCCCGCGGGGCACCGCTGGGGACAGAGCCCCGCAGGTCCTTCCTGCCGGCCGCCTGGCGCGGGGCTTCTCTGCCGCAGGATCCCGAGCTCACGCTTCGGTGGCCATTTGTCAGGTGTCTGCGAAGTGCGAAGCGCTGTTGCTGGGAACCGAGGCTGCAGAAACCCCGCTGTCCCAGCGACTGAAGCCGCCCCCAAGGGAAGGCGCTTGGAGGGGCAGCCGCGGCACAAGGTGGCCTGAAGCCAGCGCTCGCTTTGTACGACCACGGAGTGGGCAGACTTTGGGGGAAAAAGAAAACTCGCGCCCCCTGGGGAGTTCTTTGTGGCAGAGAGGACAGCAGGGAGCCCCGAGGCGGAGCAGTGGGCCCCGCCGTGGGGTGGAAGGGGCTGAGCCGCAGCCCTGGGGTGGGCAGGGAGAGAGGAGGCTGCAGAGCTGGGCGGGCACTCCCGTGGCTGGCGGGGGGAGCCGGGCGGAGAAGATGCCGTTGACTTGAGCAGGTAGGCGGGCCCCGTGCACCTGCGGCCTCCACGCTGTCCCTCCTCCCCCTCCCTCGGCCCCCACCGGCGCTCCGACAGGGCACCTGCCTGCCCAGCGCTGCCCTGTGCCACTGGCAGGTGCTTGGAAAGGAAGGAAACCACACCCCTCAGAGCTCTCTGTCCCTGTGGGTGCTTCAGGGAGGCAACACCCCGTAGTGATGAGGGCCCAGGTTCGCACCCTGACCCGGCCTTTTACGGTTTCTGCAGCCTTGGCCGTCCACGGCTGGGCAGAGCTCAGGGTCGGCGCGCTCGGCGGCAGAGGGCGCCTCCCCGCCCCGGTGGCACCGTGCTCCCTGAGAGGGCCCTGCCTGGGCTGCATCCCAGCTCCCCCTTGGCCGCCCGCCCAGAGGAAAGCCAGCAGAGACTTGGGCTTGGTCAGCGGCTGTGGAGACATGTGTGGCATCCGGACCTGGGCTTTGGCCTGAGCGCTCGCGGGTTTGACTTGCAGCAGAGCAAGCGGCCGCGCTTCCCTGGCGTGAAAGGGCGTGACCGGGGCCCCCGGGCGCCGCAAAGGCTCGTGGCGGCCCAGGGACAGCCCGCTGCCCCGGCTGCGAGCCGCGCTGAGGCTGCAGGCCCTGCCGGGGCTCCAGGGCTCGCGTCCCGCCACTGCGCCGTCGGTCGTGGGCATCGAGGGCGCACGGTGACAACAGGCGTTTGTTTCTTCCTTCTCGCCACTGAGGCTGGACCTGCTCTCCCGCCCCTTTATTCCGAGGCGCCGGACGCTGGCGATGCGGGGCCCTGAGCCCCTGCGCTGACCTGCCGGGGCCTCCGGTTTGCAGTCACTGAAAACGAGAGAATGGTCCGTGCCCCGGGGGCCGTTGTGGAGCTTCCGTGAGATGTGTGCGCACAGCACTGAGCACAAGGCCTGGACCCTCGACGGAGGGGAAAGGCCACGAGGTCACGCTGACCAGGGCTGCAGAGGCATCTGCTCAGATTCGGAGCTCTGGGGGGGAGGGGGGCGGTTAACACATTCTTTTTTTTATTATTATTATTTTTTATTTATTTAATTTTAAAGAGAGGGGAAGGGAGGGAGAAAGGGAGAGGAACATCGACGTGTCGTTGCCTCTCACGCCGCCCCTACTGGGGGCCTGGCCCCCCCTCCCAGGCGTGCGCCCCGACTGGGAATCGAACCGGCGGCCCTTGGTTTGCATGTCAGCATTCAGTCCACGGAGCCACACCCGCCAGGGCTTGGGACCTGTTTTATATGAAAACTATAAGGAAAATAATAACAGAAGGAAAATACGTGCATACAGCAACAGCTATCAAAAACCAGGATCAAAAACAGTACTAAATACCGAGGGGTTTCCATCCATCACAGCAACTAGAGGAGGAGCCCGGGGTGTCGGGGCGGGTCAGCTGAGTGCGCGCCCTCGGGGTCCCCGTGAAGACCGTGTGGGCCGCCTCGCCAGGGGTTTGAGGAGCTACCAGGGGGCTGTGGGGAGTCGCTCACAGCGGGTGTCTGTCCGCGTTTTCTAGCAGAGCTTCTGCATCTCAAGGAGGGAAAAGGTTCCCTCTCCATTCAGGAACCGGGGGACGCAAGTTGGCGCGCAGGGGCAGCGAGGGGGTCTTGCCAACGTGTGCGGAGCATGGGCAGGGCTGCGGCGCCTCTGCGGCCACACGGCAGACTCACCGGAGAAGCTGGGCAGGATGCGCGCAGCCCGGCCCCGGGGAACCGGCGTCCCCGCCAGGCGGGCTGCGGACGGCCGCCCGCTCAGACGCGCTCCTGGCGCCTGCCGGAGGGCACTGTCCCTTCCCCCGCCCCAGGGCACGGAGGGAGTAGGGCTGAGTAAGGATGGCGTCATCCCCGCGCGCTGCCCGCCCCGCCGCCCCGCCCTGAGGGAAGGCAGGTGCCGCCCTGGCGCCCCTTCACATGCGGACATCAGACCTCTCGGTCCGAAAACCCCGTTTCTCGCGCCCATCAGCGCAGGCTTTCTGCCCCGCAGGGTGCGTTTGGTCCCCTTGCTCCACTGCCCAGTGTGGACGTGCGGCGGTCACCCCGTGTAATAATAGCTCCCACTCACTGAGCACTTACTACACGCCAGGCTCTAAAGAAGGGGACCCCATAAGGCAAGGACAGCCGTTAGGGGCCAGACGCGGGACACAGCCTCGTCACCAGCTGCAGCAGCAGCAGCGAGGTGCCCTCTGGGCAGGGCAGCCGCCAGCGTCCCTCCTGCTGATCCTCCGGGGGCGGGGGGCCAGCACCCTGTCTCAGGGGGTGGGCGCGTGCGCTGTTTCTGCTGTCTCTCTTAATGGCATCAGCTGGTGCACGAGTCCACCGCCGTCGTTCGAAATTTTTCATGATATGGACACATCAGAAGCGACAGTGTCCCACACACACCGCCGTCCTGACCCCAAGATCACGGCTTCCCTTTGTGCTGTTCAATTCTCGACAACACGGGGATGTGGGCACTGTGGTTATTCTGATCTTGCAGCTGAGGAAACCGAGGCCTGGCCATGTTCGATGTCTCGGGGCGACTCAACGCCAGGGCCGTCGTGAGCATTCGCGAGACCGCGTATCAGGCGCCTCGTGTGGCCCAGGGTCTGGCCCGGCGACCCCGGGAACTCGTAGGCACTTTGTGAAACTTCGGGGGCAGGCGCGGGGTTTTGTTCCCCCTCTGCCAGCGCTGCTTCCAGGCTGAAGGTTGGGGGTCTCCGAGGCGAGAGGCCCGCCCCAGGGCCCCCATAGGGCCCTCCCAGCGTCGCCTAACGCTGGAGGTTCCCAGCTCTGAAGGCTACTCAGAAAGCACCAGTTCCCCTCGGCTGTCCACTGTCCCCGCGTCTCATCCGGATCCTCCTCCGTGGGGCAGGATGGGACAAGTGCAAGGATAATCTGGTCCCCTCCCCAGGTGGACCCCAAAAGTGGGAGGGCAGGGCTGGGGGGCCCTGTCCTTGAGAAGGAGGCAGAGAAGCGGGGCCCCCGCCTGTGAGTGGAAGCCCTCCCCATCGGTAATTCCCTCCTTCTTTTTTCCCGCAGGGGCTAAGCTGCCAAGTCAAGAACAGTAAGTGGTCTCTTTCGTGCTTGTTGCTGTTTTGATAGTGAAGCTCCAGCCTCGCGCTGATGGCCGATAGGCGAGGGCCACACCTCCAGCAGGAGGCGCCCCAGGGAAGCGAGCATGCGCACATCTGCACTTCCAGGCAAGGGTGTGCATCGCCCCGAGTCAGGCAGGGAGGACCAGAGCCCCCTTTGCTCTCAGAGAGGATCTTGGGGTGCTGCCTGTGCATTAGCAACCCTGCTGTGAAGTGAGACACGTCCGTGCTGTTGATTTTGTCCTGTGTTTTTTTAAAAAAAGATCTTACTTATTTTTAGAGAGGGGGAGGGAGGAGAAAGAGGGGGAGAAACATCCCTGTGTGGTTGCCTCTCGCGCGCCCCAGGCCTGTGCCCTGACTGGGACTCAAACCGGCGACCCTTGGGTTCACAAGCCGGTGCTCCGTCCTCTGACCTGCCCCAGCCTGGGCTGTTCTGTGTTTTAATTCAGGAAGGAGGCATCGTTTCAAATGTCTGTGCTCACTGGGGGCCCTGGCGTCTAAAATTAAAGCAGCTGCAACCAGTGCCCCGTCCTTCCGGGCCCCCGTTCCCAACCACTGCCTCATCTCCCAGCCAGGCCGTGCGCTTTGTGTCCCCCCTGAGGCGCCCTTTAGGCCTCAGAGCTTCGCAGGGGCCCCGGGCGAGTGCGAGGGTGGGGGGGCGGCTCCCAAGAGCCCCCCCGTCCGAGAGTCGAGGGCGGCTCGCTCGCACGCTCCCGCTCCTTGCGGTTTCCCCAGAGTCCCGCGGACCACGCACACCCCTGACTCTGCATTTCCTGGCCGCCAGGTACCTGCCTGGATGACAGCTGGATCCAACCTCGCAATCTGACCCCCTCGTCCCCGAAGGATGTCCAGGTGAAGGTGCAGGTGGCCCACACCGAGGACGGAGGCCGCGTCCCTGTGGTCCACGTCACGTGGGCCCTGCAGACAGATGGTGAGTGGGCCTGTCCGCGTGACCTGGGGGCCCCGCGCCCTCCAGGCGCACCCGCAGGCTGGGCCCTCGGGCCCCCCGCCCCAAACTCAGAGTGAGGCTCCCATCCTGTGCTCAGCACAAGGGCCCAGTTCAGTGCTGAAAGGGTCCCGCCTGTCGCTCAGCAGATGCTTTTTCCCATGGTTTTTTTTTTAAATGATTTATTTATTTTTAGAGAGAGGGGAGGGAAAAAGAAAGAAAGAGAAACATCCCTGTGTGGTTGCCTCCTGCACGCCCCCCACTGGGGACCTGGCCCCCAACCCAGGCCTCTGGCCCAACTGAGAATTGAACCAGCGACTCAGGTTCTCAGGCCGGCGCTCAGTCCACTGAGCTGCACCAGCCGGGGCTTTTTCAGTGTTTCAGGTGTCAGACCCCAACAGTATGTCCTCATCCCGCCGTTGGTGAAGGGCTGTTCCTTCAGCCCAACACCTTTATCACCCCAGGAGAAAAGGCCGTGTGGTGGACTCTGCGCCTGACCGCAGCACCAAATATTTACTGGAAGAAGGGCCACACATTGGCCAGTCTGCTTTGCCCCTTAACCTAGAGGCTGCCGCCCCTGAAATGACACCCCCAAACCTCTTAGGGATAGATGGTTGCATTACACACTCGAGAGGAGTGGGGCGAACAAGAGCCAGCCCTAGATGTGTGAACAAGGCGGGCCGGTGCGGTGGGGGGCTTCTCTCTCGATGGCCCTGGCTGCTCTTTCAGGACGGTGGCGGTGGCCCCGTTCGGCCCCCACACCTGTTGCCAGCGCCTCAGCCACACGCTGGCAGAGCCTTTGCTCCGGTGCAGGAGCCGCTCTGCAGGGCAGGCTCGGGCCCCGGAGCGAGCTGGGAGGAGCAGGAAGTGGAGGGTTGGGTGAGATGCTCTCTGCTCTCTATGAGCTTTGAGAGCCAGCAGCCTCGCCCCACGGAAGTGACACGCCCGCGCGGCTGGTCTTGCTCACCGGCTCCTCTGCTCGCCCGCAGCCAGCATCCTCTACTTGGAGGGGGCGGAGCTCTCTGTCCTGCAGCTGAACACCAACGAGCGCCTGTGTGTGAAGTTCGAGTTCCTCTCCAGGCTGCAGCACCACCGCCGGCCGGTGAGACCCTGGCTCCTGGGCGGCTCCCGCTGCCATGAGGAGCTGGGCGGGTTTTGGGGAACTCCCCTGTGCTGCACAACCCGTGTGTTTCCTTCCAACCTTGTGCAGCCGGTCATAGTGCAGGAAGTGGAAGGGACTGCGGGCTTCCCCGGCCCGGTCCCCTGCCACCTGGATTTGTTGCTGAGACTCTTTGCAGCCTCCGGAAGGAACCTGCTGTGCCCAGACCAGAGGACTGCAGCGGGCGGGGTACAGGCAGATGAGTTCTGCACCATTTTGGCTCCAAGGGATTCTGATGCCAGTTTGAAAGCCGCTGGTTTAAATCTGCAAAAAGCGGCCATTTGCGCATCTCCCACAGACAGGCCGCAAAGACAGGCCCCCTCCCGCGTGTGACCAGGGCCCCCAAACTTGAGTGGTAGGTGCACCCTGAGGACCGGGTGCCGAGGCACTTAGAAGCCAAGGACCCCACCCCCACCACCGCGGTAAGCACAACGGAAGTTGGTGTCAGTGTCTGTCGCCTGCACCGTGCAGAAGTCCCTCCCCTGAAACCGGCAGCTGTGCCACCAAGGGACCTGCAGGCCCAGGAGACAGCGCCTCTCTGGCCGTCCCCCTGCACTCGAGGGCTCCAGAACGTTCTTGGGAGGTCTCGGCTCTCCCAGGGAAAGAGGAAGAGTCATTTAACACATAGTTTTTAGCTGCCTCTTGGGAACCAGCTCTCCAATGACCCCAAGCCCCCAAGTCGGGTCCAGGCGCTTTGAAATAGGCAGGGGAGACCAGAGGCAACAGAGCCAAGAGACAGGAGCCGCTGATTTGGGATCTTGTTGCGATGGGTATTCCTTCTTCTTCACTGAACTTTAGGGGGTGGAGAGGATGGGGCACTCGGGGCGCAGCTGTGTGGGGCGACCTGCCCAACTGCCCTTCCCTCTTCTCTTCAGTGGCGCTTTAACTTCAGCCACTTTGTGGTGGAACCTGGCCGGGAGTACGAGGTGACTGTTCACCACCTGCCCAAACCCATCCCTGACGGGGACCCGAACCACCAGTCCAGGACCGTCCTCGTGCCGAGTACGTGCGCCTTGCCCTTCGCCGCAAGACCAGCCGGCCAGCCCGGGGCTCCCAGGACGTGGGGCCGCCCTTGACCAGGCTTCCCCAAAGGGAAAGGTGTTGCCTGGGGTGCCTGTGGCTGGGGCGAGGAGCCAAAGCGATGAGCACTAACGCTTGCGCGTGTCTCTGGGTCTGCAGGCTGCGGCGACCGCGTGATGAAGGAGACCCTGCCGTGCGTGCGCTCAGGTAAGGGAGGCAGGCTGCCCGGCGGGGGGCGCTCCCTGGGGGTGCAGGTGCGCCCCTCACGCCCCGCTCCTGTGTGCGCCGAGGCAGGCAGCCTGTGGGAGCCCGACATCGCCGTGGGCCTCCTGGAAGGCGCCCGGCAGCTGAAGCTCAGCTTCACCCCGTGGAGTGAGCCCGCCCACTACCAGATCCTGCTGGAGAGCTTCCCGCGCGAGGAGAACCAGACGTGCTTCCAGCACACGGCAGATGTGCCTGTGGTAACGCCCCCCGAGTCCCCCACGCAGCTGGGGGCCGCCCCCTGCCCCTCCCTGGTCCGCACTCAGAGCCTGGCCCCAGGGCTGCCCTCTTTTCCCTGCCTCTAGGGCATAGTTGATACAGAGTAGTTGTTCTGCGGTTGAGGTTTCCTTTGCTGTCACTCTCTGTAGATAGAATGTAGCCGCCTCTGCCCTGCTCAGCAACCCTGTCTTTTTTTTTTTTTTTTTCAAATCCTCACCCAAGGACATGCTCGTTGGTTTAGAGAGAGGGGAAGGGAGGGAGACAGAGAGGAACATCGATGGGTTGCCTCTCGTACACGCCCCGACTGGGGATCAAACCCGCAGCCTAGGCCCGTGCCCTGACCGGAAATCGAGCCCACTGCCCTTCAGTTAACGGGACGACGCTCCAACCCGCTGAACCACTCGACAGGTGTCCCCCCATCCTTCCCTCCCACACATCCACCCTCCCCCCTTGTTGGGTTTTGTTGATTCTGCTTATTTCAAAGAGGATCTGAAGGCCTGTAAAGTGTTGAAATGCAGATGAAGGGTAACTAAAGATGCAATGAGGTGAAGCCGTGGATGAGCACAGAGAACAGGGGCGCGGGGTGCGGGCACCGTCGGCCACCACCCCCGCAGCCGCCGAAGCCGCGAGGGAAGCGGGGTCGCTGGCTGTGTCCTGCATTCCCAGGAGGCCCAGGCGCCGGGAAACGCAGTTCTGTGGGCGCAGAGCCTGGGAGGCGACTGCCCAGGCCTCCCGGCCCCCCAGGCCCCCGGCCCCCCAGGCCCCCGGCCTCACAGCCTGTCCCCTACCCCCGCAGCCCGCCCCGGAGGACCTCCCCCTGCGGGCCAACGTCACGTTCCTGCTGCCCAGCGCGGACTGGTGCTGCCGCCACCGGCTGAAGGTGGGCGAGCGAGGAGCGGTGGGGAGGGCATGCACGGGCGGCGCCCCTCCCACAGGGACGGGGACGGGGACGGGGACGGGGATGGGGAAGGACGGCCCGACAGGCGCGCTCTGGAGACCCCGCGTCACTGGTCGCTGCCGCCTGGGACTCCCGGCCTCCGCCGGGCACGGGGCCCACCTGGCAGCCGGGCGCAGCACCCCGCAGTCGGAAGGGCGGCGGGGGAGCCCCGGGTCCCCAGCCTCTCAGCGCCCCCTCTCCTCCCTGCTCCCCGCTCTCAGATCCAGCCCTTCTTCAGCAGCTGCCTGAATGACTGTGACCGACGGACTGTGAACCTCAGCTGCCCGAAAACCCTAGACCTTCCAGGTGGGAGGCCACCCTGGCACCCGGTGGGGGTGGGGGCAGGTCCAGTCAAAAGCTTGCGCTGGACCCTGACCTGGTCCTGAGGGTGGGGCCCAACCGAGGTGAGTCAGGCCTGCGATGCGGGGCGTCACAGAGACTCTCGGCTGCGTGGGACTCCGGCCTGCCCGTCTTAGCCGTCCGTGCAGCCTTGGGCAAAGGACGTGGCCGCTCCGGCCTCCGCGTCTGTGCCGCGGGGTGGGGTTGTCACCCACACGCCCAGGGCCGAGCGCGCAGCCCACGCCGTCCCAGTCCTCACAAGTGGGGAACCATAGCACCAGGAAGGGGAGGCCCCTCCCCCGGGTTCACAGAGGAAGAAACTGAGGCACAGAGGTGGTGTAGCCCATCCGAGATCACTCCCCGGGGAGGCGGCAGCACCTGTCCACGGGTCTGGGGTCTGGGCCCCTCAGGAGACCAGAGGAAAACGCCATCTAGGCGTTTCGTGTGGACGGTCCCACCCAGCGTCCCCCGCGTCCAAAGTGCTCAGTGTTGGGCCACGGGCATCTGCAGGCCCTCGGCGGGTGGCGGCGGTGGTTCGGGAGTTCTTGTTAGCAAGTAACATGCGGTTCCCCTCTGTTCCCGTTGCAGGCCCGATAGCAGGTGAGGCCAGCTCTCCTTCCCAGCGCAGGCCGCCGGGGGCTGGGCGCCCACTTCGCGGAGCCAGGCTCACAGGCCAGGCCAGAGGCCTGCCCCTGGGGGAGGGCGGGGGGTGCGGATGAGGCCTCGGGCGTGTCACGGTGCAGGCTGGGCCTCGGTGCAGGCTGGGCCTCGGGCCTGGGGGGCCTCAGGGCAGGGCACCTTGGGCTGGCTTCGCAGGCCTCCCGACCGTACCCCACGCTGCTCTGCTCCCGCAGACTACGTGCCCCTGTGGGCCTACATATTCATCACAGGCGTCGCCATCCTGCTGGTGGGCTCCGCCATCCTGCTGATCCTGTGCATGACCTGGAGGCTGTCGGGTAAGGTCCGCGGCCGGGGTTTCCACTGTTCCTCTCTTCCTCCCCCGCCCCCGCTTGCCTCTGCTCCGAGGGCAGCCTTCCGCCTCTGTGGAGCTGCAACCTTGCCTCTGGCATCCAGAACTCTGAGCCTGAGCTTGGTTCCTTCTCTTACCCCTGGGGCACATCACTTAACCCTCCGAGCCTTGGTTTCCTCTTTTGTAAAAGAGAAATGATCTTGATTGCCAGGCCATGAACCTATCGCAAAGATTATGTGAGGTGATGCTCGTGGATTCTTAGTATCATGTCTGGCACATGTCTGCTCTCTCAGGTGCCAGCCACAGTGAGATTTTTTTTTTTTTTTTTAAGATTTTATTTACTTTCAGAGAGGAGGAGGGAGGGAAAGAAACATCCTTGTGTGGTTGCCTCTCGGGCACCCCCTGCTGGCGACCTGGTGCCACGATCCATGCAGGTGCCCTGACGAGGAATCAAACTGGCAACCCTTTGGTTCGCAGGTCGGCACTCAGTCCACTGGGCCGCACCAGCCAGGGCAGATTTTTTTTAAGACAAAGAAAATAAATAAACATTGGTCCCCGTCCGCATCACAGCCCTCTCTGGCCAGGCCCCAAGCAGAAGAGAGCGTGGTCTGTAGGTCAGGGCCCGGCTTTGCCCGGCCTGGCCCTGCACCGCCCCCGGCTCCTTCGCCGCTGCTGCCGGGGGCCGTGTGCACACTGGCGGGGCCCTCGGGATCAGGCCTCCGGTGCATGTTGGCGTTACTGGGTGGTGGGAAGGACCCCAGCCCAGGCGCCGGGAGACCACAGCGGGTGTCCTCCGCCGGAGGCCTCCGCCAGCACCCTGTAAACCGCAGAGCGCCCTGTGCACGTTGCAGATGCTCCTTGCCGCCTCTGAGCTGGCAGCGTGCGGTGCGGGGCGGACAGGAGCCCACGCTCGGCGGGCTGTGTCCCACAGTCCCGGGGAGGCCTGGTGGGGGCGGTGCAGGGGGCTGAAATGTAGGCTTTGCCACGCCCCTCCATGTCCCTGGGGCCCCTGCGAGGGGCTTTCTTCTTTGTGTCCCTGAGGGGAGCCGTTGCTCAAGGATGTTGCTTTCCTTTCCTCACCCCGAAACTGCCAGGAAAGATGTACACACACCGGGCCGAGCCTCCTTCCGCAGACATGCGGCTTCTGTTCCCGTGGGAACGTCTGTCAGGAAGAGCTTTGCCTCCAGTGCAGAGTCTCCTGGGCGGGGGGGGCCAGGCTGTGGGGGGGCCACTGGCACTGCCATGAGGGAGCAGAGGGGGCCTTGGCCACCGCTCTAGGGGCCCCAGCAGGGACAGCTCCCAAAACACCTGCCCCCCCTCCAACTGCGTGTGTCCAGTGCGCCGGCACGTCACACCCATGAGCTCATGGGCCCCCTCCCCCGGCCCATTTTACAGAGGAACAGGCTGATCTTCTAAGGCCTCAGTACCATCCCCAGGTCTCGGGGCTCCTCTGGCCGACCGGGGGGCGCAGCGGAGTGCCTGACCCCCACTCCGGCCGCCTTCCCTCCTCAGGGGCCCCGGGGGAGGGCTGGGGGCAGTGCTCCCCTCAGGTGCCTCTGTGAGCCGGTCCCTGTTTCTCTTCCGAAGAAGCCAGTCCAGTGTTGTTCCTTTCAGGGTCTCATCATGAGAAACGGGGCGCCGGCGCCGGGGACCCAGGTCAGTATTTCCTGATGCGGGCACACAGCTGGGGGGCGGGGGCCGGGAACGTGGGCTGGAGCGTTCTCCTGAGACACCTGGGTGGGTCACCTTCTGCAGCCTGACTCCTGCATCCCTCCAGGGGCCCTCACGTTTTGGGGGCCCGCCTTCTGTGCCCCCTTACAAGGCAAGGCCGGGGGAATGTTCTTTAAATCTCTCAGACCGGGGGAAGGATGCCAGGGACCCACCGTATTTTGTGAAAAGAGGTCCGCCCATAGCACTTCAGTCCCGTGGCTGGGCCTTTGCACCCTTTTCTTCTTTTAGAAAGATTTTATTTATTTTTAGAGAGGGGGGAAGAGAGGGAGAAAGAGGGAGAAAAACATCAACATGTGGTTGCCTCTCGTGCGCCCCCTGCTGGGGACCTGGCTCGCAGGCCAGCACCCAATCCACTGAGCCTCACCGCCCTTTTCTCCTTTTTGATAAGAAGTGGACTGAAGGCCAGAGAGCACGTGAGAGGCGGGGGTTCTCTCTCCTGGGAGGCTGCAGACTGGTTCTTTCCATGCAGCCAGGGCAGGTCAGACAGCAACACTTGCGCACACACACCCCCCCGACCCCCCACAGTGCGAGGGTCCGCGCAGACGCATATGACCCGGGCGCTGGGCCGGCCTTTTCCCCCAGGTGCCCTGCCCCCCGCCGGCCTGACGCCGCCGCCCCTGAAGCCCAGGAAGGTCTGGGTCGTCTACTCGGCCGACCACCCCCTCTACGTGGACGTGGTCCTGAAGTTCGCCCAGTTCCTGCTCACCGTCTGCGGCACCGAGGTGGCCCTCGACCTGCTGGAGGAGCAGGTCATTGCGGAGATGGGGGTCATGACCTGGGTGGGCCGCCAGAAGCAGGAGATGGTGGACAGCAACTCCAAGATCGTCATCCTGTGCTCCCGAGGCACCCGGGCCAAGTGGCAGGCCATCCTCGGCTGGGAGGAGCCGGCCGTCCAGCTCCGCTGCGACCACCAGCGGCTCGCCGGGGACCTCTTCACCGCCGCCATGAACATGATCCTGCCGGACTTCGAGAAGCCGGCCTGCTTCGGCACCTACATCGTCTGCTACTTCAGCACCATCAGCAGCGAGGACGACATCCCCGACCTGTTCCACATCGCGCCCCACTACCCGCTCATGGACCGGTTCGAGGAGGTCTACTTCCGGATCCAGGACCTGGAGATGTTTGAGCCGGGCCGAATGCACCGCGTCGGGGAGCTCGCCGGCGACGGCTACCTGCAGAGCCCCAGCGGCCGGCAGCTCAGGCAGGCCGTGGACCGCTTCCGCGACTGGCAGGCGCAGTGCCCCGACTGGTTCGAGCGCCAGAAGCTCTGCGCGGCGGACGACCAGGACGTCCAGTCTCTGGATGAAGAGGTGTTTGAGGAGCCGCTGCTGCCCCAGGGGAGTGGGATCACCAAGCAGACGCCGCTGGTGCGGGAGCCCGCCGCCGGGGGCCTCCTGGTGGTGGAGCCGCTGCTGGCCGGGGGGAGCCCGGGGGTGGCCCTGCTGCAGCCCCAGGGGCGGCTGGAGGCCCAGGCCCTGCAGACAGCGGTGCTGCCCCTGGAGGCGGCCCCTCCCGCCCAGGCCCTGGAGCCCGTCTGCCCCACGGTCGAGGTCGTGGGCAGCATGGCCCAGCAGGTGGCCGTGGTGGAGGGGGGTGAGGCCTGCCCGCTGCTGGAGGGCGCCGGCCCCCGGCGGAACAGTGTCCTCTTCCTCCCTGTGGCCCCGGAGGACCCCCTGCTCTGCAGCACCCCCCAGGCTCCATCAGGCGACCTCCCCAAGGCCGTCAGGGGGCAGCTGGAAAGCTTGATGCTCTCGCTCTTCCAGCAGAGCCTGAGCGGCCCGACCGCGGAGCCGTGGCAGCGGCCGGCACTGGCCGCCCCCGAGCCACACACGCCCTACGGGGAGGGGCAGCGGGAGTCCGTGCAGTCTGACCAGGGCTACATCTCCAGGAGCTCCCCGCAGCCCCCCGACGGGCTGCTGGAAGTCGGGGAGGAGGACGTGGCGCAGGACCTGGGGCCCCCGGCCAAGCAGCTGTCGCCGGAGGCGCTGGAGAGCCTGAGGGGCCTGCAGAGGCGGCTGCTGTTCGAGGAGCTTCAGAGGGACTCGGGCTGGGAGAGCATGGAGCCCGGGGAGCCAGCCACGTAAGGCCTGCGCCCGAGCACAGGCGCCCGGGTGTGCACGCGGGCTGTGTGTGTGTGTGTGCATGTGTATATACTCACGCGTAAGGTTCTTTTCCAATGTAGACGCCCTGAGTTTGACGCCTGGACGCCATCATTTCTTTCTGGGACCCTCTGCTCATCTGCCACCCCCACAAAAGTCTGCTGTTCCCAAGCTGGCGGCAGTGCCCTGGAGTCTCCATCATTCACTCATTTATCCAAAGTTGATTTTGTCCCTACTGTGCGCCAGGCGCCCGAGATACAGAGAGAAGTGGCACCTGTCATGGGCCCTGGCCGCTAAGGAGCAGGTTCGCAAGTAAAGGACGCAGTCGGGCTGGCTGTGAAGGCTGAACAGAGGCTGCCTGGGAGCCAGGACAGCCCCCGGGGGCCCCCGGCCCAGGGAGCAGTCCTGGAGTGGGAGCCGAGGGGGACGCTGGTGCCCTGGGCCGAGAACCTGTGCTGGGGGGGTGGGGGTGGCGCGGCTGGGAGGTGAGCGGGAGCCAGTCCACCCGCAAACTGCGAGCCGAGCCTGGAGCGCTGTGGGGGGGAGCTGGCCGCTGCCCGGGCTGGGAGCTGCCCGGGGCTGCTCTCGCTCTGCAGAGGCGATGGCTGAGGGCCAAGCATAGCTGGGAGCCACCACAGGTCACTTTGGAGGGACGGCTGCAATGTGAAAGCGACCGGCATCCACCGGAGAAGAGCCCGAAGCCCTGAGCCCCGTCAGCCCTGGGGGAGCACGCAGGCTGCGGGCGGCCACCCCTGCCCCGCGGGTCCTGCAACAAGGCGAATTGAGTGGGCTGCACAGGGTCCACACAGTGGGCAGCGAGATCCTGGGCAGGCCCTTTGGGGGACAGGGAGTGTGCCGTGCTGCTGTTACAGGTGTGGGGTTCAAAGGCAGCATTTGAGGAGGCGCTCGGGGCCAGCGTTTGAATGTGGCCCTGGGGGAGACCCTGGGGCTCCGTCGGCCCCTGTGGCGGGGGCTGCCCCTCGCCCGCAGCGTCCGTGTCGGGTGGGGGAGGGTTCAGCAACGGGACTGGAGACCGGGTACCAGAGGCCCCTGTGTGTGGCAGAGACGGTCAATAAAAGAGTGGATGAATTTGTTGACTCTGAGAAGACATCCTGGTCGTTATTTTTGGGTCCCATACTGCCTATAGGTCGTGAATTCTGTAGTGAGAATTTTCCGAGGAGAAGCACAACTATCAACGTCCCCGGCGGCTGCACAGGACCCGCGAGGGGCACTCTGGACGGGATATCTGTGTCCCCGCAAAACCCTTAAATGGAAATCCTGACCCCCACGGGGGTGGATCAGGGCCCTTACGAGACCCCAGAGAGCTCCCTCCTCCGGTCGCTGGAGGACGCAGCAAGGCGGGCACCTGGGCACCTGGCTGTCACCCGACCCGGCATCTGCTCGACACAGACCTGGGAGCCCGGACTGCAGGGCTCCGGAAAGCAAACTCTGCTGGTGATAACCTGCCCTGCCTGGGGGGCCGTCACAGCCCCCCGGGGGACTCAGGCGGGGAGAAGAGGCACGGAGCCGCCCCAGCCACCAGCCTCTCGGTCCGTCCCCTCCGTGGCAGGGAGGTGGGCCTCCTGGTGTTGGGACGCTCCCCACGCTCTCCAAGAACGAGCGCTTGTCAAGCGTGCGTGGCGTGGCGGCCACGCTGGCCCTGTCCCTTGCCGGAGCAGGGCGCGGCCTGGCAGCCGCGTGGCCCGGCCAGTGCGGTCCTGGCTCCCGCAGGCCGGCCGACGCCCGCAGCGCATACCCCAGCGTTGCTGCTTCCGTTGCCCACTCCGCCCCCTTGCTGACCAGGGCTGCTGCCTGTGTCGCTGACAGCTTGGTCACTGAGCTGTAACTCCCATACTGTACCATCCACAGCTGACCCCGCGCAGTGCAATGGCTTTTAGGAGTTCAGAGGTCAGCAATCATCAGCATAAGCGATTCTGGAACGTTTTCTTACCCACAGAGAAACATGGCACCGCTCGATCACCCCCGAACCCTCCCCGCCTACTCCCAGGCAGCCACCGACCTCCTCTCGGTCCACGGACTGGCCTGCAGCGGCCACGTCCTGTGTGAACGCAGTCAGGGAGTTCCTGGGGCTGCTTGGCCCCCCCTTTGCTGTCACTCCTTTGCTGCCTCCATACGCCCTTCCCCTTCCCCAGAGCTCCCCCCCACCCCCTTCTCACACAGTCACCCTAGGAAATCCCAGTGTGGTGTCTGCCATCGACCAAATGCCAGGAGCTTCCAGAGCCCGTACACAGCGCGCCAGGCCTTCTCACCGCATGGTTCTGAGCCAGGGCTAAGGGGCTCCTGCTTTTCCCAGGGGAGCCCCTCCAAGAACAGGGGTCCTGAGAGCTGTGACACCCCCCAGCCACCGGCCAGCAGCCTGCAGCAGAGGTGGCTCAGGGAGGCAGAGACGGCCCAGACACGCAGGGAGCAGCTGCCTGGGCCTCCCGCCCACGCAGCCTGCGCTCGGACCACCTGCTGCCTCCATCCTGGTCGGGAGTGAAAAAGAAAAAAGACCTGATGAGCTGGCGGGCCACTTGGACGCTGCTTGATACACCGCCGCTCACGCTGCAGTTTTAACCCAGATTCTCGTCCTGCCTGGAGGTTCCTCAGCGGCGTTTCCACCTTGAGGGCTTTGTTCACTCCGTGCGGGGATCTCCGAACGCCAGGATGTGACAGATTTCCCGTATTTCCCGCTGACCATGGGAGATTAAATAAAGCTGTGCCACGGGCGAGTTTCACTCAGCGGCCTTTAGGCCTGGGGCGGGGGGCGGTCTTCTCCTTCCCAGGGGAGCAAGGGCAGCGCCAGCGCCCCCAGAGACCTGCCGGGGAAGGGCCACGCGGGACAGCGGGGCCCAGGGAGGCGTGAGCTGAGAGTAGAGCACACAGCGGGCAGCCCAGCCCTGGCCACCAAGTCAGGCGTGCGCCGGAGTTTTCTTAAAAAGAGGCTGCGCCCGGCAACGCCACGTGGGACCCCGGCTCTGCTCCGGGCCAGCAGCGCGACCGGGACCGAGTTCCCTCCCTTAGGCCTGTCAACGGAGAGTCGGGGTCCTCGGCCCCAACTCAACACCCACGGGAGTCCCCGACGCGGGGCGTGGCGAAGAAGAAAACTGTATTCAGTGCAGAACAGCTCAGGCTGGGCAGCGCACCTCCCACTAGACGGCTCTGCTGCAGCAAGACAGCCTCGCGCCTCCGCTCAGCCAACTGTAAACCCGAGATTCAGCAGGAAAGGAAAGTGCGCCCCACCCCCGCGGAGAGCGGACTTACCCCGCGCAAGTCCCCGCCCCGTCTGCCGTCATGCAAATAAGGGCCTCAACCCTTGAAGTCTGATTGGTCCAAAGAGCGCTGCCCTCATGGGTGAAAATGGAAGTTCTGATTGGGTGGGGCTGCAGCTCTGATTGGGCGGGGGGTGAAGCCCCACTCCCATTGGCTGAAACAGGATCCCAGGCAGTCCTTTATAAGGGCCGCTCCGCGGGCGGAAGCCTAGTGTGTGCTGCTCCCCGAGTGTGGTTTGTGTTTGAGGTCTTTAGGCGGAAATGGTTGCCAGGTTCTTGTGTGTTGCTTTATTTTGTTGGTTTTGCCTTTTTCAATTTAAGCCCAGTTAGCGACCAGGAGACCGTCTGGGAAGGCGTCTTCTGTCCTGGGGTTCGCAGGCCTCACCGTGCTTGTCTGTGAAATGCGCCCAGCGGGAACTCCTGCATCCCCGAGGGCTGGGGCGAGCAGGTGCAGCGCACCTGTGAAGCGCCCAGGGCGCTCCGCGGCTCCAAGCGGGCCCGGGAGTTTCTGCCCCCCGCGCCCCGCCCACTGCTGCCTTCGTAGGGGCCCCGGGCTCCCTTAGGCCCCGCCTCAGCACGGCGGGGTACTCGCACCCGATTCTGCGCCAGGGCGGCTTAGGAAGCGGGCGCTGTTTGCCCTGCCCCCTTCTCTGTTCTCTCCGCTTTCCTCATCAACTATAAAGTAACGTGTGGTCCAACACTTGGCACATATTAAGAGCTCAATAAATGTGTCGTCTGAGTGAAGTGCCCATTTTAGGAGAATAGAAACACTATGCGTTCTATAGATTACAGGTTTGGAAGAAGGCAAAATAAAGAAACTGCCCCAGCTCATGGGGACAGGCTGTGAAGGCGGGGTGCCCCACTGCTCCCCACTCAGCGCCTCCGGCATTGCTCCCAGAAGGCTTCCAGGCCCCTCTGCTTCCTCTTGGCCTCTCCACAGCTCCCCAGGCCCTGCAGCCTCGCCCAGACCTTGGCGCACATCCTGTGCCTTTCGGTTGGCTCAGGCAGGCGGGGACCCTGCAAGCCAGCTTGCCTGCAGGAGGAACACAGAGTCCCCTCTCTCAGGATCTGAAGGATGCCAAGAAGTGGCATCCAGCTGCATTCTGCCGGGCCTGTTCCCCATATGCCTTTCCCGGGAGGAATAGCCCCTTGGGGTGTTAACCCTTGAGTACAAGTGAGTTTACTGGCTCCTTCCTTTGTGAACAGAGGAGAAGAAGACGCAACAGTGCCCTGGGAGGACAGGAGGGAGCAGGAAGCGGGGTGCGGGGGAAGCCCGCAGTTGGCCGGAACATGGCACCTCTCCCATGGCGCATGCCCCTGAAAACAATCCCCTGCTCTTTCGCCAGATGTGCTCCGCTTCAGTGAGGGCTACCTGAACCTGCTAACAGCTGGAGCCGGAGGGTGCCTGGGTCCAGGCTTCGGAAGCACACACACCTGGGTTGGGTCTGCATTCCCTTCCCGCCTACAGGCTGGCCTTCAGCGAGCGTCTCCATCTTTCCAGACCTCGGGCAATGAATGTGAAGCGACCTTGAGGTGGCTGTGAGGACGGCATGAACCAGGGAGCCCCAAGGGTGCAGCTGCCCTAGCCAAGCCCTGGACAGGATTCCTGCAGGGTCAGCCCCAGCCCCTGCAACACGGCCCGCGGGGCTCCCCACGCTGCCCGGTCACCCCGATCGTGCGGACACGTCTTCCTTGCCTTCCACAGGAGCCGTCCTGGGCACCGGAGCTGGCCGAGACCCGCGCCAGGTCTGGCTGGCTTGCTTAACCCTGAGATAGGTATGCATGTTTATGAAATGCTTAGTCAAATTTATCACCTCACCTTACACTCAGATTTAGGAAGAAACAAAATCACGGCCTTAGGCTGTTCTGCAACTATCTCCCATGTAAACTTTGTTCCCTCGTTATGACGATAAATGTCTTAAGGAAAAGGACCCCCTTAGGCTCATGTCATTCTCATCACAGGCTTGGCAGGCAGGCAACGTCTCTCCTGTTTTGTAAGTGAGGGAGGCGCCCCAGGAGGTCAGGCGAGGGCGCAAAGCCGCCGCGGGCTGGAGGCAAAGGCAGCCTGCGGCCGGTGCTGGTGGTGTGGACCTTCGGGAGACCAGAAGCCTCGTCGGGCAAGAGCACAGAGCGGGCGGGAGGTGCTGGCTGTCCCCGTGCTGAAGAAAAACGTACCCGCACATACAAAGCTTTATTCTGATGCCGACTCAATGCCCTGCCTCAGACGCCGCACTTCCCATTGCGTTAAAATAATAATGAGGAAAACAAAACCAAACCCCCACGGCTTTGCGCTTCTCATCCATACGTAAGAATTCATGCTTCTGAAGCAGTCAGAGCAATAGAAGAGGACAGAGTATTTAAAAATCAGATCTCAGCCCTGGCCGGTATGGCTCAGTGGATTGAGTGCTGCCTGCAAACGGAAAGGTCACAGGTTCGATCCCCAGTTGGGGCAGAGGCCTGGGTTGCCGGCCGGGCCCCCAGTTGGGGGCGTGCAAAAGACAACCAATCAATGTTTCTCTCCCTCACTTCCCCTCTCTAAAAATAAATAAAGAAAATGTTAAAAAAAAAAATTAGTTCTCAGTCTTTCCCCCTTTGGCGAGTTATTTTTAGAAAAAAATGGGTGAGAAAACTCTGGGCGGCTGGGAGCCTCCGGCCGCATCTGCGACCACCTGCCTGCAGAAGGCCTGGCCAGACCCCACCAGGTCCCGACCGCGGCCACGGCCTCCCTGAGTGGCACGCGCTGTCCCGGAGGACGTGCCCATGGTACACGCGTCATGTTAACACAGATACATAAAAAAATGGTGACAAATGTCACAGTGACATTTAAGAATTTAGTAAGGAAACCAGGACAGGAAAGATCTCAAAACAGACCGCACAGGAAGCCTGTCACAAGTCTCAAGTTTTTTATGTTCAGAACAGAAGCTGGTTTTATTTTTAAAAAGAGAAGGGGAGGAAAACGTGATAAATGCTAGTGAGGTGCCACTTCCCCCCTCCGGGCTCAGGCTGCCGCTCGCTCCCCCCAAAGCACAGTCAGGCCCGTCCTGCCGGGGCCGCTTCGCGGGGGCCTGGTCCAGCGCCTTCTGGAAGCAGAGGAGTCAGTGGCTGAGAGCAGGACTCGCGGACTTGCTCGCATGCTGGAGGCGGGCAGCCTCGATTCCGAAGCGCGTTCCTGCCTGCGAGCTGTGCTTCTGGCGGCAGCCTCACGAGGCAGCGCACCTGCTTCCTGACCCTCGGGCGCACCTCCAGTCTGACCCCCGCACTCCCGTCGCCCCTAGGAGGCAAGGGGAGTGAAGTTTTATAAAGGGGCCATTTCTTCTCATGCCCCGGGCAAAGGGACTCAAGGAGAACACAGCCGAAGGGGGGTGGGGCTGAGCCCCTGAGCAGGGGGGTCGCACGCAGTGTTTGGCAGATGACAGCAGGAGGGAGGGGCGAATCCACCTGAATGGCCCCGGCGCGGTGGCCAGGGCAGCGGTAGCTCCTGCAAGCCTCTCGCAGCCTCCCTCCAGGAAACCCGGCAGCACCAGACGGTCCCGGTCAGTCACCCAGCGGGGGGCGGGGGGGGCCGCCATCCAAACACACGCGGGGTGGGGCGGGGCCAGCCCGAACCCGAAGTCCTTTCCCATCAGGGACCCCAGGCAGCAGGGAAGCCGCAAAGCTGGAGGGAGGGTGTGGGAACAGATGGAGCAGCTCTGGGGGCCCCCTGGGCCTGGCCCCAGAACTCGGAGCGCAAGGGATTCCACAGGAAAGACGAGGAGTCTGCACAGGAGAGAGAAAAGGCAGGAAGCAGCCCAATTACCTGCTAAACTCAGGCGGCCTGCAAGGGACCTGGTGGGCGAGGGGCTGAGTGTGAATATTTTCCCTCCGTGGCTCCCACTGTGGGGGGCGGGGGGGAAGGCCCGAGGGAGCTCTGGCTAAGCCATCAGCCCCTCCTGGTCTCTGTTTACATGGATGTCTTTTGTCAGCAAGCCCCCAAAAGGCTGGGGCAGAGAACGGCCCAAGCAAAAAACGGAGGCCCAGGAAGCAAAAATGAGTGACAATCAAAACTAAACTCCACGACTTTTCTGGTCCTTTGTCCAGGGTTTATTACACCACACAAAACTCCCCGAGCATAAGAACGGAGAAGGGGAAGCAAAACAAAAATACTTACAAATTCACCACCCCACCCACCCAGGCGCCAGGCGGAAGGGTTACCTCCTGGTCCCGTTCCCAGCCGCACGCTTCCCTCCCTGAAAAGACCCACCACGCCTGCAAGGCTCCAGGGGGTGAGCAGGAGACCCTGGGTGTCCCCTCGTCAGGCTCAACAAGAGGCCCCGGGGGGCAGGCCGCGCAGCGCCGGCTTCGCCCCGGTCATGAACCTGCCCTTCCCCGGGAGAGGCTCCTGACCAGAGCACAGGGCAAGGGTCGGCGCCGCCATCGGTGAGGGCAGCTGGGCCCATGGAGGCCCAGCCTCACCTCTGTCCAGGAGCCCCACCAAAGCCGCTCTTCGGACCCAGCCAGCCACCAGCCTGAGGGAGGGTGAGGGCCCTGGGGGGGCGGGGAGGGCAGGCCAATGGCCGGCGCTCCACAGACCCTGCAGTAACCTTGACAGCGAACTCCAGGTGGATCCCGGGGCCGTGTCGAATGCAACTTCTGGGTAGTTTGTCTTTATTTTTTGCAAGCGGCATCGGTGCATGATGCAACCAAAGTCAAAAACATGGAGGTAGAAAAGTCCGCCACCCACGAAAGGGTGCGGTTTGGTCCTCGGGGCGCCAGCCCCCCCCTCGGAGAGGAGTCGGACTGAGGACGGTCCTGGGGAGCCTCTCGCGTGAAGAAGGGCCAGGGGCAGCTCCCAGGAGCCCAGCTCCTTCTGGGACTTCCCGGCCGCGGGTCTAGGCAGGAACGAGGAGAGCGGTGGCGTGGGGGGCGGGGCGGCAGGGCCTCCCCAGTTTCCTGCTGACTGCGAGGAGCCACACGGTGGACACGAGAGAACAACACGACACAGACATAGAGACGTGGACTTCGCATCTGCCACTTGGAAGAAATCCCGTTGAGACATCGGGGGTGGCTTCTGAGTCGATTTCAAGGCATGGGACAATGGCCACTAACCACAGCCTAAAAAAGCTGGCACTTCCGAGCAGGAGGGGAGGCCCAGGGCCCGGGACCCCATTCCTGGGCCTCTCCTTCCCTCCATCCCCTATACAGTGGACAGGAATTCGGGTGGAGGCGGGAGAGCCGGAAGCAGAGGCACCCAGACCCTTGGGGGCTGGGACGAGGGTCAGGCATGGAGAAGGGAGACGAGAGGGAGTGGACCTTCCTCCCTCACTTGTAGCTGCTGGTCTTCATCCAAGCCGGACACACCGGCCCATCGCCCTATGGCCATGACCTCTTCCAAACAGAGCTTCGTATCGTCAGGGTGAGAGAAGGTCAGAGGACAAGGGAGCGGAGGTCTCGCAACCGAAAAGCAAGCCCCCTTATTCCCCTCAACTCTGGGACGCCACAGCAAGGGTGTTGACATAGCCGTGGGCCCCCCCTTCATTCTCTGAGACGCAGTGAGTCAGCTGGGAGCCCCCCTGCAGCGGTGGCGGGGCCGGCGGGGCAGAGGGGGGAGCGCCATAGCCCCCTCTGGCCCGACTCGGGGACGCCCGGCTCCCCGCGTCCCAACAGCCCTCCAGGGCCTCCAGGCCGCGGCATCCGAGGAAGAAGAGGTTCTTGAGCATGAAAATGGAGAGGGGCTGCTGGTAGCTCACCACCAGGAGGCAGCGCAGCGCCAGCAGGGGCACGTCCACCAGGCAGCCACCCAGCAGGCGCAGGAGGCGGCTGCAGCTGCTGGGCCCCGGGGCCTGGCCCCAGGCCACGTTGAGCTCGTAGAGCCAGAGCACGGGCGACGAGAGCGTGAGGAAGTAGACGGCGATGAGCAGGTAGCGCAGGTGCGCGGGCAGCGGTACGCGGCCCTCAAGCATCAGCTCCACCAGGGTGAAGCTGTCCAGCAGGTCCAGGCACGTGCCCAGGAAGCAGCCGGCGGCGCGGTGCCGCTGGGGCTGCAGGACCAGCGGGCCCGCCGAGCCCGGCGGGGCGCCCGCCTCGCTGATGGCGCGCACCAGGCTGTAGAGCAGCGGCACCGACAGCGCCATGGTGAGGCGGAAGCCCGTGGTGCCGAAGGGCGCGCGCAGCTCGATGAGGTCCAGGATGGACGTGCCCAGGATGAGCACCACCTTGGGCGTGAAGGCGATGGAGTAGATGAGCCAGGCCAGGTAAGCGAAGGCGAACTCGCCCGCCGCCGCGGCCGCCCCCGGGCCGCCCCCAGGGCCTCCGGCGCCCCCGCGGGCCCCGCGCGCCTTGGCCCCGGCGGAGGCGGCGTGGTGGTGGTGCGGGGGGTGGCCGTGCGCGCCGCCCCGACGGCCCCGGCTGTTCTTAGCGAAGAAGATGGCCCAGCCGACCACCACCACCAGGTCGGTGGCGATCCAGGAGCACCAGTACAGGTCGGTGACGGCGATGAGGTACAGGTCCAGCAGCCCGCCCTGCGCCAGCAGCAGCACCACGGACAGCGCCTGGTAGCCCCAGCCGCACCCGGAGCCCGAGCGGCAGCCGGAGCGCCGACTTCTGCGGGCCGCCGGGGCCGGGCGGCCGCCGCAGCAGCAGCAGCAGGAGGCGCCGCCGCCGGTGCCCGTGCCGCCCGCCACCCCGGCCGTGCGGCCCGCGGCGCCCCCGACGCCCCCGGCCGCGGCGCCCCCGCCGAAGTCCGCCGCCGTCATGCTGCCGGAGGAGGTGGGCGTGGACGAGGGGGCGGCGGCGGCGAAGGCGGCGCGCGCGGGGTCGGCGGTCGGGGCGCCCCCTAAGGCCAGGGGCCCTGGGGTCCCCGCGGCGGCGGCGCCGGGCACCAGCGGCTTGCTAACACTGACGCTGTCGTCGTCGTCGTCGTCCTCCTCGCGCTCTGCTCCGGTGCTGCTGCCGCCGCCGCTGCTGCTGCCGTGGGAGCCGCCGCCCCCGCCGCGGCTGGCGCCGGCGCTGCTGTCGCCCGAGCCGCTGCCGCCACGGGGGGCGCCCCCCCGGAGGCTCAGGGGCTGCGCCCGCGCGGCGGCCGGGCGAGGCGGGCAGGAGCCGGACGAGGACGAGACAGAGCGGGGGTGGCCGCGCGCCGGGTGCATTGTCCTCCGGGGCCGCCCGCCCGCGGCTCCCCGCCCGCCGCCCCCGGGCTGGCGGGGCGGCCGAGGGAAGCCGGGCCGGCCACCGCCTCCTCCCCAGCGGCGGGAGCCGGACCGGGCCGGGCTGCAGCGAGATCCGGACTGGAGCCGCCGGACTGGACGAGCCGAGCCCGGGTGCCTGGGCGCCTGGGCGGTGCTGCGGGGCGGGGGCGCCGGCAGGAAGGAGGGCCGCCGGCTGCGGGGAAACCAGGACTGGATTCGCAGGGAAGGGGCGGAGGGGAGCGCCGAGCAGGGAAAGCGCGGCGGGCTGGATCCGCCGGGAAGCGGGGCAGGAGGTGCTGGGGGGCGTCCGGGGCGGGGCTGTCCCACCGAGCGGGGGCCGGGGGAGCGGCCCGACGCCCGGACCTGAAGGGGCGCCTGGTTCCCAGAGGCGCAGCGCGGGCCCCGCGCAGGATCCGCGGGACCAGGGGTTCGGGCCCACAGCCTCACGCGCGGGGCTGCGGGGTCGGGGGTGGTGCTCAGGGCCCTTCCCGCTCCGCTGGTCTCCGGCGCCCTTGCCACCGGGGCCTCCTGCCTCCCTTGCAGGGGGTCCAAACTGCGGCCCAGGAAGACCATGGATGCGGCCCAACACAAAATTGTAAATTTAGTTAAAACATGATGAGATTTTTTGTGATGATGTGTTGCAATGTGTTTCATGTGTGGCTCAAGAGGACTCTTCTTCCTCCAGTGTGGCCCAGAGGCGCCCAAAGGCTGGACGCCCCCGCGAGGCATTTAAAAACTGACGGGGGAGCCGGGTCCCTCTGAGCCCTGGGACCGGGACCGGAGGGCAGTGTGGCCTGAGTCCGTGCAGGTTCCCCGGGCGCCCTGGGGAGCAGCCCCCCCCCCCCCCCCCCCCCCCCGGAATCCTCTGTGCTTCTGGGAAACGGACTGTCAGCCGCCAGATTAACTTTCTGCAAGACCTTCTTCAGCCCAGTTTTCCCAGGTCCGAGGCCTTGACTAAAAAGGCCACAGGCGGCCCTGCCCAGGCAGCTCGGTTGGTTGGAGCATCATCTGGAGGAGTCGAGGTTGTGGGCTCAGTCCCTGGTCCGGGCACAGGCAGGAAGCAACGCACGAGCGCCTGGATGGGTGGAGTGACGGGTGGCTGCTTCTCTCCCTCTCTCATCAGTTAAATAAATAAACACAGAAGAAGGACCACAGACACAAAGGATGAGAAAAGCGGGTCCACAACGGAGTCAGTTGGTAGCCTGCGGGCTGAAGGGATGTCCCCTTTGCACGGGGTTCTTTTCTTGTCTTCTGAGCCCACGCGCACGTGGACAGCTTTGCGTTGGCCTGGAAAGTCTTCACAACGATGTGACGAGGATGAGAAGGAACACAAGAGATTTTCTCACCTATAAAGCAAGTTCACACATCCCAGAAGGGCCTAGAAGAGGGAGGACGCAGTCACTGAGCTCCCCGTAGGCACCTGGGGTGCACGCCAGGTGTCTTAGTTCGGTGACCCTGAGAGACACTGACTCTGACACTGAGAGACCGAGGCGAAGCGGATCACTCCGAGCCAGGCCGCTGCTTCAGGGCCCAGTTCGGGGGGTAGCTCGGCTCCCGGTGCTCCGTCCGGCACGCCTTCCCACCGGCCACTCCTTCCGCAAGCCTAGGGAGGCAGCAGCTCACAGGCATCCTGGGACACAGGGACAAGCCAAGCATGTTTTAACCCCCCGCGCCCCCCCCAAAAAAAACTTCCCTCAGCGCCTGTTAAGTGCTGGGCTCACTGGGGACCTAATACTCTCACTCCCCTGGGACCGCAAAGCCAAGGGTCCACGGCTCCTGGAGCAGCAGCCGGCAGACGCCAGGAGGGAGGAGGAGGAGCCCCTCTGGAGGGCCCGTCCTCTCCCTCAGCACCGCGTCTCTCGGCTCCCCAGCGAGCCCGAAGGGCAGTCCTCGGGAAGCTGTCGGAGGGCGCGTGGGGCCTCACGGGTGCACCCGGGAAAGACAACAGAGGCCTCTGGTGCGCCAGCACGTCGCCACGGCGACTCTCAGGACAGAGAGGGAGGTTGGCAGGGCGCAGTGCCGCGGCGGCAGGGGGCTGCCGTGCCTGTTGGGCACTTGGGCCTCTGAACTGAGGGCTCTGAAGACAGACACCGCCCCTGCCCCTGCCCCCTGTCCCCCCCATTCAGAGATCCTTGGATGCCCGGCGCCCGCCCTGCCCCCAGCTGCTCCAGAGGGCGATGCCGCCGCCCACCTGCAGAAAGCGGGAGCCTCCGTCAGTGCCCCCGGGGGCAGCCCCTGGAGGAGGCGCTGGGGCTCCAGAGGCTGAAGAAACGCCAGTCCTTTCCTGGAAGCCCAGGCCGCGGCGAGGGGGAGACAGGCAACAGGCATGTAAACAATAAAGTATTATGAAGTTTAGGGCCGCGTAGTCGGCGCTATTTGACTATGAAGTGCCAGGAGGAAGTGCAGTAAGAGACGAGACCAGGACGCAGGCGGAGGTCGGGCTGCGCGCTCAGAGAGCAGGGAGCTCTTGGAAGCCGGGGCGCGGCAGGGACAGGTTGCATTTGCAGAGATGACGGCTTGGAGGGGAGGAAACGGAAGGAGAGACCAGGTTCTAGTTCTGGCAATTTTGTAAACGAAATACTGTTAGCGCTGCCCCAGCTTCCGAAAAAAACACTAGATAAAATTAAAGTCTTTTATTTTTTATTTCCTTATTTTTGTATCCTCACCTGACTTTTTTGTTTTTTTTTTTCATTACTCTTAGGGAGAGAGGAAGGGAGAGAAACATCGACGTGAGAGAAAAACATTGATTGGTTGCCTTCTTGTATATGCCCGGACTGGGGATCAAACCCACAACCTTTTGGTTATGGGATGACGCTCCAACCCACCAGGGCATAAAACAACATTCTTTTAAACGAACAGTTAAGAGAATAAGATAAATTCTTGGGGCCATGACTGAAGAGGGAACTGAAACCCACAATGGAGAGTCGAATAAATAGCGCTGTGAACGCTTCCAGACGCACAGCCTGTCCGAGCAAGGACCACTGTCTCATAGGGTGAGGACTAACCACAAGCAGCTGTCTAAATTAAAATGTACTGAAATTAATAGTGACGGAAATGAATTGATATTGAAAACCCGACTCCTCGCTCTCACTAGCCGCATGATAAGGGCTCGAAAGCGCCGCGCGGCTGCGGTGAGGACGCCACGGAGCCGGGGCAGCCGGGCTTTCCCCTCCACGGAAGCTGGGGCCGGGGTCTTGGGTCCCAGCCTCGTCTCCGCCGCGCTCTCCCTCTGCTCATAGCACATGCGAGACGTCATGGCTCCTGGGGCTCGGGCCCAGGGACTCTCCAGGGTCTTGGGTTGCCGACGGCAGGCAGTTTGTGAGGCTCAAAAGCCACAGCTGTGTTGTTTAGAGGCTGCGGGTCAAGATGGCTGCGTAAGTGCACGCGGCACGGGCCTCCCCCCGCAGCCGCACCAGCGCCACAGCTGGATCGCGCGGGCCGTCGCTGAGGTCCATTCGAGGAGAGCGGGGTCTCCGGGCATCACCAGGACGGGTGACTGTCGGGCCCGCTGGCTCCTCGCGGGGGACGAAGGCGTCTGCCGGCACTGCCGCCCCGAGAGGCCTGTCCCCTGCCCGCCCAGCGCTCGCCCTGAAGCCAGGAGCTTCAGCTCCCCCGGGCGCCGCCGTCGGGAGGAGCCTCTGCCTCGCGCCGCCGCCACCGCCGCGGCTTTCACGGCCGCGGGCCGTGGGGACTCGTCTTCCGGGCACCAGGCCTTGGGCTACGAAGGCCGATGTGGCGCCGGGGCCCCTCGCCCCTCGGGGAGACCGCCAGAGCCCTCGCCCCCTCCAGGAGTGCGGCAGCCCCCGTCCCCCTGCCTGCGTGGCTTCCTCTCCGTGTCTTTGGCTCCAGGGCCGCGCTCAGCGGGCGTCAGGCGGTTCTCCTGTAACGGAGTCGCGGTCTTGCTGTGGTTCTGGGAGGAGACGAGAATGCTGCCGACTCCCTCCTTTCTCTGGACGGGAAGCCCTGAGACTCCCAGGTAAACCAACTGTCCCCGAAAGCGGGACACGGTGAAACGGGCCCCCGTTTATTTCGTGAGGCTAATAGACCATATCAAACCCACACAAATACAGGGGAAAATGGTTTAAAAATATAGGCCGGTCTCGCCCTGACGGGTGTGGGTCAGCGGGCTGGACATCGTCCCGCAAACCGAAAGGTCGCTGGTTCGATTCCCCGTCAGGGCACAGGCTGGGGTTAGGGGCCGGGCCCTGTCAGGATGCGTACGAGACGCAACCGACCCATGTTTCTGTCCCTCTAAAAATACGGTGCTTACAGGAGACACTTCCAACCGGAAGACACACATAGCCTGAAAATAAAGCAGTAGAAGAAGGTAATCCATGCAAATAGAAATGGAAGCTGAGGTAGCAAAGTTCATATCATTCAAAATAGATTTAAAACAGAAAAATGTAAAAAAAGGACAAAGAAGGACATTACATAATTATACAGGGGTCAGGCCAAGAGGGTGTAAAAATCATAAATATCTATGCACCCAACATAGGAGCTTCTAAATTTACAAAGTAATTATTAGTGGATATAAGGCAAGAAAGTCACAGTAATACAAAAATAGTAAAGGGACTTTAACGCCCCACGCATACCGATGAACGGATCATCAAGACAGAAATTATTTTTATATTTTTAAAATTTTATTTATTTTTAGACAGAGGGGAAGGGAGAAAGAGAGGGAGAGAAACATAAATGTGTGGTTGCCTCTCGTGCGCCCTGCCCCCGGGGACCTGGCCGCCACCTGCCTGGGACCTGCCTGGGAATCGCACCAGCGATGCTTCGATGTGCAGGCGGGCACTCAGTCCACTGACCCCACCAGCCAGGGCAAAAGCTAGCGATTCTAATACCCACTTTTCATTCATCGTGCTTGATCTCTTCATTGAAAAAAAAAAAAAAAAGAACTAAGCAAAACCATTTCTTTATCCTGGTCAATTGTAACATGGCGGCAGAGGTGGTCTAAACGCCGGCCGAGCCCGGCCCTTTTGCCTGGGCCCCGCTGCCCCGGGCCCCGGGCGGGGCTGCGCCTCCTTCCCGGTGGCCCACCTCACGCCCTCTCCCTCCCTCAGAGGCTGTGGAGACAATGGGAGGCTGGGGGCGCTGAGGAGAGCCGCCTCCCCCACATCAGACGGCGGCTATTTCCGTGTTCCACGGGTGTTTCCGAGCGCCGTTCTGCCCGCGGTTTGGCCCTTCCCTCTGAATGACTGTAACTCCATAAACCTGTTTGCTCAGGGCCCAGAGCCTGAGGTGCTCCTCCAGGGCAAGGGCGGTTTCTCCCGCCTTATCCTGGGGCTTAGCAGGTGCTCAGCCGGTGCTCAGCAGTCATTTGTAGAAGGAGTCATGGAAGCCAGAAGCGGAGATTAGTAAGACTGAGGGGGCCCTCGCTGGTGGGGCTCAGCGGACTGAGCGCTGGCCTGCGTACCAAAGAGTCACCAGTTCAGGTCCCCGTCAGGGCACCTGCCTGGGCTGCGGGCCAGGCCCCCGGCGGGGGGCGCACGAGAGCCAACCACACATGGATGTTTCTCTCCCTCTCTCCCTCCCTTCCCCCCTTTCTATAAATAAATAAAATCTTTTTTCAAAAGAGAAAGGCCCAGGGGAAAGCAGACGAGAAGGGACACGCCCCTGCCCTCTCCCAAGCGTGGCCCCGGGGGTGCGAAGGCCGCTCCGGAAGGTGGAAGCCCGAAGGCTCCCGTCAGCGTGGGGGCGGGCGGGCGGGTTTCAAGCCAGACAGCTCTGCTTTGCCTCCCGAAAAAGAAACTTTCGGAGGCTCTCAGAGGCGAGAGCTGGAGGAGCCTGGAAGCAAAAGCTGAAGCTCTGTCACCTCCCTGGCAGTTCACACCCTGAGACAAGGCTCCCACCTCCAGATCCGAAAAAGCTGCCGCGAGCCCGGAGCAGAGAGGCAGGCGCCCCCGTGTGGCCCGGCCCCAGCGGCCCCACGCAGCGCCGGGGCGGCACAGGACGGCTGCGGGGGCAGCGGTGACGGCTCCGATGCTGGAAAGGCTGCCGGTCGCTATGGCAACCCTAGCTCTGCCGGGAGTCCCCGTCACCGACCAGCCAAGGGCCCCCGTACCTGCCCGGGGCCGCCGAGAGGGGTCCCACCCCCCGCAGGACACTCAGCAAGCGCCCCTGTCCCCGCTCCGTTCAATGTGACCGTCCGACGGTGCAGGTCTGCTCCAGGTCACTCACTTTGTTGTGAATGAGGGCTGACTTCCTGTTCAAATGGGCTCACAATGTCTCTTTCGTTTTGTCCTCACTTGGCTCCATCAACCCACAGAAATATAACATTTTCGTTCCTTCTGGGGCCTGGGCTGAGCTAATGCAGCCAAAGCCAGGGAGAGGCCAGCCCGGCGCTGAAGCCAAGGGCCCGGCCCTGCCCTCTGCTGTGCACCGGGACGGGCTGGCAATCCTCTTAGGAAACCCAGACAAGAAAGGGACGGGGTGGGGGGCCACAGAGCCCAGGGGCAGAGCCAGAGGCGGAAGCTCTGGAAGCTCCGTGCGTCGGGAGCTGAGGGTGCGTAGGTTTCAGTAACCGTTTCTAATCGACGCTCTGCCTAGGTGCCCTCCTCTGGGAGTGGCCAGGCGAGGGTGGTCTCTCTCCATCAGGGGCTTTGTGAGGCTCTAACAAAGTTTGAGCAAATGTCTGCTGTAAAATGCTTTGGGAAAGGTTCCCAGATGAGCCAGTGTCAGCTGGCCAGGCTGTCCCCCAGGCCAGTGGCTCAGAGCACAGACAAGGGGCTTTGGCAGCCAGGGTGTCGCCCGACAGTCCCAGTTCGGTGCCTCCTGGACCCGGGCACTGGGGCTGGGCTGCTGGCTGCCCGCCCACTGTCCAGCCCCCCGGCCCCGTCCCGTCTGGGCAGCGGGCGCCCACCCGCCTCCTCGCCGCTCCCGCCGCCGGGGGCCCAGCTGGAGCCGATCATCCAGAGCTGCATGTCCGCAGCTGGACCTCCTTCCAAGTTCCTTAAAAGGCCTTGGCGGCGCCTTCCTCCTCCCCCGGGAACGTGGGTGAGGCCTGAAACTACCGGTATGTCCTGCAACCAGACGGACCGCACACGGGGGCCGGTGGGTGGCCACCCGAGGCCTTGGCCAAACCCTGAGCCACCTCCGCAGCCTGAAGTGCCGACCTCAGAACTTCCTGTTGTTCAGGACAACTACCACCTATTTGTTTGAGCCGCTGTAGCCCGATTTCTGTAACAAGCAGCTGAGCAAAACCCTAAATGCCACAGGATGGTCCTTAAAATAGCTCGTCTTGGAAATACGCTTTGCCAGGTTTCCCAGCGAGCACACAGGAGCCTGGAGAGGGAGGACACTGCCGCAGGCCGTCGGGGTGGCGAGCGACGGACCTGGATTCGATGCCAGGCCAGCCGGACTCCAGGACCCGGGCCCCCCACTTTGCCAGACTGTCCTGGGGAAGGAAGAGAAGAGAAAGCCACATTGTCTCCGAGGACCTACGGGAACTGCAACCCTGCCACGCAGCAGGCAGGTATGGGGAGACCAGAGCGAATCCATGCGGACGAAGGCCGCGGAGCTAAGGCTGTAGAAGACACCGAATAAGGCGTCCATGTAAGTCTTACTTGGGGCGATAAGGACTAGGGAAAAGTAAACAGGATGAGAGGGACTTTTTTAATAGCAAGTTGAGGGATCTCTTTGAGGTGACGTAGGCACCCTCTTTTTCCCCATCTTTAAGAAGTGATGAAAGAAAAAAGAGGGAAGGAGCGAGCCTGGTAGATGTTGGAAATGAGGCCCCAGGGAAGGAGGGCGGTGAGACAGGGGCCGGACGTGAGGCCGCGGCGGCCGTCCAGGCGCGCGGGCAGCAGCCGGCCCGGCGGCGCTGAGCTGGAAGCGCGCAGGCGAGGCTGCCTGGCTCTGCCGACCAACAAGAGAGGAAGGGAAGACGAGGGCGAGTCCCAGCCCCGCTGCATGGGAAGGGAGGGGCCGCTGCTGTCTGAAGTGGGGGCACGGCAGCCCCATGCGACTCTCTGGGTGCGAGTGGCCTGGGGCCGCAGCTCCTACACCTCCTGCGTGAAAGGTTCTCCCTTCCGCCTCTGACACCAGCTCCCGAGTCCCTCCCGTCTCCCGGCCACTCTCTCACCCTCCTGTGCTCCCCGCTCTGCACCACCACACGCGGGTCAGGAGGCCCGGCAGGCGCAGCCGAGGGCAGCATCTGAAGAGGGGCCCGGAGGGTGGGCGGGGCCCAGGCAGCCCGGGGAGCCGAACGGACCCCTCCCGGAGGGCGGGGGAGAGGGACACATGCTCCCGAGGGTCCCTGCAGGACGAGCTGCAGGCAGGGTCCTGGGGGGCGCCGGAGCCTGGGCGGGCCTCCCAGGAGACCGAGACAGCCAGGGCGCGCGGGACCGTGGCTGCTGGGAGGGAGGGGCCACCTGGGGCTCCCCCGGAACCCACCCAGCCGCCCGCCCAGCAGCCTCCCCCCACAGGACCTCTTGGTCCACTCCAGACACCTTCACAAGACAGGATATAACAAATATTTATTATGATTATTTTAATTAAAAAAATAAGCTCAGTAGTCTCTGGGCAGTGAGCTGAAGTACAGTAAAAAGTAGTGTCTGAGTGTCCGCTATGCGCCTGGAGGGCGCGCAGCGGTTCCCTGCGTGCGGGTGAAGGCCCGGCAGCCGGCTCCGCGTTACTGCGCGCGGGCCCTGAGTCCAGGGGCCCCGCTGAGGTGCAGGGCCGGGCGGGGGCCGGGCGGGGGCCGGGCAGGAGCCCTGGACGCCGGGAATCCCGGTTCTGCGCCCGGCACCACCCGGGGCCGCTGCCCGCGGGCCAAAGAGCGGGTCCCCTCCGAGTCCCCAGCGTGTCCCCGGGGCGCGGCGGCGGAGGCAGGCAGGGCAGGACGCCCCGGGACCCAGGCCGGAGCCAGCGCGGGACCCGCGGCAGCCCCACGCCCCACGTGCTACGCAGCCCAGCCCTCCTGGCGGAGGACCAGCCGCACGGCCTCGTCCACGTCGCTCACGACGTGTGCTGCCTCCAGGAGCCCCGGGCTGAGGCCGAAGTCGCGGTGCCCGTGGAAGGGCGACGGCTCCGCAGGCCCCGGCGCGGCAGGGCTGTACACGCCGGTGCAAACCAGGATGGGCGCGCAGCTCCGCGCGGCCGACGGCGCCTCCGCGCCCTCGGGTGTCTGCAGGTGCCGATGGAACAGGTTGGCGCCGTAGACGTCGGACATGGGGTTGTCCCTGGCGGGCAGTGAACCGAGAGTGAGGAGAGGGAAGCCGGTTTGGGGCTGCGGTTGGGGGGTGGGGGGGCCCTGGGGCTGCAGGGCACTCACCCCACGGCGTACAGGTTCCGGATGGGTGCAGCCCAGCCCCGCCGCGCCGCCTGCTGCCGGATCAGCGCCTCCGCGTACCGGTAGGTGAGGACGCTGGGCTTGCCGGTCAGGCCCTGGTACCGCAGCTCCCGGCCCGTCACCTTGCGGTAGATGGTCTCCAGGCAGAGCAGGAAGGTGCCGTGGCCGAACCTGGCAGGGGGTGTGGGGGCAGCTCAGCGCCGGTCTCCCGCCCGCCGCTGCTCCGGGGCCCGGGGGGGACAGGTCAAAACGAAAGGACCTCCAGGAAGGACATGGACTCCCGCCGCACATGGCCTGCTGTTCTCTGAGAGCATTTACTGAGCACCGGTCTAGCCCTGGAGACAAACGTCACACTGATTTCTCAGAAAAGCCCTGAGATCACTCTCGTTTTACAAGTGAGGAAACTGAGGCATAAAGAGGTGAAGTAACTTGCCCAAGGTGGTGGCGCTGGGATTACACCCCTGGCATCTGGACTCCGGGAAGTTTAAATTCTGCTTTAGCGCCGAGGCAGACTCCTGGTCGCCATTCTCCCCTCCTCTCTTGGCGCTGACTTTCAGCCGAGCACAGCCACCAAGTGTAAGAACCATAGCCCCTTCCTCCTCTGCGGCCGGCTGTGCGGCCACGCGCCTGCACTGCAGGCGAAGAGTCAGTGACATCAGAAGTGCCGGGCCACCCATCCCGAGAATACCCTTAAAACGGTGGAGGCAACGCGCTTCTCTACCCTCCCCTCTTCCTCCCTGCTGCCTGGGATGCTGCTGCGATGGCTAACACTGGGCAGCCATCTTGGGTTATGGAGCGAAGGCCTAAGGACCGCACGGCAGGACCACGGAGGGGCCTGTGTCCCTGACAGGCGGAGCTCCACACAAGACCTGGACTGCCTACCCCGGACGTACTTTACGTAAGAGAGAAGTTTCTGTCTTGTTTAAGATGCTTTTGGGTGTTCGTGGCTAGCCATGAAAACACACCTGAACTGATACTGCACAACGTGTTAAAGCGATGAACCGACCCCCCCCCCCCGCCCCGCCAGCACACCCTGACTTGGGAGAATGCTTCGGGAAAAACACCCAACCTCTCGCTGCAGAAATGCACTGGGAAGGAACGAGAGGGAGCCCCGCCATCCTCTCTGGGCCCCTGAGCAGCCGGGCTCGAGGCCACCCCGGGCCATGCAGCCCGCACAGGTCACTCGCCAGCTCATGGGGACCCGTGGGGGGGGCCCCGGGAGAACACTCTAGGCTTTGGCCTTACAGGTAAGAGCAGCCGAACATCGCCGAGCCGCTGTCAGCTGCCCTCCCTGTAGGGCGCCGCCACGGCCGGGGCAGCGCTGTGCTCGCCTCCAGGGCCAGGAGGGGCAGGCGAGCTCTGCCCTGAGCCTTGAGGGCGTCGCTCAGCCCCTGGGCCTCAATCCCCCGATCTAGGCCAACAGCACAACAGTTCTCTCCCTCCCCTGCCCCTCCTGCTCAGGGGCAAAAGGAAACAAAGAAGCAAAGGAAGCAATGCCAAGGCTGAGGGCAAGGGAGGAAGAGCGGGAGCCGCGCGCACCCCCGCCCAGAGGCCGCCCTTCGGGCTCCTCTGGTCAGAGACCAGGCTCTGCTATGCATCTGGGAGGCAAGGACGGTTCCTCAAAGACCGTCTCGCCGCATCCTCGGTGCGCGGTGCGCGGTGCGCTGCAGCTTACCTGAACAATCAGCGTGTGACGTGGCCCCCGAGACCCGTCCCGGAGGGCCCAGGCCGCGGCAGCTGCAGGCCCACCCGGGCCCAGGGCATCAGGGTCGGCCGGCCCGAGGCCGGGCTGCGTCCTCACCTGGGCATCTTGGCCTCCGCCATCCAGAGGAGGTCCATGTTACTGGCCAGGACGGGGAGGTGGGGGTCGGGGGCCGTTGCGGGACCCGTCCCGGGGCTCCCGTTGCTGAGAAGCACATCCATGATCAGCTGCAGGCTCGTCTCCCAGCGCACTGGCTCCCCGAGGAGAAGCACCCCTTGAAAGAGCCAAGGCGTGGGGTCAGGGTGCAGGGTGGCTGAGCCGCCCGCCCCTCGAGGCGAGGCGGCAGGAGGGAGGCTCGCAGGGACCAGCTGGGGCCACCCCCAAGGGGCTCAGCCGGCGAGGGCACGGCCCCCAGGCAGCCCTGGGAGAGCCTCTCGCCTCCCCTGGCCATGAGCAGAACCCGGGGCCTGAGGCGGCGCCTCCCAAGGGCCGCCCGTGTCAGCGCGTCCAGCACATGCTGCGGGGGAGGGCGGGGGGGGGCGCCAGAGACAGGACAGGCAGCAGCCAGGCGGCCGAACCCCTCCCCCACCCCCCCGCCACGGGTGCCTGGCTGAGCGCCCCAGCCCCTCTCTCTGGGCCCAGGACCAGCAGCCCAAATGGTGGGGGCGGGGGCAGGGGGCGGGGGGCAGGACGGAGCCCGCGGGCAGACTGCCAGCTCGCCCCCGACGACCTACCGCCCCTCAGCCCCTGCTCCTCCGCGCACGGCAACACCGCCTACTGCGGCTGCGAGAGGAACCGCGGGGTGCGGCAAGCACGCGCTGAGCCTGGGCTGGACGCTCAGTGCTCAGCAAACGGACGGAGAGCGGGCCGCTGCCCCGCAGGGCGGTGCCCTGGCAGCTGGAGGACGTGTGTCACGGCCGCGAGGACCGACGCCTGGCGGCGGGTCGGAGGGAGGGACCAAGGACGCCGCACGCTCAGGACAGCCCGGCTCAGGCAGAGCCTGCCCGCGCCCCGCGCACCTGAGTGTCCCCGTGGGGACTCGGGCCGGGGAGCAGCCTGCTGGTAACTCACTGCGCCTAAACCCTAGTTCCATTCTACCTGTAAACACAAGGTGTTTGGGGGTACTTTTAACAAATACTCATTTTTCCAAAAACGTTAACTATCACATAGGAGAAGGCTGGACTTTATTTTTTCAAAATTTTGCCACGAGTTACTCCGTTTTGCAAAATCACTTCGCCTGTGGCAGAGCTGAGCCAGTTTCTGAGCCGCCAGCAAAACTCGCCTCCGTCACCCCTACAGACACACCACCAGCCTGCGTGTGTAGCGGCGCATTTGGGGGGATGCTGCGCTGGATGTGATCATTTTACCACTTCAGTTCATCCTTTGGGATCCTTACTACACGTTGGGACACATATTTCCTTACTGAATTTTTTTCCGTTTACTCCTCCCTGTTATAAGAGATGTCATCTCGGAGTTTCACTTCAGGTCAGAGGAGGGGACACTGCAGGGTTTCCGTCCCGCCAGGACAGTGCCGGGCTCCTGGGCCAGGAGCCCCGGCTCCAGGCCGCTCCAGGCCGCCCCAGGCACGGGTGTGCCCTAGGATTCGCTAAGCCTGCATTTTTCCACAACAACAAGGCAAGGCAAGTGATGGGGAAGGAGAGAGGAGCGACAAACGTCTCAGAGGCAGTGAATGGCAGGCCCTCGACCAGGACCCAGGTGACCGCGCCTCCGATGGCCCCCGCAGGGCCGGAAGCGGGGGCCCACCAGACCCCGCCCACACTCGGAGAGGCCTCCTTACCTTCGATGGCGGGGAAGTCGTCCCTCGGAAGTGTCTGCCAAGAGACAAAGAACAGGCCCATCAGAGCCAGGGCCGGCCAGTGGCAGGAGTGCAGGGAGCGGAGCCTCGGCAGGGGCGGCTCCGTGGAGCCGCCTGCACGGCGGGCGGCATGCCCGTGGCCAGGTGCCTCTCCGAGAGGGCGGCCCGGAGGGCAGGCCGCAGGGTCAGCAAGCGGGGCCCACGCAGGCAGGGGGGCAGCACCGCGCACGAGGCCCCGGCGCGCCCCCCTCATTACCGTGGTCTTCGGCCGCCGCTGCAGGTCCACCATGTCGAGCGTCGGGAAGGCCATACGCAGCTCGTCCACAGTGACCACGTTCTCGAAGCCCAGTCTGGAGCACGGTCAGGGAAACAGCACTGGACAGTTTGGGGGGGGGCACCTCGAAAGGGAAGGGCGCCAACCCAGTCCTGACCACACAAGGCTACCGGGTGCCCGGACGGGACAGAGCCACGGACGCGCTCAGAGCCCAGCAGGCCGGCAGCACACGACCACCCCCGCGCCGGTCATGGGGCGATGCCTGGGCACGGGGCGCACGGGCGCCCCGTCCCCAGGGAGCTCCCCGCGGCCCCAAGCCCCTCGCGGCCAGCGTCTGGGAGGCGCAGCCACCGCGTGCCAAGCAGCTCAGAAGAGGGGCCTGCTCGGCGGCCTGGGGAGCGGCACCAAAGGCCCCGAGAAGTCGGCCTTCAGCTGAGGCTTTAAGATGACACGGATCCGCCAGGACGCAGAGGCCGTGGGGACGGGGGGAGCCGGCTCCAGCCTTGGCTCCCCAGGGCCCGCCTCCGCCTCCCCACCCTTAGCTCCCACTTGCAGTCTTCCCTGGGCCTGGTTTCAGGTCACTGGCTTCAGGTCGAAATGAATTCTCCGAACACGATGCTTCTGTCCGATCACCCCGCCGGCACCACGCCCACAGGCTCCCCACCGCCCTGGCGGGGATGAGCTCCCTGTCTCCCGGCGCCTGCTTCCGCGGCTCCCCACGCCCAGCACCCCGTCCCGTCCCGTCCCGATCTCCTGCTTCGAGGTCCTCAGCGCCCCTTCTCTCCCCGGCCTCCTGAGCTGCTGCCCCGGCCGGAAAACCTGGGCCCTGTCCTGTGGCACAGCCGCGCCCCTCAGTGAGGCCGCAAGTGGTTCCCGCGCCCAGGATGCTCCTGGGCCCCCAGCAGCCAGGACTTCCAGGAGCTGCACGGGTCACGCGGCCCTCAATCCCATGCTGCCCGAAACGCTCCGTTACCACGTGTGGCTGCGCCACGCCTGACTCCACTGTGAGCCCTCTGAGGAGCTCGCAGCCCCACTGCGCTTCCCCTGGCCCTGCCCCAGGGCCTACAGCACATGCTGGTGCCCAGGAAGAGCAGGCGCACAGGAAGTGCAGGCGCCCCAGGAAGAGCAGGCACCCCAGGAAGAGCAGGCACCCCAGGAAGAGCAGGCGCACAGGAAGAGCAGGCGCACAGGAAGAGCAGGCGCACAGGAAGTGCAGGCGCCCCAGGAAGAGCAGGCGCACAGGAAGAGCAGGCGCCCCAGGAAGAGCAGGCGCACAGGAAGTGCAGGCGCGCCAGGAAGTGCAGGCGCGCCAGGAAGAGCAGGCGCACAGGACAAGGAGGCGCACAGGAAGTGCTGGACAAGGCCTGCAGGAGGAGCAAATAAATGAGCTGCTTGCGAACAGGGACAAGACAAGCCTTCTGCCTTTTGAACAGCTCAGGGGACGACTTTGCTGCAGACGCCGGGGTGACCCGGCAGGGAGGCTGACGGAGCCCACGGACACAGCCGGTGGCGGGGGGGGGGGCCCGCAGCGCCCCACGGAGCCACAGCCGCCTCGTTTCCTTTCCAGGGCACAGGCTGCCGGCCTTTACCTCGGACCTGGTGACACGAGGCTCCCAGGGACCTGCGTGCCGAGCTCCCAGGAGGCTCTGAGCCAGACGCTGACTCTGGGAAGCCACCGGGCGCCAGGACTGGCTGCACCTCGCCGTGGGCCCCCTCCACCCTGGGGGGGGTGGCCCGCCCCGCCGCTTCCTCTGCAGCCGAGCGAGAAGCACCAGAAGGATACGCCCGGGCATTTTCCACCAGGGGCCCCTGCCCTGAGGCCAGCATCCGCTTCCCGTGGAACTGGGAGAAGAGCTTCAGGGGGCTGTGCGAGAGAATGACTTGGTCTGGCTCCACCTGTGGGGACCAACACGAGGCGGGAGAGAGGGGGGGCACACGGCTCAGGGAGAGCAAAGGGAGAGGCGGCAGCTTCCTTCACGCAGGAAGGAGGCCCCCGCCCCGGGAAGCAAGCGGGGAGAGCCCCCTCCCAGCTCCCAGGAACGACCCACAGCTGCGGGAGCCGCCGGCCTGGCGTGGCTCTCGCCACAGAGAGAGCGAGCAGGACGGACTGCCGGCCGTGGGCCCGCCGCTCACGCACCCAGCCCTGCTCGGCGCCGCTGCCAGACGCGGAGGGCGTGCGCCTGGCCTCGGTCACTGTCACAGAGCCCGGCCCCTCGCCTCGGCTTCCGGCTCTCCTTCTACTTGAAGACCGAGCTGTTCGCCATCCACACTCCCTATGACAAGGCCGCCTTTCCTCAGAGGGTGTTTGAAACCCTCCCCGGAAACCGCGGAAAGGAGCCAGGGTCCCGCCTGCGCCCCCTGCACTCACCCTCAAGCAGGGCCACGCCAGCTACGCACTTGGTTCTCCTTCCCTCCCAAACTGCACCCCCCCCACCACGGAGGGAAGGGTGGTCTGCAAGTGGGCGAAGGGGGACTGCTTTTGGGGGACCGCACTCGCTCTCACGCGCGTCTTGTGTATGGGAGCCGCCCCCTCCAGCCCCCCCCCCCCAACCCCAGCATACGGAGATTTTGAAAAACGCGGCCCTTGCTTTCCAGGGGCAGATGAGTCAAAAGGGACGACACACACCCAGAGGGAAAGCCCCGGGCACAGTGACAGTGGGCGGAACCACCAGCTCCACGGGCGGGAGCTCCTGCCCGGCACGCGTGTGCACGTCACACGCGAGCCTGCTGACGAGGTCCCCACTCGCGAGGCTGGGCTGGGACCTCCCGTTATTTTCCCAGCCGAGCTGGGCGATCGCTGCCGAGCCCACCAGCCCTGCCCCGGGCGTGCCCAGCCTGAGCCCCAACGGGGCTCCCCCGGGAGGCGCCTCCAGCTGTCGGCTCACCCTGAAGCCCAGCAGGGCCGACAGCTCCTGGGCTTTGTCGTGCTGTAAGATGTTCCCAGCGTTCGTGACGAAGACCACGGGCACCCGCAGCTGCCCCTGGGCGTCCAGCAGCCTGCGGAAGGCTTCCAGGGCGGCGGGGATCACTTGGTGGCCCCGCACCAGCACTCCGTCGATGTCCAGCAGGAATCCAAAGGTAGGCGGGCTCTGCAGGGGGGGGGGGGGCGGACAGAGCCGTCACTGCCTGAGTCAGTCAAGAGGCACAGGGACCGGGAAGGAACAGCCCTCAAAGAAAGGGGCCCCCGTCATTCTGGGTTGCTCAGGCCTGAAGCAGAAAGCGAGGACGTGGGGCTTCTGATAGAGCAAACCTGCCTCTAACAAAGGATGAGTCTTTTCCATATATATAAGGAAAAATATTATTCATTTATTCTTAGAGACAGGGGAAGGGAGAGAGAAAGAGAAGGAGAGATACATCGATGTGAGAGAGAAACTTCGCTCGGTTGCCTCTCCCGCTGGGGACCGAACCCGCAGCCGAGGCATGTGCCCCGGCCGCGGGCCACACCGGCCCCCTTTCGCTTTGTAGGGCAACGCCCAACCGCCTGAGCCACACTGGTCAGGGCTCATATATTTTTAAGCCTATAACTGCTTTGTTACAAATTATTTTTCCATAATTAATATAAAGAAATTTTTAAAGTGGAAAAGAGAAATTCAAAACATAATCCCTACAGTTTAGCACAACCAAGGAGTATTTTCATCGCTTCATTTTCTAGTCTCATCGTTTAGCTACAACTACACTTTACATGTGCAATTTTTATTTCTGCTTGACATATAAACATTTTTTGCCTGTTGTAACAGCCCTCACAACTGTGTTTTAAAATTGTATTATAACCACACAAACACACAGATAAAAACAAAAACTAGACATAGCCCTGGCTGGTGTGGCTCGGTTGGAGCGTTGTCCCAAAACCAAACGCCTCTGGTCTGATTCCTGGCCAGGCCACATACCCAGGCTGCGGGCTGGGTCCTGGGTCTGGATGCCGCCCAGGCGGGAGGCACCCAATCAATGTATCTCTCTCACATCAATGTTCCTTTCTCTCGCTCTCTCTAAAATCAGTAAACATATTTTCTTAAAAATGTAAACCATGCTAAACCAATTCTGGGTAAGAAGCAAAGACAAAGGAACATCTACGTAGCGCCTTCATTTCAAATTAGCCTTAAACCACATGCTCCAACCCACTGAGCCCCACCCGCCAGGGTGACCTGGTATGTTTTAAACAGCAGCAGCCCTGGCTGGTGGGGCTCCAGTGGGTTGAGTGCCAGCCTATGAGCTGAAAGGTCACGGTTAAATTCCCCGTCAGGGCACAGGCCTGGGTTGCGAGCCAGGCCCCCAGTTGGCGGTGTGCGAGAGGCAGCGATCTCACACACATGATGTTTCTCTTTCTCCCTCCCTTCCCCTCTCTCGCAAAATAAATAAAATTTTACAACAGCAACAACAGCATTACGAAGATAGCTCATTTCACTGCCTCCTCCAATCACTTCCCCACTGGAGGAAACTTACTATATGCCGGTCACTTCGCAAAGTCCTCTGCATGTATCACCAAATATACCAAACGCATATTCTCACAAAAACACCGCATGGGCACTAACATCCCCGTGACATATATCAGGAAACTGAAGCTGCGAAAGCCAGTGATTTGCTCAGGTCAAACGCCAGTCCCCGCTCCGGGCAGGGCTGAGCTCCAAAGCGGCCACTCTTAAATTCTGTGACGCGCTTCCTCCTTCCTTCCCTCTGTGCACGCTCACAAAGGTCACCCACTGGTACCTCCAGACCCACAAAGACACTAGAGGGAACACAATAATTATAAACGGTGGCGATTATTCTTTACACTTAGGTCATTGCAGTTTATAGTCCTTTTGTCAATAGCAGCCTATGCTTCCGGCTTGGGCACGTCGGGCTCAAGTGCCCAGTGCCGTTCCTTCTTTGCGTCTCAGCAGCTCCACAGGCAGGATGCCACCAGGAGAACGCAGCTGCTCAGAGCTACAAGGCTGGCGCTAGGCGGCCTGGGTTCCCGGCTCTGCCGCTTCCCAGCTGTGTGCCCTGGGGCAAGCCGCTCAACCTCCCTGTGGAACAGGACTTAGCCCACACAGTTGTTAGAGAAATGCTACGGATTCATGATGTATTTGTGGAGTACTTAGAACAGTGCCTGGCGCAAAGTACCATGTGGTGGTGGGTTTGTTTGTTGTTGTTGTTTTTTAAAATGGTTGGCTTAAACCCAAGGGTTGCTGTGAAAGCATCATACACACGTATCACATTACCATTACTGCAGACGGGAAGGGTGAATGTAGCAGGCAAAAGGCTGGGGAAAGGGGGCGCGCAAGACAGGGCTGCCAGCCTCAGAATCCTGGCACGCGGTGTGGGACCTTGAAACAAAGTCGTTAAAAACTGGACTCCAAACTTCAGCGCCCTTCCTAACAGCAGGGTCATGCCCGCCTCCAAGGCTGAGAGAACTGGAAATCCCCGAAGTACCTGGCACAAATTAGGGACCCTGCGCGGGTTTTCCTCCCCGCCCCTGACAGAAGAGCGGCTCCTTCCAAGCGAACTCACAACCAATGGCACCCAAGTCGAAAGCCCCGCCCCCCGAAAAAAACCCGCACTGGTCTCCGCGCAGCCCCCTGGCAGGTGCAGCTCCGGAGAGCAGTCCATCACGAGCCCCTAAATCTCTTTCAAACGCATTGGAAAATCAAAACCCCTAAGTCCTCGTCATGAACCTCAAAGAGGAAACAGGAAGGGGGAAAACGCCGGGGACTTTGGGGGAGAGCGGCAAGAGGCCACGAGCCGCTCCGGGTGCGCGTGTTCGGTGTTTTGTCCTGCTCCAGTCGGGGTCACTTTTCTCCTGACCAAACACGCGCCCCAAGGCCCGAGTCGGGGAGGCAGGGCGCGCGGGGACACTCGCGCTTCAGGCCAGAAACAGCAGCAGATGCCCAATCACGGCCATTTCCCAGGAGGCCGGGCGCTCCGGCCTCCCCGCAAGCCCTGCGTCCCGGCTCACCTGCGTGGCCCTCACCTGAGCGGGGCCCACAGAGTAGCCCCTACCGGGACAGGGGCCCCGGAACCCCGCAGCCCCGCGCGTCGCCCGCCGCCAGAGCCCGGGCACCGCTCGGACCGCGGCGAAGACGCCAAGCACAGCCATCCGGCCGCCGCCTGCGCGCACTGCGCCTGCCCGGCCTGCCGCGACCTCCGCCGGGCGGCCAATCAGCGGCCGGCGGCGCCCGAGGCTTCTCGGGAGTTGTAGTTCCGCGTGCGTGTCCCGGACCTCGGCCGCGTGCCGGGCGGACAGCGCGCGGGGCAGCGGGGAGGCTCAGTTCTCGGGGCGTACGTTTGCGCGCCCCACTTGCCCACTTTCTCTCCTGCGGAGCCCTGTGGGGGCCCTGCAGCCAGCCCTGACACCCTCCTGCGCTGGGCCCCCTAGGGGCCCTCTGAGCAGAGCCAGGGCGCCCTTCTGCCGGCGGCACCCCGGTGAGCAGCACACAGCGGCAGCCTCGGTGGCCCCGGACCCCGCTAGGGAGGGAACCGCGGGGACAGGCAGGGAGAAGGGGCTCAGGGAGGCTGACTGTTGAGCACCCACAATACGACCCGCACCTCCCGCTAAGGGCCGCGTTACAGTCTTTCCTATAGGTCAGCGCGCACCTCCGACGGGGGGTCGGGGGATGGAGGTCGCCCGGCCGCGCCTATACCGTGCAGCGGCATGGACCGAGGCGAGGCCACCAGAGCACGCTCACACTCAGCTTTTATTAAATCCAGGTTCACACGAGAGAGAATATCAACATTCCACCAATACCCCGATGACATTCCATTAATACCGCTGTAACACCACACAGTAAACACACAACAGCCGCGGAGGCGGGAGGGGAGGGGAGGGTAACGAACCTGAGTCCCAGAGTCTCAGTCCCGGGTCCAGGAGCCAGCCTAGCTCGGCGAGCGGGGGCCTCAGTCCGCTTGGAGCGCGGATCTCGGGCGGCGTGGAAGTTCCGGAGCTCCGGCGGCGCGTGGCCCAGAGCAGCGTGGAGAAGCGTCTCGGTGGTGGCGGCTCTGAAGTCCACTTCAATTCTCCCCAAATTCTTGGCGCCTGATGGAGCTGTGGTCGGGGCCGAGAGCCACCAGCGCCCTATCAGCGGGCATGCCCTCTGTGCAGACGCGTCTGCGTCCCCGTATCGTGGGTGCGCCGCCCGGGCAGGCCTTGGGCAGGGCGCCTGGCGTGGCTTAAGCTGCTCCCTTCCTGAACCAGAAGGTCACAGCTGACGGGCAGCCCTCTCGGTTGGTGAGTGACCCCGTTTTGTTTTATATACTTCACCTTCTCTTGACCGAGCCAACGCCATTTTATTGGCCCTGCCCTCCACGCTGACTTCGGCCCTGAGCCCAGGCCCTCACCCGCCCAGACCCCACCGGGTGGGGTCCGATCCCCACCGGGCTATGCCCCAGGTCTCCAGCCCTGGGTGTCACAGACCTTGGAATGGGTGTGCAGGTACCACCACTAGTGAAATAGTCCTGCCAAGAGCATCAGATTAAACCTTATCAAGACTCACCCACAGGAAGTACAGGCGCCGCAGGATGATGCGAAAGGACGCCAAGGGAGTGAGGCCCGCGAGGTGCAGACGGGGCGCGCTCTGCAGGACAGACAGATGACCTGGCCTCGTTACCAAATACATGTTAAGAAACAAAGGAAAAGAAAAAGCGTAATGCTGTGAAGAGCTCCAGCGGTGCTGTGGGGCTCGCACTCGGTTTTCACTGCCAGGAGCCGGAGCCGGAGCCCGCCTGTAGGGCGGCAGCAGCCCAGACTTAGGCGTCCCAGGTGGAAGGCAGGGTCGCAGTCCCGGGGCCGGGATGGGGGGAGGGTGGGTGGGGAGCAGAGAACCACGTGGACATCCGGCCTGGCCCCCCACCATCCCCCGCAGCCTCAGTCGGTTGCTGCTTTGCTTGGGAGCTTCCAGAGGATCTGAAGGTCAGAGGCGGGATTCCTCCGCCTCCGCGCACGGACCGACATTTTGAGTCTTTGTTGTGCGCGGCTGTTCTGAGCGTAGTAGGATGTTTAGCAACATTGCTGGCGATAGCACCCCCTCCTGCAGCTAGAACCACCAAAATGTTTCCATGTATGCCCAATGTCCCTCGGGGGGCCCAGTCACTGGTACTGAGGCCCTCTGGGGGGGACAGCTCACCAACCTCCTGAGTGAGACCAGGAGGGGACCGGAGCGCCAGAAAACCCAGTTCCTAAGCACAGACGGGGCTTCTCAAACCGGGAGAAGCCCCTGAGCAGCAGCTGAGCCCCTCACGCTGCCCTCCGGTCCCCCTCCCGGCCTCACCCCTCTCCAGTCGCGGGGATGCTTACATTCTCTTTCAAACCAGGGCTTGTTGCCATTTGATAGCACCCCCATTTGTACATAAGGAAAATCTGTTCATTTCTTTATAACCCTGGGGTAGGGAAATCTTCCGAAGTCAAGGACCAGAAGCATTAAAGAGAGAAAAATGGAGCCCCGGCCGGTGTGGTTCAGTGGTTTGGGCGTCAGCAAGAGAAGCGGAAGGCGGCCTGTTTCACGCCTGGTCACGGCGCATGCCCGGTGCGCAGGCGGGGCAGGGCGGGTGACGTGTTTCTCCCTCCCTTTCTCTAAGATCCGTGGGTGCGTCTCTGAGTGAGCGTAGGAATTAACTTGAATAAAATACAGTAAAAATGTTTATAATAACACATATTTGAGAACAGCCCAGGTGCAGATCTGTAGGGGCTGTAATATCCTTGTCAAACAAACGAGAGTGTGTTCCCACGATGAAATACTCCGGTATAAAAAGGAAGTGCTTTACAAGTACCAAAATGGAAAGATCCCTGGGACATAGTGCTAAATAAAAACACCAGAGTTCAGAACAGCATGGATAGTATGCTGTCTGTTAAATCAGAAAGGGGAAAACAGAATATTTATATTTGCATTCGTTTATTTTGCATAAAGAAACGCAAAAAACTGAGAGACGTGGTGGGAAAAATGAGCGGGGTGGGAAAGAGGGTGGGGGTGTAGGGGTGGGCGGAAGACTTTCCAATGTATCCCTGTTCTCTTTTTTTTTAATTCTTGAAATGTGATTGTATAGCTACTTAAAATGTTTACGTAAATGTAGTAAAATGTAAAGCTCTTGACAGCCCTACTCCCCCACCCTGTGCCACGTCCTCTAACTTCGCGCAGCAGACACGACTGTCCACAAACATCCACTGAGTGTCGTTCCCAGCAGCGACGGGAGGCGACCGCAGAGCGCGCTCCAAGCCCCGGGAGCGCGGCGCGGCGGGCGCCCCTGTGGCTCCGCGGGCAGCCGCCAGGGGGCAGCCGCGCGGCGCGGCGCGGCCCCGCCGGCGGCCACAGGTGCGGGCCGGGCGGCTGCTCCGGGAAGGGGCGTCCCCCCGCCCCAGCCCGAGGCTCACACTCCTCGCCATTTGCTCTCCGCCGGCTCCTGTCTCGGCCGCTTCCCGCTAAATGGCAGTCCCGGGGTCTAGAAGGGCCGCCGCAGTCCGCAGGCGGGGGATGGGGTGGGGGCGGGCCCTGGACAAAGGGAGGCTCCCGGCCAGGCTGAGGCCCTCGGTTCCCGGAGTCCAGGTCTCCGCTGGCGGGCGGGGGTGCGGACAGGAAACCGGGGCCGTCCGCCGCAGGTCCCGCAAGGGGTCAGCCTGCCCCAGCGGGAAGCCGCTGCCTGGGGGTCTGCAGCCTGCTGGCCTCCGGGGGCCACGAGGGCGCCGTCAGGGGCCGGTTGGGGGGACACAGCGGCTGAGGCCGCCCCTCTGAGCTGAGACCGGCCCGGGCCCCAGGACTGGACGGGGACGCCCGCCGGGATCAGGCTGCGGATCACAGAGGGTCGACGCGGCGACCGCCAAGCCTCTCCCAACTCCGACGGCCTGGGACCCGCGCCCTCCCCGTCTGCGCAGAGGGGCTGGCCGCCTCCGGGGTAGGGGCTGCGGGCTGCCCCCGGCAAAGGCCCATTGCAAGGCTGGGTCCGGGCGCCATGAAGGTGGTGGATGAGGGGATGTCGCCTAGAAAACCTCGACACGACACCACGTGGCCCTGCTGGGCAGCCTGTTCACAGGAGCATCGCGGCCTGGGGCGCTGCGCAGGGCGAAGCCCATCCCATGCTGCCCCAGGCCCACCTCGCTGCACCCCGACACCCAGAGTTCTCCCAGCCTCGCCTGCCCTGACAGAGAAGAAAGGGCAAAGAAGATTTTTTAAGTTTGACTTTCAGTCCTGGCAGTTGTGGCTCATGGATTGAGCGCAGGCCCGCAGCCTAAAGGGTCTCAGGGCACAGGCCTGGCTCGCAGGCCAGGTCCCCAGTAGGGGGCGCACTAGAGGCAACCACACGTTGACTTCCCCTTCTTTCTCCCTTCCCTTCTCTAAAAATAAATAAATCTTTTTTAAAAAAAATAAAGTTGATTTTTAGAGCTAAAGGAAAACATTGTGTTGTTGTTCCACTGATCCATGCCTTCATTGGTTTGTTCTTGCATGTGCCCTGACCAGGATCCAACCTGCAACCTCGGCATTTCAGGACGACACTCTTAACTAACTGAGCTACCTTGCCAAGGCAGGACAAAGATGATATTGCTTTTAGGATGATTGCTATTTAAAGCAACATATCAGGAGGAGAAACCCTGGCTGCTGTGGCCCAGTGGATTGAGCGCTGGCCTGCCAACCTAAGGGTTGCCAGTTCGATTCCCAATAAAGTAACATACTCAAGTATTACATGAAAACATTTATGCTCTAGTATGCTAACTTAGTTTTGGCTTGTAGACATACTTATATATTATATATCCAATCCTTAAGTGATCAATACTTGTGAGAAGCAAGGACAACGTCCGTCTTTCTAACTCCTGGCCTTGGGAAAAAGGGCATTCGGGGATTCTGGCCTCGGTGGCTGAGGCCGCTCCAGAACCCGGGTCGGTCAGCTTGGGAAATTAAACAGCCACAGCTTGCTCCTGGCGTGAGGTCTTCCGTCCGGGGAGGCCCCGCCCTGCTCCCTCCTGCGTCGGCACCCAGCTCGTTCCCACAGGGGACGTCCATCGGTTCACCGCGTCCTTTTCCGGGCACTGAGGAGGTCTGGGGCAGGGCCCGCGTGAAGCCATCATTAGCGGGGGCCCACACGGAGGCCCCAGTCCCGCGGGAGGGAGACCATGAACCGGAGATAAAAGTCACCCGCAAACCGTGGTAAGTCACGAGGGAAACGACCAAGGTATCACAGGCAGCCTGGGCGGCGCCCAGCGGCTGGACCCTCGCGGGGAAGGCGAGCTGGCCAGGCGGCCGCGAGAGGAGGCCCTGGCGCGGGACAGAGGTTGGCCCCCGGAGGGGCAGGCAGCCAGCGCGGCCAGAGTCCGGGGCAGCGGGGTCACGGGCCGGAGGAGGCTGGCAGGGGTGCAGGTCCAACAGGAAGTGCTACTGAGACACCTGGGGCTTTCCACGCGCACTGGGTTGTACGCAATGGGGTAAACTGAATTCATTGAAATTTAAAAAGTGTTTTCTACTGTTATTTATTGATTTTGGAGAGAGAGGATGGGAGGGGGAGAGAGAGAAACACCGATGGGAGAGAGAAGCATTGATCAGCTGCCTCCCAACCAGGGATCGAGCCCACAGCCTTTTGGCGTGAGGGACGACGTTCCAGCCACGGAGCCACACCGGCCAGGGTGAATTAGGTTCATTCTCTAAAAGCCGCTGTTTTGTGGAAAATGAAGTGAGAAAGGCAAAGAGAAGAAAAGGGAGATCGATGAGACAGCCATTGCCACAATTCAGGCGAGAGGGGGCGGGGCTGGAGCTCAGCCCCCAGCAGTGGAGGTGGAGGTTTCAGGGCACAGTCGCTGCGGGGAGCGGGGAGAGAGCAGCTCGGGGAACCTCCCGGAGGACGGAGGACGTCTGCTCCGAGCTCCCGGGTGGGACTGACCGACGGAGGAGGAGTTGAAAGGGAAGAGTTCGGAGTTCAGAGTTCAGAGTTGCACGTCGGAGTTTCAGAGATTCCTGCGGGCTAAGGGAATAAATAAACTTGGGAACCATCAGCAAATAGAGGGGATTTAAAAGCAAAAGCAGGAACGAGACTGCTCAGCGAGAGTCCTGAGTGAGAGAGCAAAGAAGCCAAGAGTCAGGAGCAGAGGAGAAGACGACCCGGCGCAGAGACCAGACAGGGAAGGAGGACGGAAACGTCCGCGCGCACAGGCCAGAGGAGACGGAGGGAACCACGGGCGCAGACGTGCCCGAGGCTGGGGCAGAAAAAGCCTTCAAAGCCCCGAGTTCCCTCGACCGGGTGTTTCTGAGACGTTTAGCCCACAGGAGGCTTTGCTCATCTTCACAAATTCGTTTCTCTAAAGAGACGGGGGGGGGGGGGGGGCGGGCGGCGGCTACACTGGAGGGGATGCGGAGGGGGTGGGAGAGAGCCTGTGCCCCAGCCGAGGAGCGGGGTCCGAGGGGGCCGTCTTCTCACTTCGGCCGCCCGGCCAGCTCGGCCACGAAGTCGTCCCACCTCTCGGCCCAGATGTCCATGGCAGCCTTTTTCTCCGAGTCCAGCAGGGCGCTGTACCTGCCCGTGCAGAGGGGCCCAGGTCAGCCCCGGGGGAGGGGTTGGGGGGCAGGACAGGGAAGGGAGGGACTCGCAGGCGCTTGCAGGACACACTTCCCCGCAGCCCAGAGGGGCAACAGACCAGAGAGCATGCGGAGGAAACGCCCAGCGCCCTTCCAGGCCCCGCCCCAGGCCTCCGTCAACGCGGCTCTGGGATGGGAGCTGGCATGGGGGGCGGGGGAGGGCGCGGTTCTGAGAGAGGCCCAGGCCCCTCACTTGATAGAGTTCAGAGCCAGCTGCTTGAGGGTCCTCAGGTCGGCCTTCATTCCGCCGATGCCCATGAAGGCCTCGTAGAAGTCGTAGGACAAGCCGGACGCACCGAACATAGCTGGGTCATCCGAGCTGATCACCACGGGGAACCCGGTCGCCATGAGAACAGCTGCGGGGTGGTTTCTCAGGTCCGACACCAGCTGCAGAACCTGCAGGGGCGGGGGGCGAGGAGGAGGAGGAGGAGGAGGAGGACAGACTGTGGCCCGGGAAGCCGTCACGAGAAAGGCCAGCCTGGGCAGCGCCACCAGCTTCTGTCTTTCTGTATTAACCCGTCCCCCTTGTGAGCGTGGGGGTGGGGGGTGGCTTCTGGGCAAAGCCCTGACACTGGGACTGGAGCCGCCTCAGGCTCCACCCAGGCTCCCCCACTCCGAGCGCGTGGTCCTGCTCGGCCCTGCTCAGGGCATCGAGCCCCAGCGAGGTCAGACAGTCCGATTCCAGAAGCGCCCGCGCGTCTGTGGGAGCAGCACCTGCAGCCCCGGCCACTTCCCTGGCCTCCCCCAGTGTCCCTTTAGTTTGTCCAAAATTCCACCCCAGCAGGACCCGCCCTGTAGCCTCGTTGTGCTGAATGGTTTCTGGCCGGGCTGTTCCCCAACAGCTGCGCCAAGTGGGGGTGGGAAGGGGTGCAGGAGCACAGGCGGTGAGCTGGGGACAGAAGTCACAGGTGGGGGGAGGGGTCTGGGAGTCAGAGCAGAGGGCAAGGTCGGGAGACGGTCGTACTGGGTGGACCCCGCGGGTCCCGCTTACCTGATTGGAGATGGGACAGACTTCCACAGGGATGTCCTTCTTCCACATGCCGGTCCAGACGGCCGGGTGTTTGGTCAGAGCAAAGCCGTGGCCGATCCTGGTGGAGTTCAGAATTAGGGCGTCCAGGAGGTTCTCATCGACGGAAGTGCCCTGCCAGTCTGCGGGGAGAGGGGAGCCTTCCGCATGGGGAGCCTGACCCCCAGGTCATCCTCCCCCGAGGAAGGGCGGTGAACGAACGTTCGCACAGAGACACACACGTATTTTCTTTCTAACAATGTTGACGAGAGTGAGGCCGCCTGTGCTTGATGGGCGCGTGTGTGCAGGTGTGTATCTCTAGCGCGTCTCCCGTGAGTGCGTGTGTGGCAGGTGGGGAAGGTGAGACGCACTGAACGAGGCTACTCGGTAGCAAAACTGGGTTTCACGCCTTGGTGTATAGGATCCCACAGTCCCTGTTTTTTTCTTTCCATGTTTTTGTTTGTTTCCAGAGCTATTTTCTAGGAATTTTATGTGCATAATCTTTACAACCATGTGTTGCAGACACTGGTGATACAATTATTTGTATGTACTTAGTTTAATCCGAATGTTTTAACAGGACTCTTGGGACAATAGCAAGAGGGCAGCGGCCGGAGGGGGCGAAGCCGTGGCAGACGCTATAGGCTGCCTCCGGCCTAGCTGTCCCCCCGGGGCCCGCCTTGCGGCCAGGCCGCGTTAGTGAGTGAGAAGGACAGGTCCCGACCCTCCCAGATTCCCTTGCAGCTAGGAGGCCTAAGGCCGGCCTGCGGGGTCGCAGGCGAGGAGCCTCTGGGGCTTCCTCTCCTGAAGGAAACCCCTCGCTTTGTGCTTCACGGGACGCGGTCTTGCCCGAATGTGACGGCAGCATCCCGCCGCTGAGGGATGGAGGCTGCTTATTGTGCGACGTAACAGAGCACCCCCTTGTCAGGCCTGTGGGGTGCGTGTACTCCACTCCTGGGAGCCCCAGGCATCCTAACTGACCCACGTGCGAAAGGCCAACGTGGCGCTTTTCTGTTAGGAATAAAACCAGAAATAAAATTCCCGCTGCTGAATAGGGTGTGCGTTTTTAGGTAGATTTTCACTGGTTTCCTATCGAGTGCTTTCTTTTCGAAGACATCTTCTTGAAAAAGGGAGGGGCAAGCATTACTCTTGGATCTGAAATGCCCACATCCTGGCAAAATCGCCTCCTGAGGCCCTGCCTCCGAGGGCTGGGTCGGACCCCGCCTCGCCGCGAGGAAGGGATTCCACACGCCTGTGACGTGCCCCACGGGACCCCACGCTCGTCAAGGTTAACCAGCCTCGTCCTGTCACCCACAAACAATGCTTCAAATCCCTCAGGGCGGCTGTGATCCAAATGGACTTGAAACGTCAAAAAAAAGAGAGGCCTTTCCTCTGAGATGGGGTGAGAAACCAAGGCTGAGGCCTGGCTGTGAAATCCGGGCCGGTGACGATGGGGGCCCAAGGCCACGGCTGTGGCTGGCAGGGAGCGGGGGGACCAGTAGCCATTTTCCTCCTGGTCGAGGCCCCCCAGCCACTCCCTTTGGTCTGAAGTTGCAGGCATGATCTGGGACTCCTCTGGCTTAGCGTTCACCACCGGAAGAGCTGGCATGGGCAGCGGCTGAGAGAGGAGCGAGCTCGCAGGCTGAGTTGGGGGCAAAGATACGCTGCCCGAAAGGTGCGTCAGAATGAGTAGCAGTCAGGCCCCTGGGCAGCGCGAGGTCCCCCTTCAGCTCTGGGGAGCGTGGGCCACGCCCCCCGGACGCCTGGGCAGGTCACTCACGCGCGTGACCGCGGAAAGGTGCGCTCGCCTCTCCGGCACGGGGCACTCATCATAAAATGGAGGTCAGAGTAAACGAGGGGCTCAGGCTCAGCCTCCACGACTTTCCCTTGGACCGAGAACACGTTGCTCGGAGCCTTGAGCTCTTGGTCTGTGACTGAGGCCCGGGGAGAGAGCCTGAAATAATGCGCGCGAGGCGTCCTGCGCGTCCTCCTGCGGGGATGGCATCCGGCTGCCAGGGCGACTTGGGATGGCCTGCGTGACGCGGACAAGTGCCCCGTGGGCGCGCTCCCCTCCCGCCCAGCACCTCCTCTGTCCCCCGATCCCCTGTCTCCACGCGGGATCCCCTGTCTCCGCGCGGCTCACCTGTCTCTCCGGCGTGAAAGAAGTAGGGCAGCCTATAGCCTCGCGAGGCGGGGATCGCCAGGGCCTCGCTGTAGTAGCTCAAGGATCTGCCGGTGTCCTCGCGCCCCACCTGCGGGAGAGAGCAGAGGGGCCGTGGGGCTGCCCGCAGGCCGGGCCCGGGCCGATGGCGCCCCTGCAGCCTGGGGAAGCCCTCCCTCGGCCCCCGTCTCCAGGGCTCGAGGACTGCGCCACCCAGTGGCAGGGTTGGGACAGAAAAACGTGCATTCTTGCCCCCGAAGAATTTCCCCAGAGCCTTTCCCACCTTGTCTTCTCTCGCCACCTTCACCGCCTTCCAAGCCCCCACACCTCGCCCTGAGCCCCTTCGCGGGGGGAACGAGTGATGGAGAGCGAGCAAGAGGCAGAGGACAGAGACCGGGGACACAGAGACCGGGGGACACAGAGACCGGGGGACACAGAGAGGCAGAGAGGCAAAGCGAGGATGAGACAGGCAGAGACTGAGAGCCAAAGAGACCGGGAGAGGGAGGGAGCGAGACAGCAAGAGCCGGGGCCAGCGCCCCCAGCAGGGGAGGGGGGACGGTGACTCCGTCTGAGTGGCCGCAGGAGAGAGGGCAGTGAACAAGGGCAGAGGGCGGGGCACGGGAGCAAGCCCACCCGCCACCATTGCCCTGCTCCCGGAACCCCTCCTGATTCTGGGACCGGGGCCTTCTCTGCTTCCTTTCTCTGGTGACCGTCACCGCTGCGGGCCCCTGGGCGGGCGGCCACGCCGAGCTCCCGCTGCTGCACAAAGACAGTTACCAGGTCAAACCCTGCCACCGTCCCCGGGAACTTGGTCCGAAGTTTCATGGCCATCTCGACGGATCTTGCAATGAGGGACACGTTTTTAGATCTGCGAGAGACAGAGACGCGAGGCCAGCGTGGCGTGGCGCTGAGCGAGCCGCGTGCCCTGGCAGGCCCTGCCCAGTCCAGGCTGTTCAGCCGCCCTTCCCAGCCCCTCGGGGCCGCTGCCCCACGGCTACCCCAGCGGGGGCAGGGACCGTCCCCGACACCCACGTGCACACGCTGCCCCGGGGTCCCCGGCCCCCGCCCCTTCTCCTGTCCCGGCCTGCGGCTCTGCCCGCGCCGCTCGCCCGCGGCCGTGTTCTCCCTCACCTGTGGTCTGAATAAATGATTTTGATGCCAGTAAACCCGGGATGCTTTTCTGCAAAGAGGGCAGCCACGTCTCTGTAGGTCGCCACCACCCACTCTTGGCTGTGGGTCGACCCGTCCAGCTCGTACACCTGGGAGAGGAAGCACGGCCCGGGCAGGCGCCGGAGGTGAGCGGAGCGGAACGTCACGCCCGCCGCCAGATCGCCGGCAAAGCCGGGCCGGCCTTGGCGACGTGTTTGTCCGTCGTCTCTCACGGCCTCGGACCCCGGGCAGAAGGCCCCGCCCCGCCGAGGGACCGCTGTCTGGTGCCGCAGCCTGGGGCACGGGCCTGTCTTGCTGACGTCTGGGTCCCCCGCCCGGAACCGTGCCCGGCCCTTGGGAAAGGCCCCCGAGCATCGACGCGCTGAACAAAAAACAGCCCAGCCGGGCTCTTCCCGCTTTTCTGACCCGACGCTGGAGGGATCAGCCTTGGAGGGTCAGGGGGTCTCCGCAGGGAAGAAGGGCTTTCTTCACCAGGGTAGGACCGCAAGAGTCCCCGGTGGGGGGTGGCCTTGGTGCCGAGCGGGGAGGGGTGGGTAGGGTTTGAGAAACAGGGAGCGGGGGCTGCCAGGCCAGCAAACCGGTTCATCGCAGGGGGTCTGTGGCTGCAGGGGCCGGGGGGGGGGCAGGGGTACAAGCTAGAGCCGGGAGAGGAGGCAGAGGTGGGACGGGCACCGGGGAGGCTCCCCCCTAACGGAGCAGCGGCGCCTCCTCGCCCGGGTGCTCGCGACCTGGGTGCCTTGCCCTCTCGGACCCCTGTGCCCCTGCCCGGCCCCCTGGCGGCCCCGGCCGTGCTGCCTTGGTCCCCGCTCGGCGCCCCCAGCCCACGGGGCGGCCTTTCGCTCTCTCGCGCCTGCAGGGCTCTGCTCTGCTGTGCCGCCGGCGGAGCAGGGAGCAGGCGGCCGTGCCAGGCCCTTCCCATGGCCCCGGTGGCCTTGCCATCTGGTTTCCTTGGCAGCTGCCCCTGTGAACCCTGGCACCGCACCTCCCCACCCCCACCGAGGCCGCCTCAGAGCGAGCATGCTCAGACGGGCCGCCTGCGAAGGCTGCCAGGACCCTCCAGAGCGGAGGGTCTGGGGTGGTTCGCTCAGGATCTAGTATTGCCCATTCTTCTTCTTTTTTTAAATCCATGCCTGAGGATACATACATTTATTGGTTTTAGAGAGAGAGAGAGAGACGGGTCTGTTGCCTCCTGTACACGCCCCGACTGGGGACCAAGACTGCAACCGAGGCATGTGCCCCAACTGAGAATCAAACCCACGAACGTTCGTGCCCGAGACGACGCTCCAACCAACCGAGCCTCCCAGCCATTCTTCCGAGCCATATGAGTAAAGGGCGGCCGTTATTCCTACGGTTCACTGAAGGGGATCAGTATGATCACAGTACGATGACTTAACCAGCCCCAGGTACGCCATTTTTTAAAAAATATTTTTTTAAATTTATTTCTAGAGAGAGAAGGGAGGAAGAGAGGAAGAGAAACATCCATGTGTGGCTGCCTCTCGTGCAGCCCCTGCTGGGGACCTGGCCTCCAACCCAGGCACATACCCTGACTGGGAATTGAACCGGCGACTCCTTGGTTCGCAGGCTGGCGCTCAGTCCACTGAGCCACACTCGCCGGGGCAAATATGCTGGTTTTCACACATGATTATTTTTCGCTGAAGGCAATTACAGAGCAGCAAATGCAGATGCCGCGCCCTGCCCTCTCCTGACCTGCGTACCAGCAGGACATCCATCTGTTTGGGGGGGGGCCTCCGCCCCCTCCCCTGCCAGGAGGAACACCCTCCGGACTGACACAGGAAGTCCAGGTCGGCGCCCGGCGGGGCGGGGAACGGGGGCGGGGCGGGGCGGGGGATGTGAAAAAACCAACTTCGCTAAAATGGCCTTTATCTTCTCGGGCTTCCCTCCACATATTTGCCGTCTTGCAATTTACTGCCCCTGGAAACCCAAACCCCTTTTCCTCTCTCTTGTCGCTTCCCTACAACTGATTTCCATTTGTTAAAATAGTCTGTAAAGCACCTGGTCTGCCCACTGCGTGGGGTCTTCACCTCTTTTCCACAAAGGCTTCTGTGCACATAAAAATCAACATCAGGCCCTGGCTGGTGGGGCGCAGCGGACTGAGCGCCGGCCTGCAAACCAAAGGGTCGCCAGTTTGATTCCCAGTCAGGACACAGGCCTGGGTTGCAGGCCAGGTCCCCAGCAGGGGGCGCGCAAGAGGCAATTACGCATTGATGTTTCTCTCCCTCTGTTCCTCCCTAGACTTCTCTCTAGAAATAAACAAATAAAATCTTAAAAAAAAAAATTTAACATCAGCCCTGGCCTGGCGGGTCACTTAGAGCATCATCCCGATACACCAAGGTTGCGGGTTCGAGCCGCAGTCGGGGCTCGTGCAAGTATCAGCCCCTAAATGCATGAATAAGTGGAACAACAAATCGATGTTTCTCTCTCTCTCTAAAAATCAATAAATAAAAGAGCTTTTTTAAAAGTAATATCAAATTAACTCCTGTTGACGTGGCTTCTGTCGGTTAATTTGCAGGCCCCAAGAACACAACGGAAGAAAGCTTTCCCTCTGTCCTGCTGTGGCAGGGGGTGGGGCCCGAGCAGTGGAGCAGGGACCCTGGGCCGCAGGCACGGAAGGTCGCCGGGGCGGAAAGCCGCGGGTGCCGGGCCACGGGCTCAACTGGGAAGACAGGGCCCTGGCCCTCAGGCTGACCCTCCGCCCCTGGCATGTCACTGGTCACGGGGTAGGCCCCCTTGGGGGACGAACAAGGGGACCAAGAGTGGCTTCAAGGGCCTCGCGCTCAGCCCCTTGGAGGACCACCCCTTAGGCACGAATCCCTGGAGACGACAGGGTGGCTCAGGCTGTGGTTCAGCTCCAGGCCCAGGAAAGCAGCAGAGCCCGGCAGGAGACGCCGCGGCGGCCCCAGGGCCAGCTGCGGTGACCGTGACCCCTGGCCCGGGCACCGACCAACCCGAGGCGGCCGGGACCCTCAGGGGACACGCCTGGGAAGCTGATGAGTGGTCTACTGAGAGCCTCCCCTAAAACCCTGGCCCGTAAAAGCCCTTTAGGGAGCGAGCCTGCCCGTTCCCTTCGCCTTGGCTTCCCCCGCGGGTGCATCCTCTTTACCTCTCTCTCTCCTAAGCCCCGTGGGCCCTTCTGCTGCTTCCGCCCCTTGTGCCCTGAGCCCATGTCTTCTACAGCTCATGTGTTCTGCCTCGGTGACTTTCCGGACAGACTTGCTCCCAGCGTTGGAGTCTCGGCCCTGAATCCCTTCTGAGCCAGCCCGCGAGCACCGAGGTGCCGAACGGAGGTGCGGCCTGACGCCTGGGCTGCCTCCGCCGATGCGAACACCCCTTCGCCGGGGACTTTTCCAAAGGGGGATTTCCTGTCCCTGATCAAGGCTGCGACAGGCTTCCAGGCACTCGGCTGGAATCCTTCAATCTCTGGGGTTGCGAGAACCTCCACGTGGTCTTGGGGACCCCTGCGGGCTCCCCTGGGCTTTCTCCGGCAGCCTACAAAGTCGAAACTCTCTTCGTAAAAAAGGTAAGATGCTATTTGTCTCCCCCCACCACCATTTACCTTTTATTTACCGAGTTTAGAGAAAAAGAGAAACGTTGACCCGCTGCCGCCCCGCCCAGGCCCCTGTCGGCTGCCTCCCGCGCGCCCTGCCCTGGGACTGGACCGGGGCGTCGGCACGCGCCTCCGGCCAGGGCTCTATTGTTGCCTTTTCCGCTCTCATTCTCTCAGGACTGTTCAGAATTTTCCAGAAGCAGCGCCTCCGGGACACTGTTGCTCTGACCGGTGACGGGCTGTGGGTGCTTGTGTGGCCTTGTGCTTTGGAAATCCCTCTGGGGTATGATTTCCCCGTCGGGGCTGCAGGACCCAGGATAAAGCTGATGTGATCCCCACACATGCGCGCACACACACGCGCGCGCCCTGGGGACCCGCGGAACGTCTTGAAGGTACAGGTCTGAGAGCCACGGCGGTAACTGAGCCCAGAATTGGTACGTGAAGTCGTCCTGGCGTTGCCGCCGGACCTGCAGAGGGGAGGACCAGAGTGCTCCCCGCTGCGGGCCCATCTGGGTGACGACAAAACCCCGGGGCAGGGGCGCACGTCGGGGTGCCCTTCCCCCCTCCCCTCCGGCAGCACCAGAGAGGGAGCCCTGCAGACAGACGAGCCCTAACGGAAGGCAGGGCCGCCAGGCGGCAGCCTGAGCCCTCGGCCCGGGAGCGTGGGGCAGGGACCGGGGCAGGGACCGGGGCAGGGACCGGGGCGCTGGAGGGGCTGCGGGCGGAGCAGCGCTGCCGGGGCAGGAGGGAGCCCGGGGAGCCTGTGCGAGAAATCAGCCCCTGACACGTGGGCCCGAAAGCGGAACCCAGGCGGGTCCATCAAGCGCGCAGAGACCGGCGGCCGAGACCGGACGGCGTGGCGGGGCCGCCGGGGCTCCAAGGCCTCAGCTGTCACTGCAGCTTTGGGCCGGAGGCACCGGCTTCCCGTGCCAATGCCAGCGCGGCTCCCACGGCCGGCCAGCCGCGGGGACGGGCCCGGTGCCCGCGCGTCTCCCAGTGCCCGGCTCTCCTGGGCCTCTGCTGGGAGACGCAGACTCAGTGGGGGCGCCTGGGGTGGAATCTGAGCGTTCGGGAGCGCCCCACATCCAGCGGGGGCCCCGCGACTCCTCCCGGCACCCATGGGTGAGGTCAGAGCCCTGCTGGGGAGCCGGGGTGGGAGGGAGCTCGCCTGCTGGTTTGGGGGCTCCGGTTTGGGGACTCCGCTCGGCCTTCGGGCTCAGGCCCTCGGTGGAGACGCTGTTCCACCTGTTCCAAGTGCGTCACACCTCGCGGAGCCAGAGAAAGGGGCAGGTGAGTTACCGTGGCAAAGAACTTTGAGATAATAACTATTAACAATAATAATGATATTATTATTCCCCATCTCAAAATCTGCAGCTTCCTAGACAGGAGAGTAAATAGCTAAGAATCTCGCAACCTGTGAGCCCAGGCAGGTGCCAGCCCTCTGTCCAAGACTAAACGATGCAAAAGCTGCTGCAGCCGTGCGTCAGGCCTCCTGCGTTAAAAACGCGTGGACTCAATTTATGTTATTTCCATTTCTAGATGTTTTTATTTATTGACTTTACTTTTACTTTTTTGAAAGATGTATTTACTTACTGACTTTTCAGAGAGGAGGGAAGGAAGGGTGAAAAAAATGAAGAAAACATGCAGGTGTGGTTGCCTCTTGGGCGCCCTCTACTGGGGACTGGGCCCACAGCCCAGGCCTGCGCCCTGACTGGGAACTGAACCAGCGACCCTTTCAGTCACAGGTCACACCAGCCAGAGCTATTGATTGATTTTGGAGAGAGAGGAGAAGCGCGAGAGCAATAGCCACATCGCTTCCATTGGTTGTCCCACCTATTCATGACTCCGTGGTTGATTCTTGCACGTGCCCTGCCTGGCGATCGAACCCACAGTCATTAGGGTATCGGGTTGATGCTCCCACCAGCTGAGCCACCTGGCCAGGGCAGACTGTCTCAATTTTGTAACTGTGGTGTCTTCGAGGAACTGTAAATTTGTGGAGAAATTAACCAAACGACATACAGCTTTCATCACTCCGCATAGCATCACAAAGTTTTATCGTCCCCGATATCGTGGCCTCGTAGAATTTTGAAGCTGGAAGGAGGCGAAGGGGAATTTGGCAGCAGAGAGTGGCTCAAGGTCACACAGTTCGTTTCCCCGAGACCGGAAACCAGGCCTCAGAATCTCTAACTCGGCACCCGTAGCTCCCAGGCATTAACGGAGCTTCTCACCGGGCGAAGGCCAAGAGCTAAATACCAAGCCTCATTTAATCCTGGAAACTGCACCTCCTTGTCTCACAGGTGGCTTACGGGGCTGGCGCACTCAGTCCTCCAGCATCTGCTGACCCTGAAGGTCTCCGCACAGCGGCCCTGCCCCCGCCCCCAGCCTCCGCCCTGGCTGCACCTCGGAATCAGCCGTCCCCGGGATCTCTGGGCTGGGACCTGTTTACTTTGTCACTCCCCAGGTGACGCTAAAGCACAAACAAGGTACAGCCAGGGCGGAGACCTCCCATCTTTGTTGATTCGACAGGTGAACAGAACAATTGCTGCCCGGTGAGGTAGATGCTGCAGCCAGCCGTCTTTTCTTTCTTTTTCTCTTTAATTATCACTGCCGGATGTGCTCACAGAGAGGGGGAAGGGAGGAAAAGAGCGTGGGAGAGAACCCTCAAAGCCAGAGAGAAACATCGACCGGTTTCCTCTCCCATGTGCTCCGACCGGGGATTGAACCCCAAACGCACGACCTAGGGACGCGTCCCGACTGGGAATCGAACCCACGACCTTTGGGTTTCCACACTAGGCTTCAACCAGCAGAGCCACGCCGGCCGGGGCCGCTGTGCGTGTTCTGCCGGAGCAGCACCCGCACCAGGAGGCCGTGGTCCTTGCAGCACTAAGCTGGGGGCACTTCTCCTGGGGGGCCTGCTGAGACCCCAGGAAAGGCTCGCGGTGGGGGTGAGGGTGCAGAGCCCAAGTGACCGCCCCCGAGGGCTCGCCACAGACCTGTCTCCTCCCGAGACCCCCAGGGTTGGTAAGAGCCCGCCGGGCCGTCTCCCGTGGGTGATCTCACGGGGTCACGAGACCCCCCCTTCTCGGGACAGGCCAGGGCCCCGTCTGGGCCTCAGATCCTGGCCGTGGGGGAAGGGACGGAGCCCAGGAGATAAGACCCGCCTAGCAACTGTTGCTAAAGGCAAGTAGCCTTTGTTATTGAGCATTAGTAACACAATAGGAGGCTGAGCGGCCAGGATAGTCCATCAACATCATCCCAGGCCCTGAATCAGCCCCACAAGCCGGGGTCGGGGGCGGGCAGTGCGGCTCAGCAAAAGAATTCCAGGGCCGGCGGCCTTTAGTTCTCAATGTGTTCGTGGCTGCCTGCTCCGGCTAATGGGGAGCATTAAGGCATGGGCTCTCCATGGCAAGAGGCCTTTGTTCCCGGGTCAGACCAGAACAAATGGTCAAGTCCCATCCCCCTCAGCCTCCCCCAGAATCCCAAATCCCGGCAGGCCTCCACCTTCCGGGAAGGCTGGGGGGGCGGGTGGGGGTGGGCCTCGCAGGGAGAGGGCGAGCCGAGCCGGTCCGCTGGCTGAAGGTCCCGGGGCCTGTGTCCCCGCCGGGTCAGCGGCAGAAGAGGGGAGGAGGGCTGGGCCGGAAGCCGCGCTCCGGCCATGCTCGGCCCCTCCCGTTCGTCCAAGGGCCAGCAACTCCCAAACTCCCCACCAGGCTCAAGACCAACGCCTGCCGCCTTCAGACCGGCCGGACCCGACCTGCCCTGCCCTGCCCGCTGACGGGGAGCCCCAGGCCCCCCACTCCCGCGCTGAGGAAGCCGCCGGGATTTGCCCCACAGGAAGCGGCCCTCCCTGCAGGGCCGGCTGGGGGTGGGGGCGCGCGCTCCCCGGCAGAAGGACTGCCGTCCGTCCGGCCGGATGCCCCTCGGGAGCCCCCGCAGGAGGAGGGGCTCCAAGGCCCTCTCAGGTGTGGTCCAGGCGGGACCACCTGCATCAAAAGCCCCGGGTGGGGGCGGGGCGGGGCCGCGGGCAGCCTCCGGCCCAGCCCCAGGCCGCGAGCTAGGAGCCGGGGGCGGGCGCAGGCGAACCCCAGGGCGCCCACGTGAGGACGGCCGCCCAGGAGCGTGGCCATGTCTGCGGTGTCTCTCGAAGTCACACCCGCTGCCGGCCTATCGCCGGGAAACCGGGCTCCTATGTCGGGACACACAACCCGGGCGACCACGCGGGTGCTGGAGGCGAACGTCTCGGGCCGCGGGGGAGACGTGGGCCCCCCAGTTCCCGGGAGGCGCTGCAGGGGGGGCTCGGGCCAGACCCGCAGAGAAGGGGGTCTGGAGCCCACGCCGGAGAGCGATGGGCTTTCCGGCCAAAACGGGAGCACGACTGTCCGGAAGGCCCTTCCCAAAGTCTCCTCTGGGCCGCGGGCGCACGCCGGCCTCTCCGTCCGGGGCTGGAGCGACGGCGCCCAGGCCTCATCTACGCAGCCCGCGCAGGCCCCCGCAGGCGCCAGGCTGAGCGCCCTCCGGCTCGCCCAGCACCGAGGCGTGGGCGCCCGCGTCTGCGCGGGGTCACACCGGCCAGCCCGCCCGGGGCGTCCTGGCGCGCGTGGAGCCGGGGAGGAGAGGGCGCACCCCGCGCCTGCGCCCGCCGGTAGCCAGCCTCCAGGGGGGCATTAACATGTCTAAGGGGGAAGGTGGGCCCGGCCGCGAGGCCGCGAGAGGGAGAGCGCAGCCGGGAGGGTGCTTTGTCTCCGGAGCAGAAAGAGGAGCCCGACCCGCAAACTGGAATTACTGGTTCCCGGGCGGGCGCCCTCCGAGCCAGCTGGGGGTGGTGGAGGCCCTCGAGGAATCCCCACCAGAACCTCGCTTGCTTGAGAATGCGAAGCCAGCAGAGTCGCTGTATGTTGCATTTTTTCCAGAGGTTCTATGGTGATAGAGATGCATGTGAAAACACTGTCCTCAACAGTCCACTTACACTAGTACATTTTGTTCCCCTGCTGGGCAAATAGTGGTAGTTTTTTTTTTTTTACTCCTCATCCAAGGGTATGTTTTAGAGAGAGGACAGGAGAGAGAGAGAGAAACATCGATCGGCTGCCTCCTGTCCGTGCCCTGAGCAGGGACAGAACCCACAACCTCTTGGGTGTACGGGACGTCACTCCAACCAACCGAGCCCCCCGGGCAGGGCCTCGGTCTTGTTTCCAAGAGCATCCCTAGAATCTCAGGCTCGAGCCGCGCTTGGCGAGCTCCGAGCTGCCCCAAACGGGCCCCACAGACGTGTCTGCAGAGCCTGTCCCTATGCTTGCGACCCCACCGAGGAAGACGCCTTTGCCCACCTTTTCCCTTCAGTGCGGGGACCCTGCCCCGGGTTCCAGGACGCGCTGCATCAGGCCCGTCCGCTCCTCGCGCCCGCCCGCCCGCCTGCCCGGGAGCACCGGCTGGTGCCGTCCCTGGGTTCCCTCTATGCCCTGTAAATGGTTCTTTTTTTTTTTTTAAGATTTTTTATTTTTATATATTTTTAGAGAGAAGGAGAAACATCGATTGGTTGCCTCTCACGCGCCCCCTCCCTGGGGACCTGGCCTGCCACCCAGGCAGGCGCCCTGACCGGGGATCGAACCGGCGACCTTCCAGTGCACAGGCCGGCGCACCGTCCGCTGAGCCGCGCCAGCCAGGGCTGTAAATCGTTCTGTAACGTCACGTGTGTTGTTTACCCACCGTTGTTGTTCTCAAGGACACCCGGCCCGAGCACAGCCCCTCCCAGGGTAGGTGCTGGCAGTTGTCTGGTGACTGGATGAACCGGAGAGAAAAAAGAAAGCGAGGAATAGGGAGGAAGGGCGGGGCGAGAACTGGGAACAAGGCTGGGGCGGTGATCGCCCTCTAGGCGTGCGAGGCCGCCACTCGCCTCTCGGTGCGAAGAGTGGAGCTTGATTCCACCGAGACTGAAGGAAACGCTGGGTGCACAATGGTTTGGAGAAAAATCAGGAAGGAAACTTCTGTGGTGGGACAAACAGAAAATAAGAAGAGTCTGCAGCCCTGGCCGTGTGGCTCCGTGGGTTGGGCATCGTCCCGCAAAGCGGAAGGTCACCAGTTCTGGTCACAGGCCTGGGTGGCGGGTTCAGTCCCCTTTGGGGCGCGTATGAGAGGCAACTGATTGATGTTTCTCTTTCACATCAATGTCCCACTCCCTCTCTTTCTCTCCCCCTTCACATCTCTCTAAAAATAAGTAAATAAAATCTATAAAACAAAGAAGACAGGTCAGTAGCATGCGGAGGGAAGGCACGGCGCAGGGAGCCATCAGGCCTGGAGCAGGAGCAGGGGGCGGCGGGGAGAGGTGCGGGGTCCCGGGCCCAAGGCGGCGGGCGCCATGGCCGCACTTTGTTTAGGGGTCCCCGCTCATGCCCCGTGAAGGCCCGCGTCCCCTTGGGGTGACGTCGTCTCTTACTCCTGCCCTGGCCCTCGGGAGCCCGTGCAGCCCTGCGGGGTGACGGGACCTGCGGGTCCAGCCGGAGCGGCCACTCACCGGGAACAGCACCGCTCTGAGCTCCAGGTGGAGCACGTGGTCCCGGTAGAACTCCTCCAGGCCCCGGAAGATGTAGTCTCTGAACACCGGCGCGTAGTTGATCAGGCTGGAGACGGTGTAGAAGATGATCTTGAACTTAGTCCAGAGGACGTCTCGGTTCGGGTACGCCGCCTCGGGGTTCTCGGTCACCAGCGTGAAATTCCTCAGGAGGCTGCCAGGACACGCACGGCGCTGGGGGGACAGCGGCAGGCCAGGGCGCCTGGCCTCTCCCACCCCGGAAAGCGTGGCCGCGAGCGAGGTGAGGGGCTCTGCCCTGAGACCTGCTCTGTACGCGCCCCCGACGGCCCAGGCCGGATGGCCCCCCACCCAGCCTCTCCCGTTCCCCTCTGCACACTCAGCCAGCCCAACCTGCTGACCCTGCGCGCCGGACGGGGCTCTCTTTGGGGGGTGTTATGCACTGAATTGTGTCTCCCCCAAATTCATATATTGAAACCCTCACCCCAGTGTGACTATATTTGGACAGAGGGACTTGAAGGGGGGGGCTCAGGTTAAATGAAGTCTTGGGGGTGCAGCCAATATCAAGCAGGACTCTGATAAGAGAGTCGGGGGGCAGGGTGGGCGCACAGGACGGGCCACGTGAGGACAGGGTGGCGGCGGCCAGCGGCAGGCCAGGGTGGCAGGGACGGGCCTCGGGAGCCGCCCAGCCTGCTCACGCCTCGGTGCCGGACTCCTGCCCTTCGGACCAGCGAGAAAGCCCGTGTCGGCTGTTTAAGTCGCGGCGCCGGTTGTGCCCTGCCGGGGCGGCCCTGGCCGACGGGTGGGGGATCCGTTGGAGGGAGGCGGCCCTGCGTGGCCGCCTCACGCGCTGCGTCCCCCCGTAACCACGCTGGACGGTCTGAGCTGGACGCTTCCGGACGAGACCCCCGTCACGGCCCACGTGTTCCCCGACGAAGGGCATCGGCACCTGAACCCGTCGGCTCCTTTGTGTGTCCGATAACACACCTCTGGAGCCCTCGCCGCACGAAAGCGGAGGCCACACACCCCCTTGTTGTTACAGTCACCGGCTCCTTGTTAACTCCTGACCATCCCGTGCCCGCCTGTGTCCAGGAAGCGCCTGTCTGGTCGTTTTACTTTTTACCGAATCCCAGCGGCCTCCGGCTTTGCTCCCCGCCGCCGCCCTCACCCACCACCCTGCATCCCGGGGACCCCCCTCGGCCTCCTCCTTGGGTCGTGGTGTGTAAAATAAGCGGCTCAGCCGCCTTTCTCTGGAGCGTGTCCTCCGTCCGCTGAGATCCTGCTTCCCGGCAATGGTTGTCAGTTTGGCTCGAAGAAACTCCCAAAAATTCTTACAGGTGTGGACGTTTGGGACGTTGACATTAGCTGCTGCCCTGCTCTCAGGCCTTGGGCAACTTCCTCAATGAACCACAAGCTTTGTGCTTCTCACAAGCCATGGGAAGGAACCTTGGGAACACCCCATAGGCTGTTCCGTGACCGAGACAGCTGTTGTTCAACATTCCCGCGCAGGCTCGTCCGGGAGTCACTCCGACCCAGCATCCGGCGCTTCGCCCACCAGCTGACCTGTCACCGACGAGGAGCTGGGGGCTCCTCTTCCTTCGGCGCTCAGTTGGGACAAATTTCATTTGACGCAACAACGGTATTGCTGTTAAAACCTTTGCTGATCGAACTGAATTTCTAACGCACCAGGAACTTCCTGGTAAAGTTCAAAGAAATCGCCTCTCGGTTTTTGTAAGGCCACCGCCCGCACGCCACGCCCCTGCAACGGGAGCGTGGGACGTTCCGAATCGTCACTCACCTCTCATCGAACTCGGTGACGTTTTGCAGCCCCTTTCGGTATTTCTCAAGCAAAACCCACTCTGAACACTCTGCTGACGTCGGGGGGGTGGGGTGAGCAAATCGGAACACCAGGACCCCGCGGTGGGTGACACAGAAATGGCAGTGAGGCCGGTAGGTGACGTTTTTCACCAGCCAGTCCATGCTGAGGAGGCTGAACTCGTGGACGTGCAAGGCTGCGCCTGCGCAGGGAGAAAGCGGGGCGTGTGGGGCGGGGGCTGAGCCCAGGTGCCCGGCGGGGCTTCCTCGGCCTCTCGCTCTCCATCGGGAGCCGCACCCCCACCCCCACCCCCGCTTACCCGAAGCCCTGGCACAGGCCCGGCCTGAAAGGACAGCGTGGGAAATGAGCCTGGCCTCGCTCCCGCCGCGACAGCCCACGGGGGTCCCTGGCTGCGGCGCTGCTGCGGGGACCCCTGCACGTGCTTCAGACCCGACACCCATTTCAGCGCCGGCGCCGCTGAAGGCCCGGGATGCACTGTCCCCGGACTCCCTGCCCCGTCTCAGCACCTGGCTGACCCTGGCCCTCGCCCAGGGTCCCCGCCGGGTGGCTCCGCAGGCTCCCTCTCTAAAGCCCGCGTCCTCCATGCCCTGGGGACACCCCTTCGCCAGCCTCGCGGGGTGTATTTTTTCTATCTATTAATAACGTCAAACGAAAAAGGTAAAGCCTTTGTAGGCTGCACTCTGCTGTTCACGTGCGGTGCTAGGATTCTTTTCCTCCCCGTAGAACCGAGTTTGCACTGTAAAAATCTACCACTGGAAACGTGTTTCTCCAGGATGCCCTTTCACACATCCTCTTTGGTAACTGAGCCCCCAAACAAAGGCTGGAAAGGGGGGTGAGGGACGGTGTGAAGGGAAGCCAGGGTCCTCCGGGCCCAGGACACGGTCTCCCGGCGGCCACGTCCCAGCCCTGTCGGGGGGGCCGGCAGCACCCAGGTCTGCTTCCTGCTCTCTCTCTGAGGCGCAGTCCCCGAGGAAGCGGGGTTCTCGGTCCCAGGGGCCACCTGTGAACACCCCCTTCCCTAATTTGCCAGCAGAACCGGGGCGGAGCCACTGGGCGGCTCCGTTCGGAACAACGGCAGGTCCAACAACAGTGACCGGCCCCGCGTTTCGCTGCCCGCCTTCCCGGGGCCCCAGCGGCACCCAGCCCGGCCTCTACCTTTTGGCATCTTCTTCAGGATGTGAAACACCTTGCTTTCCTCGATGAGGCGCTTGGCCCGGAAGAAGTGCATGCTGGGCGGGAACTGCCGGGTCTCCAGGGCCTGCTGCGCCTCGGCCTCTTTGATGGCCATGAGCCTTGCGTTGGCCAGCTCCTCTTCCCGCGTCAGCACCAGCTGCCCCCCCAGCCGCATGGCCCTCTCTCTCCGCAGCAGCTGCCCTCGTTCCTCGTCTACGGCCACGGCCGAGCAGAGGAAGGCCGTGGCTACCACCAGAAGCAGGGGCCGGAGGGCGGTCCGCCCGGGCGAGCCCCCCGCCGACATCGGGGTGCCTGGAAGAGGACCCGCGCAGATGGAGTCAGTGACGCGAGCAAGGGCTCTGCGAGGGAGAACCTACAGACTTTAGCGTCGATTTTCCTCACTGCCTGTTCTCAGAGAACCAGGACGCGGCAGGTGGAAGAGGCTTCCCTGAGACCCCGGAGAAAAGGCCTCCAGGCACGGGCAGGGAGGGGTTCCCCACATAAAAGGCGCCCGCAAGGCCTCCTTGTAGTGGAGCTTTTCCGTCGGCAAGCCCCGCTCACACAGAGAGCCAGGCGTCGCGAGCCGATTTTTAGGGTTCCGCTTTGAAACCTGACCAACAAGCACAATATCAGAAGACACGGGAAGAAAGGCTCTAACGTGGGAAAGAAACCTAGAAAGAACACACAGAGAGAAGGAACTAAAGGGAAATGGAGACAATGAAGGAAATAAAAGGAAGAGTCAAAAGAACCGGAATTGCTATCTGTACAGAGGTCTCCAAGAAAGAGAGATCGTGGTCATAAAATAGGAGGAAAAAAATAAACGATGAGAAAGAGCTTTTAAAAATCAGAATGTGAAAGCTCCAAAAGTTTTTTCTTTCTTTTTTTTAAATCCTCGGCCAAGGACACAGCTGTTGATTTTAGAGAGAGGAAGGGGGGAGAGGGAGAGAAACGTGGGTCGGCCGCCTCCCACGGGCGCCCTGAGCAGGGAGTGAACCCGCCGCCGAGGTCTGCGCCCTGACCCGGAACTGGACTGAGAGCCGTTGCTGTGCAGGGCGACGCTCCAAGCCCCCGAGCCACCCGCCAGGGCTAAGCCGGTTCATTTACAGAAAAACGTGAGAAAACAGAGGTGCAGGGATACGGCAAAGATGGAAAGTTTGGCGGCCACCGAAGTCCCTTACATTCAGGACCCGCTCCAGGCCCCCGGCCGCTCCGCCGCGGTGAGTCAGACGCCAGCGGGCACCGGGCACAAGCCGCCCCCCTCGGACCCTGCGTTCGCTGCGAGGGGACGGGGTGCCCGCGCACCCTCCCATCCACCCCACCCAGCGCCCCGGCCCCTTGTCCCTCTCCCGCTGGCAACACAAAACTGAGGCCACCGAGTGCCTTCCCCTCCGCCCCCGCCCTCCCCGAGGATCCCGCGTGCACCCGGCGGCCCAGCCCCGGCTCCTCCTGGCCCGCAGGCCAAACTTACCAAAGGCCTTATCGGGCGGGGCCAGGCCGAGCAGAAGGAAGGACCTTATTGTGACATTGAACCCCACTTCTCCCTCGGGGAACCCTGTCGTGACTTTGAAAAGAGGCTGAAGGAAACCCTATGAAAACGCTTGGTTTCCAGACTAAGAACAAAGAACCGGACCGCGCCCGCCTGCGGCCCTGGGTAAACGCCCCGGTGCCCACAACCTTCCCAGAACCCTGTGGCGCAGGAGGCAGGTGCCCTTCCCCCGCGACAGCGACGGGCAAGGCTGGCTGCCACCCGGGGAGCAAAAGCTAGGCTTGCCGGCCACTCCCAGGAGCCTCGGGGGCCTGGTGCCCCACCCAGTCCCCTCCCCGGGGGTCCCGTTACCTCAGAGCAGCACCAGAAACTGCAGGCTGTTTGCTCGCTGCCCCCAGGGGCCGGCCAGGAGCCAGAGGAAAGCTCGTGTGGGGTTTCACTTCCCGCCCAGGCGGGTTTCGCTTCCTCCCGGGCTCCTGCTGCACAGGCCACGGGTCACGGCCTCGGGGCCGGCAGCTGCGGGCTGGGGCGGGAGGGTGAGAGCATGCGGTGCCTGCGTGTGTCTGTTGGGTGGGGCGGTTGTACACGTGCGTGGGTTTGTGCTCGCCTGGGGGCAGAGCATGCGTGTGCTTGAGAGTCCTGCCTTCGTAGGGTCCAGAGCATAGCTTTGGACAAGGACCACAAGGACGCGCGGGGCCTGCTCCTGAACATTGGCAAGTGTGGTTGTGAAGCAGGGGGCGACCTACGGGACGCAGGGTAAAAAGATACGTCTAATAACAGGTAACGGTTTTAGGGGGAGAAGCCAGGGATATGGGGCGAACGCAGGGACCTGAGGGCAGACGGTCAGGGAGAAGCGCCTGCTTTAGAAGGGTGTCAGCCAGCGGTCCCTGGCGCCAATTCAGTGCCAACTGGAGTCTCCACCTTGGGCTGCAGGGAAGAAGGGAACGTTCGGGTGCGGACAGCTCGTGACCCCGCGCAGGACACAGCGCGGCCGGGAGGCGCCCAGGGGAGGAAGTGCTGAGCGACGCTGGCGGTCCGACCTGTGCTTCCCACGCCCTGCCCCGCCCAGCTGGGGAAGCTGGGTCTTCTACTCTCAGCGGGCAGGGAAAGCGGTGAGCAGAGTCGGGGGCGGGGCGGGGGGACCTGGCTTCTGTAGAGAGGGGCCCGGCTGCTGGTCCTCAGGCAAACGAGGGCTCCACATCCTGGCAGTGCGGTGGGTCCCAAAGGCGCGCTCCAGAGTAGTCAGAGTGGAGCTGCTCTGATTGGCTGGTGAAGACGCTGCTGGGCCGGGAAAGCCTAGCCCATTGGTTGGAGCAGGTCCCAGGAGCCCCTCTGCAGGAGCCCAGTGCAGGCTGCTCTCCCCCCTCCCAGGTGCACTTTGCATGAGAGCTCCCCCCGCCCCCCGCAGAGGCAGCCGCTATGCACCCCTTCCTTCCCAGCCCCCCCAAGGCCTTCTGCCCCCAGTGTACCCACAGACGCCCTGGCACTACCACTCTCGTGCCTGGATGGCTGGGGCCTCTGGGACCCTTGTCATCTCCAAAAAGCAAGACGGTTCCCCATTTAGTAACAAGAAGAAATCCAAAAATGAAAACAGAAAGGAATTAGCAATTCCTTCGTCAAGGGTTCAAGATTGATTTTTTAAAAGTAAGAAGAATCAGAAGGAAGACGCAAGTAGAAGGAAGAGTAAAGCTGGTTAAAGCAGAAAGGAAAGAGGCCTAAGTCGCTGACTTGGAGCATAAATATTTTGCGGATTTTTAGAAAACCAGACAAAAGCTGAAGGTACAGCCTTTCTTTCCAAAAGCTGTGGTTAAAGGTGGGACCGCCTTTCCGCGCCTCGAAAGGCTGGCTCTGGGCCTGCAGCTCACGGCCTGGCCAGGGAGTGTGTGCGGCGACGCCGGGGCTCCCTGTGAAGAAAGGAGTTTTTATTTATTTGTCTGTGTGTTTTCATTCTCATCCGAATATGAGCCCATTGATTTTAGAGAGGAAAGGAGAAGGAGGGCGAGAAGCATCGATGCGCGGCAGAAACATCGACGGGTTGCCTTTCGCACGCACCCGGCCCGGGGAGTGACCCGCAGCCCAGGCCTGTGCCCTGACCCGGGTCAAACCCGCAGTCTTGGGGGCACGGGGTGGTGCTCGGACCCACCGAACGACCCAGGGAAAGCGCTGTTTGTTGGTTTGTTTGTTTGTTTGTTTGAAGCTTCCCGAGTGATTCTGCCGTGCAGCCAGGGCTGAAAATCACCGCATTTCAGGGATTTCCAGGTGCACGTGAGGGTTCAGGCGCAGTACGTGGCTCTGAGAACGCAGCCAGGGAGGGAGTTGGCCGCTGCCTCTTTCAGGAGCTGGGGTGCGACGTAGCCCCGAGCGGCGTCCGGGGAAGAGAAAGACGCTGAGACGCGTGGGCCAGGCCCGGGGGGCCGGACAGGAAGGCAGCCAGGCCGGTCAAGCAGGGTTCCCCATGTCACCGAGTGGACGAGAAGAAGGAGGCTACGGAGAGTGACCTTGCAGGGCGATCTGGTCACACCGCCCTCACTGGGCAGGGGGTCCCGCTGGGGCGTCTCGCCCCAGGCGTGCGGCTTCTTCAGGAAAAGGCCTGTCTTTGCCTGGCGAGCCCGGTCCTCTGTTTCTGTGTGTCCGGGTTACTGCACACCTTGCAAATGCCTCTCTACAGACCCTTCCCTCTAATATGTGATCAGCCCCTCAGACCCCAGAGATCACACACTCTGCACCCCGCTCCACTTCAGCTCCCCGCCCCTCCAACCTCCTCGGAATCTTCCTTCATTTCTGTGCATAGAAGCAGCTGCAAATCTGTAATTCCCTGGAACACTTGAGATCTTGCGCCCAGGAACATGTCATCCGCTCGGCTCAGATGAACCCCTAGGAAACCCAAACCCCGCGGCTCGGCGCGCAAACCCCGCACTGCGCTCCCGTGAAGAGCTCTGCGGGGGGGAGGGGCCGCGCCTCCGGGGACACCGTGGCCCCGCGGCCTCCCGAGCACGAGGGGAAGGCAGTGCCTCGTGAGAGGACGTTCAGTTTGTGAACGTGGACGTCAGGCTTTAATTAAGCGACTCGTGAATCAGGCGGTTCCCCATCGTTCAGCAAGAAGGGCGCCCCGAGCTGCCGCACCAGCGGGGAGGTGTGTGCAGGCCGGCGGAGGGCGCGGCTGGGGGTAAAGGGGTTGACGGCGCCCGGCAGGGACGCCTGCCCTCGGAGAGGCCAGGAGGATGGGCTCCCAGGCCCACTCCCGCGAGAGAAGTTCAAACTGCGATTAGCTTCGTTGTTCAGTTTCGGTTTGGTGATGCGAGTTAGCACAAGCGACTCCATTTTGGTCTGTTGTGTCTTTTGTCTCTCGCAGCCGCCAAGGGCTGTGCCCACGGACCCGCAGGCCCTGGGGCGCAGCGTCTGCCCTCGGAGGGACACAGCTCCTCCATATTCCCTCCTCCGAACCGACGAGTATGTGCCTCCAGTGCCGGGAGGTAGGGAAGGTGCGGGCGGGGGAGGAACACAGGCTGGGGGCAGCGGATAAACTGGGAAGTTCTGAGCTAAGACCACGGTTAACCCTGAGACAAGTTCTGTGCAGGGGGTAGGGAGCGAGGGGTCCAGGGGGCTCTCTGCCTGCAGAACAGTCCCAAGTAGGCTTAGGGCGTGCTCCACACGGGCGGCCTACTGTCCAAGACGCCCCCGTATTTCCCCAGCGCCTCAGTCGGGGGGTGACTAGCTCAGGCCTCTGCCTGAGGCCTGAGACCAGGGCTTGGAGGCCGTGCGTGCCTGTAGGCACTGCCCCCTCCCCCGACCGACCGCGGACAGCAGTTTGCACCTGGAATCGTTTTATAGGTGACGGAGCAACCTCCCGGGTTACACTTCACCCCTAAAGGGATGAAGAGATCTGGGGTGACTCATCCCCCAAACGTGGAGCTTTGCACAGTGTTAAAATGTAAATGAAGAGCCTTAACTATTTTTAAAGTTGCAATACCAGTAATGGATTGCCCCTGGGCCGAAAGGATTACTTTTTATATGCAAATGGAAATAATGAATCTTTAAGTGCTCCTTATTGTCAGGGTGATAGGCGGACGCAGGCAGGGGCGGGGGCGGGAGGGGTCTGCTGGGTGGGCTGCGGTGCTTTGCGAACAACCCACCGGGGCCAGGAGAGGAAGGCCCGAAGCCGGAAGAGCTGATCAAAGTTCTCGGGGCCGCGTGCGGGTGGAAAGAGGATGGGACTCCTGAGTCAGGGACTGAGGGTGGAAAGGAAGAGACAGGAGACCAAGGGGTCACCTGAGACGGAGACAGGGCAGGACTGTTCCGTCTCAGGTGGGGAACTGGCACCCACCTGCCGTTCCTTTGACATCGTCTCTCTAACTAATCGTGTCTCTAATACGTCGTTCGTCAGTACACAGCATGTTTGTATAAGGATCCTGGGCAGTAACTTCAAACATATACAGAGTCCGACCTTCAGGCATCTCATCTCCGGGAGATTCGCCGACCTGCCACCGGGGAGCCAGGGTGACGCGAAACAAACCGTCACGTGTCTTATCCGGGTGAACTGTGCGCATCTGCACGCAGCACAGAGAGAATTTTGAACCCCCCTCCCTTGATCCTTCCGTCCCCCCTCCCTCCTTATACAAGCCTCTGCCTTCACCTCGAGTTCTGGGGGTCGAGTTGCGAGGGGCGCCTGCCTACCCCTCCCATGGGGCCCAGGACTCCTGCTGGGTCTCTCAAACCAACCCGCCCTTCACCGGTCACGTCCGACCTTGTGCCCGCCAGGGCCCGGGAGCTGTTCCGACTCGCCCCGGTAGAGCTCCGTGGCTGGTGCTGGGGGCCCGGCCGCCCCGAGGGCAGGGACAGCCTTTGCCGGGCCTGGGCAGGTGTCCTCGGGGGCCCTGCAGCGTCCGGGCCGCGTGAGCGCAGGCGGGGTTCAGAGAGGCGGGGTAGGGGGGTTCTGCGTGGGGACAGAGCCCCGGTTTCGTTTGCGGGAGAGCAAACCCAGGACTCGCAGCACAGCGGTGCCTGTCTGGGAACTCGCGCCCACGGGGTTTCCAGAAACTCGGGGCTCTCGCTGACAGAGGTCACTTCTCTTCGGAGGGGTCTCAACGCCTCTGTTTCTGTCGGTTTCCTGGGGCCGCCCCACAGAGCACCACAGACTGGCGCTTTCAACAGCAGAAATGTATTTCTCAGTGTCCTGGAGGCTACAAGGCCAAACCAGAGGGTCTGCCGTCTGGTTCCCCCCAGGCCTCTCTCTGCGGCCGCTCTCTGTGTGTCCTCACCGGATCTGTCCCCTGTGCACGCACATGGTGTCTCCGCGTGTGTCCCAGTGTCCTCTCCTTATAAGAACAGGCAGCCGACTAGACTGGGCCCAACCTAACAGCCTCATTGCAACTTAACCAGCTCTCTCAGGTTTTACCTGTAATTACAGTCATGATCTGAGGTGCTGGGGTTCGTGTGTCAACAGACAAAGCTGGGGGTAAAGCACTATC